CAGCCCTTGATTTCCGTTCATCCAACGGTTATCATTTAGTAATTTAATGCATTAATTAATTATTAATTTCAAATAAATGATAACCGTTGGATGAACGGAAATCAATGGCTGGGATGAGGAGTAAGACTTTTAAATATTACTCTGGAGTCAAATATCCCTCCCCATATATATATATATATATATATATATATATATATATATATATATATATATATATATATATTCCGGATCTGTTGGCTGGATTAACGTAATGCTAACAAGTCATGTGAGGTTGGCGGTGTCTCACTTCGTAAGCTCAAGGGACCACGGTAGACCTCTTTTCATGGAATGCCACTGAACTTTTACCGTTTTCTGACCCTTTTTGGTTTTCCTAATCAATTTGAATTGTGAAAAAGTTTCCATAGAAAGTAAGAAGTCATACTCAGTTTTCAAAATTTTACTTCAAAAAAAAGTTTATATCTTCAACGCTATTCTTGCAATTTCCTAGGGGCAGTAGTAATTTACAGTTATTTATGAGTTGGACTAATTTAATGAATTTAAAAAAATTAATTAAATTAATCTGAATTATTTTTCCTTTTTTTGGAAAATAAATTTATTTTTCTTCCAAGATTCGAATCAAACCGACCTGTTATATACACTTTTTTTTAATAAATTATTTGGATTTAGTTGTTTGAGATTCAATCCACATAGACCACAAGAATGATAAAATTCTCCCATTTACGTTTAAGGAAAAAATGTATATCATTTTAAAGGATGTAAAGTTGTGTCATTTTAAGTGAAAGAAAAAGATAGATAAAAGAGGAGAGAGTGGACAAAAAATATAAAGGTGTGGGTTCCACCTCTTTGTGAGAATAAAAGGATATAAGTTTTGTCATTTAAAAGGACAAATATTTTTTTCTAAGTTTAAATACCTAAACTTAAATTCGAAATCGCTACTTAAATTGGAATAAACAACTCCCTGCCCATTGACATGTTACACACCTTTGTTCCACTTGAAGTGTCCCTTAGATTTTAGTCAAATGAAAGTTAGAAAAAAGGGCCACAAATAGTTGGCATTTCATTTTACGTTACACAACTAAAGGATGGTACGTGGCAAATGAACGAGATTTGCTGCATTTGACTAACGTGACGTGCTTATATCCTAAGGGAAAGGATAAATTGTTTTATGTTTAATATAGGAATTGTAATTGAGTATAAAATGCGTCACAATAATGACAAATTTATCACGTCACTGAATAACAAAAAAAGCTATGGATTAAAAGGAAAGTTATTATAATTTCTACCCAAATAGGCTTTAATCAGAGACAGAAGAGATGTGTTGGACTAAACTTTTGCCCATATCAATAATCTAAACTATCAAGTACGGATGCTTAATTCTAAGTTTTGCATACACTACTAGAAAACATAATATGTTCAACACTCATAAAGAGAAAGTTTTGAGTTAGACAGGTGGTAATCATCAGACAGAATATCCTCCTTGCTCTCCTCTTCCTTAAAAAATTTAGGGTTTTTTTTTTTTTTACCTTTTTGTCCCTTTTCTAAAATGAAAACTACCAATATGCCCCCGTTTTGATTCCATTTACAAATTTGACTTTTTACTAAAACTTAATATCAATTTGCCCTTATTTGACCGTTGACCGAATGATGTAATCGATTACATAGATAACATAATCAATTACATCATCCAAAATTTACCCTAAAACTTAAAAAAACCATAACTTTTGGTTCGAGAATTCGAATCAGGTAGTTACATATCTTTTGATCATATCTTTTACTTGCTCTTTTTTTTTATTCCTCATAACCTTTTGATATATATGCACTGAAAATTTTCTAGAGAGTTATTTGTTAGTGTTAGAAAGTACAAATTCAAATAACATCATTCATAAAGATAAAATATGTGAAACGGGGCACAAAGAATTTTTGTTTGGAAATTTGTTTGACCATTAAGAATTTTTCACACGTAGCTCTCGAAAAGTTACGTGAAATAAAAAAAAATTGATTCCAACACATGAGTCAAAAGTTATAGCATTCCAAAGTTTTATAGTAAAATATCTCAAGTTTTGTACCACATTAAACTCGTTGCTACTCCCATCGAGTTTTATACTGCCTGATAGTAGTTTGACCAGTTTGTTCACGAAACTCAGTATCAGTGGTAGTAAGTTTGGTGGCCTCAAGCAACATACCACTTGGCAAACCATACTCGCTAATTTGAGGAAGATTTTGGACAAAAATCATGAATTTGGGAGTTAGGGTTTTGGGTAGTCGATTACACCTAGTTATAACCCCCTCTTCCACCAAAATGGAGGTTTACGAAAGTTAATCGATTACATAAGTAACATAATTGTTGTAATCGATTAATTTAAGGGTCATCGGTCAAACGTACAGTGTAATCGATTACATAAGTAACATCATGTATTATATATGTTTTCTTTTTTTATTTAAAATATCAATATTGATATATTGAGTTGCAATTGGCAAAATATATTGGAGAGGCAGTTGAAGATTGCAAAGATTGTTGAAGAAATTAAAGTGTATTGGTATTTGGAGGGTAATTAACCACTGGCCAGATTGTTTAAATATATAATATATTTTGGGTTTTGTGTGTCCTTTTAGCAGTTATAACTATGTATTATGGATAGTACATAGTTATAATATTAAAGTTGTACTTTTTTCACTTTCCACGTCAGCAGACAACTTCTGAAGAGAGGAAAAAAAATATAACTTTAATATTATAACTATATTCTACCCGTAATATATAGTTATAGAAAAAAGTGTTTGTCATTTTAAATGACATAAAATTATGTCATTTTAAGAGAGAGATAGACACAAAATAATTTTTTTATTTAAAATTTAAATTAAAAAAAATCTCACACTTTCTTTCCAATGATTTTTATTTTTTGTGTCTATCTCTCTCCTAAAATAACATAACTTATGTCATTTAAAATGACAACACCAAACCCATAGTTATAATTATAAAAGGACACAACTTTCTATCCTTTAAAATTAAAAAAAAAAAAAAAAATTCCCATACATTTTTCAAAGATGTTTTCTAGTTCTAGTAGTTATCTATTAGATTTTTGGTATCATGTAATGATTTTTGTAAATGCTAAAAAAGAAAAAAAATTGCAGACTACAAAGTTGAAGTCTGTCCATATTTTGTCTTCTTCACTATTACTCACATTATTGTCACTCTGGATAAATCACCCCTCTCTAAACATAATTGAGTTATATTCACTACCCTATTAATTCTTAGTTTGCTTCAGGGTAACCTCCCTTGAGTTTTTGTTCATACGATTACTTCATCTAGTCACTATTACATTAAGACACATCACTCTTCCTACGCTCAACAAACTCACTTATATATTTTAAGAATATTATATCACTATAATAAATATATAATACGTGATATTACATATTCATGCATGTTATAAGATTGAATATTAAATATTAATATATCAGGACTGAATGGTTTCTAAACGGTGTATATAAGTATTTTTCATTGCAACCGCTACTAGGCTTGGTCAGCAACGAACGTTCTTTGTGGGCTCAACCTTTAGTTCCGTTGCCTCAACATGAGTTGCAACTTATATCAGTCTGGGCTTCACTCTGTGGTCTGTGCCATCGTCCCCTACGGGCCTAGTCCATGTTCTTTATAATTCTTTTTTCAAAAAAGCTCTTTTAACAATATATCAACACATTATTTGACAGTTACTGGATAAAAAAATTATATTTACGTTGAATCAAATTTAAATTCATTTAACATTAGACTAAGGGAAATCCATACGGAAATGTCACGATATTTTTATATTGTAGATGGACTGTTGGAACAATGTTTTGTATCAATATTTCATGCATAAATGGATTCAAGTGACAACAAAGTGATCATGCTACGAACAAATAGTATAGGTGGCAACATGATCTATCAGTTCATTCATAGATTCATCATTATGCCAATTCAACATCCACAATTCACCGATCTACATTTATGGAACAAGTGGAGGGTAGAAACGACGCAACTACTCATCAATGCATCATCCAGTCAATTATATTATTAAATTTTAATAACTTTTGTTGAGATATATAGTCCCATGTTGATTGGATGGGCAACTAATATGACCTTTATAAGGCTTTGGGCACTCTCACCCCTTGAGCTAACTTTTGGGGTGGTGTATCCCAAGATTTTATATATATATATATATATATATATATATATATATTTATGGATTAGGTGCCTTCCTACGAAGAAATTATTTTACAAAAATTAAAATTAAAATTACACAACACTATTTTTTAATGTGAAATAAGTCAACAATTGTTTAACATTGAGATTTTATATTAATATTCTATTCATTTAATGAAAAATAATGATGTGTAAGTTCCAAAATATATTTTAGGGAAACAACATATATCCTTTTAAAAGATATAACCATATGTCATTTTAGATTCTAGTCGTTTATTGCCGTTCATCAACGGTTATGATTTATTGGGTTAAATTTAATGGGCCAAACATATTATTAATTAATTAATAATTTTGATCCAATAAATTATACCTGTTGATTGACGGAGATTAACGGTTAGAATCTAAAATAACATATGGTTATATCCTTTAAAAAGGATGGATGTTTTCCCATATTTTAGAGATCAAACAATTTTATTTTATTTTTTACTTTTATCTTTACCCATCACAAAACCAAATTAGTTAAACCAATGAATCTAACTAAAAAAAAAAAAAACAACGAATCTCGAGCGTTGGAAAGCTCTAGTGTTTCCTGGCAAAATTGTTAATGTAAGTAGGAGATAATATTAGACAAATTTCAATTTTCAATCAATTTACCATAATATGAACTCCCATCATCCTTTATCCAATGCACAGAGAGCAAAGAAAAATTCTTTTTCATACAAGTCAACCTAACAGAAAGACTTTTGTTCCAATTCTTCGTGGTCTATTTTTATTACAAAGAATTCATTAATTGCTCTGGAAATCAAAGGTTATGTTCATGCTATTTAATTGATATCAAGAATTTCTTGAACCATTCAACAGACTGCTTTGGGTATCTTCTCAGATTGTCTTTGTAATCAATGAAATACAAACCAAATCTAGAAGTGTATCCAGCTTGCCACTCCCAATTATCCAGTAATGACCACACAAAATAGCCCTTTACATTGCATCCATCTTTACTGCAATCAACCACATCAAAACTTTATTAGCTTAATAATTATATATATATATACAAAGTATACTCTCATAAGTATAAAATATGATTACATACATGATAGAAGCTAGTAAGTTAATTAAATAGTCATTGTGGTATCTAATCCTTTTTTCATCCTTAAGAGCATCTTTGATGGGGATAAATGGATCATTTGGATCATCCATCCCTGTAACAAGTGAAAAAAATACCAATTAGCTCACAGTTCTATTCTCTGTGTACTATGAATGAAAGTGATGGATCAACTGAAAAGAGAAGAACAATGATGCATTTTATTCCAAATTATAGAAATGTGAAAATCATATAAAACCTACATTGTCAAAGAATGGATCTTTCGTCAATTAAAAAGTTCAACGAGAATATACATATGACTGTGTATACATATTTGTAGCAAGAGTGAAAAATAGGGGAAGGAAAGATAGAATTCCATTTTGTAGAATTCTACTAGATAATTCTATAATTGTGCCATGGTAGTAACTAGCATAATAAAACCTGTTATTCTATAGTTTTGCATGTCTTTTTTCCTAACTAAAACGCAAATTTGTACTCGAGAAAAGTGCAACTCTTAAGGGTTAAGGTCAATCAAATTTTGTCAAATTTTGTGATTACCATTTTCAGTGACAATGACCAAAGGATTCCTGTACTTCTGTTTGATGTAATTCATTGTGCTTCTCATCCCTTGTGGTACTATGTACAACCATACTGAATTTGCCTGCAAGTCATAATTTGAATTTCATTACCATGCTTGATAATATAATGTATTCATATCAGTAACATTTTCTGGCTACCTAAATAGGATAATTCATTCATGATTGGACATTCAATTCATCCAAGTACAATACAAATATTAACATAGAGTTAAAGACAGAACATGAATATCTTCTGTATATTTTCCAGTTTGTTTCATCTTTCATTATTAGTAGTAAAAGATTGTTCATGAATCAAACAACATTACATTAGGGATCTTAGGTTAAAAGGAAAACATATTATTCTCTCATATAGAACTTACCCTTTCTCCAATAACTTTGGTACCATTGAATGCTGAAAGGAGTCAGAAACACAAACAAAATAACCTTCAATTAGGTGCAGTCATAAAACACAAATTATAAATAGCCCAACAAATTAAAGGGACTGATTGATAAAGGTTCAGTTTTAACTTACGAAGAGTAAGGGCACCGGAGTCTGCAATGTAGTCATCATGTAGTACAACCCCAAGTAAATTTGAAGCATTGTGCATTGCATAAAATGTAGTGTAATGATTGATGCCCACAAAATCAAATGAGCCCTTAAGAAGGCTAGCTTGAGAATTAGAAAATTTTGGCAACCTGCTCCCTTCTCTACTTCTCATAGAGGTTGGATAATCTCCAAAAACCAATGGGTCGAGAAACCTGGGAAGGAAGTTAACAATTTTTTTTTTATCCATTGCTATCATAACATATAGATACGCTGGAGGCATATTAAAGGTCTTAATTTCAAGTGTTAACAAAAGCAAAATCATGGATATGCTTCCAACAATGTTGTTTTGAAACAAAAATCCCTCTCTTTCTTTTTGAAAAGATTTTTTAATTGTGTGGTTTATGTCCTTCCTTATATAATATGAAACTTTCAATCTACAAGGTTTTGCATGATAATCACCAGCCAAGTTGAAAGTCTAAGGCTCTTTGAGTTGCCTCAATATCTTCTTTGGAATTCGTTGCTGACTCAAACCAAATGACATCCAAAGATATCCCAATAGATCCACCCTGTATTTTCTGTGGAAGAACACTACCATTACTCAGTATATTGATTCTAACAACTATACGTTAAAAATGAAGAGAGCACAAATGTGAAAATACACTTGTACATGCCCAAAAGGATAGATGTTTGTTTCTTTTACTATCTTTATTTTTAATTAAAACATTAGAATTTATAATTACAAAAAGATTGTCTTGTTTTCATTTTGTTTTATATTTTCATCATTTTGTTAAAAAATGGTGAAAATAACTGAAATATAAATTCGTAAAACATACTGGAAATAAGGTTGTATTTTGTAATTATAAATAAAAATATATCAACTAAAAATAAAAATAGAAAAAAAACTATAGTATTTCATAAACCTCCAAATTATATGAATGGCACAATTTGCAAATTTCAATTTAAATTTCCCAATATTATGCCCAATTTGTAAATATGATTCTTTCTACTGTATGTATGATAACTATTCCAATAACAATTTATAATGGAATTATAAAAAAATGTTAAATCCATTACTCATCTAATTTAGTTCTCAAAAGTATTTATTAAAATTTTTTGGTGAAAAGTTGTTATGACTTTACGTTGTAGTTTTTTCTGTAAATATCTGTTACTATAGCATGGGAAAGAAGGACATTATGAGCCACAATATAAGGTTCAGTAGAAGAGTTCCCAGTCCTACATTGGTTAAGGAGAATGGAGCACCGTCCAGGGGCCTGGAGTCCAAGATCATACCCTTGCATGGCAAATGTATGAGGCTCATTGAAAGTGATCCAGTGCTTCACCCTGTCTCCAAATTTCTGAAAGCATATCTCAGCATATGTTCTAAAGTCTTTTCTGTTGTATACAAATGTCAAAGATTCATATTGTATTATTACCATGATAATAATAATAATGTGAAACTAAAGATATATAAGAAGTTGAAAATATAGATAAAATTCTATACATGATTAAAGGGCTAAGCCATCCTTTGTACTTGTCTTCCAAGGCTTGAGGTAGGTCCCAGTGGTAAAGAGTCACATATGGTTCTATCCCTACAAATATTAGGGATCATGCAATCAGACTCCCAAAAAGCATGCTTGCGTCCAAACAAATTCACGTCTCTAATATAACCTTGATGATATGTAGAACTCATGCTTATACTAATCTAATTTGTGTTTCTTTCTCTCCTTCATTTATTTCCTATCTTTTAAGGGAGTTTGAAGAATTTTTAGATCCTCCATGAACATGTCGACAATTTGTTTAGTACAAATTAATTGTGCAAGAACTCGTAGATAACAACTTGGTTTTATGGACATATGTAATTATAGCAAACATATAAATAGGTTTGTATTCACTTCTAGGAAACATGATTCTAACCAATTGCACAACAATAAAATTTACCTTTGGCCAATAAAGCATTAATGAGTTTATTGTAGTGATCAATTCCTGCCTGATTGACCTCCCCAGATCCATCTGACAATAATTAAAATCCATCGTCAAAAATTTTCTTCATTAAGTTTGATAAAAGCTATGCTTTGTCTAAATTCAGTGTGAGAGATAGTCATGGTTTTCTTGGTTAATGCCAAATACTGTGTAAATTGAACAATAATTTTTTACAATAATTTCTCAAGCAGTAAACAGGAAGTTAATTGAAATTGAACCTCATTTTCTTGTATTAATTGCTTTCATTCTAGTTGTTATTTAACTACCCATAAAAATTGGGAGAGGGAATATAAAGATCGTTATGTGATTTCAAGCTTTTATTTAAGAAAAATTCTGATATACACCCGATATCGAATTTGGGGTAATGTGTAATTTGGTTTTTAGACTTTAAAAACATGCAACATGGGCCTGATTGATAACTATTTTGTAAAACAGTTTTTTGTTTTTAAAAAATAAAATAAAAAAACTTGTTTGGTAATGGGTGTTCTGAAAAATGTTTCCCAAAACAATGACTCTTTTTAAGTTTTAAAAACCAGAAAACCAAAACATCCTTCAGATGTTCTCCAGCGCTGTTTTCAGTTTTTTGCATTTAGGCGGTGGCAAAATCGTTAATATCAGAATTCATTAATGGCAATTTCGTAAAATTAGGACTCAAAACAATTACTTTATGGTGGCATTTTGGTAATTCTAAAACTTCATTAATGGCATTTTTGTAAATAACTAGTACTACAACTTCTTTATAACTTTAATTTATCTACATTCAAACAAGTTTTTTTTGTTTTTTCAAACTCAAAATCAATTTTTAAAATTCATATTCAAAACAGTTTTTGAAAACAATAAAACTAAAACACTTTCAAACACACCCATGATTTCTAACCTTTTTATAAGTGCGTGTTTTAGTTTTTTGGTCAAATATTGACAAAAATATCCTCAGTCAAATCATTGAATGACCTTTTTGTACCATTTTTCTTGATAGGAAATGTTCAATTTACTCCCACTAATTTTTGTCGTGCAAATTAAAAAATGTTACAAATTCTATTAATATTTGATAGAAAATTAGATCTATAAAATTAATATGCACATTTTAAAAAGTTTAAGGATTGTGTTGCACAATTTGAAATAAATTGGACTTTTTTTTTAATTTAAATTAACTTATTAAATATACCATAAGAAGAAAATTATCTCCAACAATCCAAAATGATGTAATTTTGAGGTTAGGAAAAAAAATAAAAAGGTATTTTAAAAATTTTACTTTTATCTTGTATTATAAACTTTATTAAAATACTGTTAATTTTTTTTTTCAAATCTCAAAATAACGTCGTTTTGGAGTTGCAGGAAAAATATTAATGGGTTCGTTTTTTCTGCAGTAGATAAGTTATCTACATTGAGCCCAACATGATGCCATTTTGAGGCAGAAATCAAGATATTTTTATAATTATAATTTATTTTAGGGTTATAATAGTCTTTTTCGTTATACTTTTTTAATCTTTGAATCCAAAATGATGTCATTTTGGGAGTGAATGTAGATAACTTATCTACATTTACTGTAGAAATATTAAAGCCAATATTAATTCCATAATTTAATTACTGAAAAAGTTGATGCATGAAAAAATAATCAACGATTTTTTTGTGAAAGTGATAAAAATGCATTCCTTCTTTCCCTAAAAAGAGGCTACGAGCGTGCAACATTACAAGATTTCTCATTGTCTTCAATACTGGTCAACACATTTTTTTTCCCCCACATAATAATGACTTGGTTTATTCTGAAGTGGTCGAAGTATATAGAGTCTAAAATAAGGAGAGTGAGAATGAAGAATGATGGGAAATGAATTAATTTTCACTTGAGATATTATTTCCTTGTTGTTCTCTTAACTTTTATTCCTCATTCTCAACCCTTTGTTTTTACACACTCCCCTACCATGTACACCTTAAACGTCATAACCTCACATGTAAAATACCTTTCACCAAGAAATGAAAATAGTGGGAAAGAACTCAAGAAGTCTTACTTGGGAAGATCCGAGACCAAGAAATCGAAAACCTATAGGCATCCATTCCCATGTCCTTAATGAATCGTATGTCTTCCTGCTTGCAAAACAATCCAAGATTCAAATGAAAAATACATTTCACATACCAATAATTTTAAATCTTAGGATACTTTTCTCTATAATCCATAATATGTAGTTTTTGTGTATATGGATGTGCATCCTCTTAGAAAAATTTAAATATAACTCTACTTGAAGATAACTACCAAGCAATAAAAATAAAAAAGCAACGTGGCAACAATAATTGCTTGCTTGACAAAAAAGTTTTGGAGGGGTTTGGGAGTTTGAAGGGAAAGAAAAAGAACGAAATTTAAAGGGGAGAAAGGGGAAGGAATGGAAAAAAATAAACGGTATTAGTTTCCCTTTAGTTGGGAGTTAAAAACATGATAGAAAAAAAACGAAGAGTTAATGAGATGTTTTTATAATTTTACCTTTTATTAAAAAAAACTAATATAATTATTATATTCTACAAAATAAAATTAACTCTGATTTGAAGGGTGTGAAGGGTATTGAATGTTTTACGAAAGTCATAATCTCTTTCCCCATTTTTTAAAGGGTTTGGTGTTTGTCATTTTAAATGACATAAGTTATGTCATTTTAAGAGAGAGATAGACACAAGGAATGAAAATCATGAGAGAGAAAGTTGATGATTTTTTTTTAATTTAAATTTTAAATAAAAAAATATTTTCTTGTGTTTATCTCTCTCTTAAAATGACATAATTTTATGTCATTTAAAATAACAAACACTTTCCCTTTTTTAAAACTCACATAAGAAGACATAAGCAAAATCTTCTCCTTCTTTCCCTTTCACTTTCCCTTTTAATGTTGACTCTCAAACACACCCTTCATGTGTAACATCAATGAAATTTTTACCAAGTTTCGCACATAAAATTTCCATGGTTATTTAGCCTCCAATTAAACCATGCATTACTTACTTCAAATCGATGATATTGATCCACTGCAACATCAGCAGTGCTGTTATCAAGTATCTTGCCTGCAACATAATGCAAGAGAAATTTCAGTCATACCACTTACGTTTGTGTTTTTCTATCTTTTAATTATCCACATTTACAAGTTTTTTGGCATCTCTTTATCCACACACAAAATAATATCATTTACACATAAAGATTTACTGTGTTATTTTGTTATACGTTTTTCTTATAACATGATTGTTCCCTTATGCAGATTCACAAGAAAATGGATCAATTTTTATTCAATTAGTTTAACGAGATTACATAAAAGAATTATCCAGTTAACAATTTTCAATTTGGAGCCTTCATAGTATCTTACCATTTGAATGTGAAAAAGTATCCCACACAGAAGGACCCCTTCCGTCTTCTTTTAGTGCCCCTTCGTACTACAACCAAATCAACAACATTATTTATTCAACCCACATGTAAATAATTATACTTTCTATGACTTTGATTTTGAAAAAATAACAAATTATAATACTTAAAATCCACAGTGATAAGTATTTCACTTGACTTAATTGCACGTGATTTGATGAAAAATTACACATAAACATATATTTATATTTAGGGTGCATATTTTCTTATGTTGTAGGATAGTAGGAGAGAAAAAAAGTAGAGATAAGTTAAATGTGGGTCCCACGTTTTAAATTAAAAAAGAAAAGAAAAATTAATTGGCACGGAAAATGAATTTGTGTAGGAAAAAGTTTTTATCTCATGTAGATGGAGATAATGATTTCCCTTATATTTAATGTACATTATAATAAAAAAAATTATTAAGAAACTTGGTTTTAAACTAAGGGTTTGGTGATTGTCATTTTAAATGACATAAGTTATGTCATTTTAGGAGAGAGATAGACACAGAAAAATGGAAATCATGGGAGAGAGAAAGTGAGTGATTTTTTTTAATTTAAAATTCAAATTTTCTATGTCTGTATCTCTCTTAAAATGACATAACTTTCTGTCATTTAAAATGACAAACACTTTTCCCTTAAACTAAACCAATTATTCTGTGAAATTACCAAGAGTTAAACTGAAAAATTGTTGTATTTTATTTTTCTTAAAAAAAAGTGAAAGTTACAATGTGAATATTGAAGAGAAGGTGCCAACCTGAAAAGATGAAGAACCGGTGCCAAAAACAAAACCCTTTGGAAAGCTTTGCCTGTTGAATTCTGATATGCATATTTGAATCTTAAAAATCACCATCAATGCTATTGTAACAATGCCTTTTCTCAAGGCCATGGTATCTCTATAATTAGTGAACATTCAAACAAAGGAGAAATGAGGGATTATTTCTTCTATTTCTTTGAATATATAGTAAAATTCTTTTATTCTTCTTGGCCGACTTATATTCCCTCCTTAACTATTTTCTAGAACATAATTATTGACGTCTAGTATTGTTTTGATCGATGATAGTTATTTACACCATTCGAATTCATACCTTTTTATATTTGTGCAACTCTTTCAATAATATGCAGACTATTAATATTAACAGAAATTATATTTGTGTATATAAAATTTCACACCATTCTTATAATATTTTTTATATAATAATTTTGTTTAAAAAAAAAACGCATACATCTCAAAACATTTTTTTTAAACCTTTTTCCCTTTTCTAAACAAGCAAAGTGTAAAAATACTATATCATTTTACTTATGTGTAAATATCATTTATCCAATGATAACCGCATCTCCGAATTTCTAAACCTATTTGGTACATAAAATTATTCGTACAAAGAAATAACATCGTTTGCACCATCGGAATGGAATATTCCGAAAAATGCATCTAGGGCATGACAGAGTAATTTGAATATTAGATTTCAATGAATGTTAGCAGATTCGGCAAATAATTGAAAAAACGAAGTTTAAATTAAACAGAAGCAAACACATTAAGATGGATTTTAATTAGATAGCAGCATCAAGAGCCGGGAAAAGTTGGAAATACAAGAGCGTGGGTCCACTATCCCATTATTCAAAGCTTTTTTTAGATTGTTATCTCCTCTATATTTTTATTTTAAAGTTGTTTTATCCCTTATAATTTTTGTTAGTATTGATATTTATAAATGGATTGGCCATAACTTACTTTGACAACTGTCCAACTCTTCATTCGAGGCCAGATTAAGTGCGGGCAAAATATTTTGGCACGTCAATTTCATTACCCGACTTATTTATTTTATTTGATTATTTAGCTATTCTAATTATTATAAAATATTTTAATATAATCCAAAAATAATACTTGGACAACTTATAAATGGTTTATATTATAGAAAAAGTTATATTTACAAATTTTTTTGTCTATAAATTATATTATGTCTGATTGATCATACTTCAATCAATAATTTATAAATAATTTATACGATAGAAAAAATGTGATTCGTTATACTTAATATAATTTGTGAAATAATTTATAGACCGATACTTCCTCTTATACGATTGACCAATTTTTTTATTCCACATCATGTATAATTAGGAATGTTAATTTTGGTATTCCCTGTAGATAAAAGAAGTGTGATATTATATTACAGCTTTTATCTCAATAGTTTAAAGATTTAAATGAAAAAGATAATTAAACCATTGTAGCAGAAAGAAAATAGACGAACGCAACATAGAATAAACCAGTTGAAGATGAGGCACGAAGACGACGAAGAGGAACCACCTTTAGCTGTTCAGATTCAAGGCGATGATGAATCTGTTTCTCAGCAATCTTCCGTTGGGGTTACCCTCATCACTGGCTATCTTGGTTCTGGCAAGTCTACTGTAAGCTTTTTGTCCCTTTTTCCATTTCTATGGACTCATTCCAAACGCCCCATATTTTTTCTGCACTTGATTTGCTCACAAATTTCCATTTTTCTGATTTTTGGGCATTTGGGTACTTTAAAGTTGTGTTCTTTTTCACTTTTTTGTTATTTCTTTTTTATGTTCTTGTTGTTGCTTGTTAGTACTAGGTTTTGGAATGATAGTTTTTGAATGATTTGTGATGTGGAATTGTGATCTTGCAACTGAATCATTGAGTTTCAGCTAGTAAACCATATTTTGAATTCGCAACATGGGAAGAGGATTGCTGTCATATTGAATGAATTTGGTGAGGAAATTGGCGTGGAAAGAGCAATGATAAATGAAGGGGATGGTGGTGCATTGGTTGAAGAATGGGTTGAGCTTGCCAATGGGTGTATATGTTGCACTGTCAAGCACAGTTTGGTTCAAGCACTTGAGCAGCTTGTGCAGAGAAAGGAAAGGTAAAACAAGAAAACACTTTAAATTTTGTGGTCAATTTGAGGCATGGAAAATTGAAGCAACTGACTGTTGAATCACACTTAGTTCATGTTGTGGTCCAGTTTTGTTAGACCCCATTTTCATTCAATTATGAATTGATATTGTGTTTAGTAAAGTGGATCAACTTTGCTGCATATTTTGGCACAATTAAGCAGGTTCTTAAGTATGTTGTGTCTTTAGGCTTGACCATATATTGTTGGAAACCACTGGATTGGCAAATCCAGCACCTTTGGCATCTGTTCTTTGGCTGGATGAACAGTTGGAATCAGAAGTGCAGCTTGATTCTATCGTCACTGTAAGTATCTTATTTTGGATGAAATTCATTTCCCTTTTCTTTGTTTCTTTTTCTTTTTTTTGGCGGGGGGTGGGCGGAATCAATATTGCTGTAATTTTCTATATGTTGTTTTTAAATTAATTCTCTAGAATTTTCTGTATAATAAGACTTCTGCTTATAGTTGTTTTGTTCCATGTCAAACAAATTAAGCTGTTTTAGTTATTCTCGTTCTTTGATGTCCAAGAAATAGTTCTTGGAGACTGAGGTAGGACATAGTATAGCACTTGTCTTGGTTCTTGAACTAAAATACTTTTATCATGTTAATTTTTGTGGCTCAGTTTCTACTTATATAATGTTATAAGCTGTTTCTTTCCTTGGTATATGAGAGCATGTCTTGTGAATCATGGTCTCTTTTTTAATTGAGTTTCTGCTCAAGTAGGTGGTGGATGCCAAAAATGTTCGTTTCCAGCTTAATGAGCATCGTGACTCATCTTCATTCCCTGAAGCATATTTACAGATAGCATTTGCGGTAATTGTTTATAATTGGTCACATATTTTTCCTTTTCTCATTTAATAATCACCAGAATTTTAGAGATTTCATGGAAAAGGAACAAAAAGATTATGGGAACACGATAAAATATATTTCACCAATGTGACTCCAAGTTATATATAACACTAACCTTTTACTCCTATTTATACTAATAATTTATGTCAAGGACAAGCATAGTACAACTAGTACAAGCATTTAACCTAGGGTACCTATAATATTTTAACAATAATATTTCTTTCTGAATGATAAATGAAAATAGTGGAATTCAGTACTGAAGAGCTAATAATTTTTCTGCTTGTTTCAGGACATTATAATTCTTAACAAGGTTGATTTGGTATCTGCAGAGGGCTCTGGAGCTCTGGAGGAACTTGAGGAGGAAATCCATAACATTAACTCCCTCGCAGAGATAATTCATTCTGTCCGATGTCAAGTTGACTTGTCTAAGATCTTGAATCGCCAAGCATACGATACTGCAGTTAATTATACATTATTTTGTTCTCCATCCATAATTTTTTTACCCCACCTGCGTAACTGCCATTTATTTTTGCTGCCTCTCTTTTCAGCATGCCACTCATTTAGAGACATTGTTAGAAGAAAGTCGTTCTTTGTCTACTAAAAAGCTTCATGATAGTGGCGTGAGAACCATATGCATTTCTGACATACAGACAGTTGATATTGATAAGGTAGATTTTCAAATTACATTCATCATGTTATTGTAGATTACATTATATAAAACACTTGAAATTTTTCATTTTTTTCTGTAGCTTATATGCAAGTATCAACGTAGTTTATTTTTTCTCTAGCTAAATACATGCATCATATATTTAGCTTCTAATGTAGAAAACTGATTAAAACAATGTTTCCCTCTTTATTTCCCCACTGGCATCCGCTCATAAACTATGCTGCTAGAGTACTCCTTTTCCTTCACTGAAATCTCAATCGATTGTTTGTTTCTGTACTGCATAACAGTGAATTCAGAGTTTTGAGTAAAATATTCCCTGTCTCATCTTGTATTTGTATATTATTTTAAAATATGACAGACTCGTTTATGGCTTGAGGAGATTCTCTGGGAAAAGAAATATGATATGGATATATACCGTTGCAAAGGAGTGTTAAGTGTTCAAAATTCTGATCAACTGCATACATTGCAGGTAAATTATACTTGATGACATTAAGATTTTCCCAGAAGTTATCTTATGCTAAGTTTTTCCAAAGTGCACTTCCACTCATGTTGTTCTGTATCTAAGTAGATCTATGGTTATCTTCATCATTGGTTGGGCATGTGAAATTGTTTATATTTTATAATTAAGTGTACCTTTTCATTGGCTCCTCTATTACTGTTTGAAGAGATATTTAGTATATAGGACACCACCTCTGTACTTTAAGTGATCTTGACAAGTAAACTTTGTTATATCACCAATCACCAAGCTATGATGCTATACTTTCGGTCTCTAGATTGTAGATTCAGTAAATGATTTGTTGTTCAGGTACTGACGCTTGTTGATTTTAATTTGGTATTGTATAAGAAAAATTTGACGACCCCAAATAGTTTGGGATAAAAGTGATATTGATGTTTAGTTAATTGTTTAAGGAAAATTGCACATCCAGACTTAATTGCTAACTCCTTGATTTACAAATTTGAGTTTGAAAATAAAATAAAAATTGCTCATCTTCATCTCAAAACAAAGAGAGAAGAAAAATCTGCAATAAGAGAAAATAAGATAAATTTTATTTATATTCTGTATCGTCTAGTCACATCTGGCAAGCCTAGATTCTGAAACTCTATATCCTCACCTTTTGAAGTTTGTATTGTCCATATCCTCATCATACCTGTTATTTGATTGAGCATGAGATGTTTGTAAAGAAATTGGCATGGTGGTGGAATTACTTTGTCTCTTAGGTTTCTGTATGTTAACTATTATTGTTATTTTTGGTATTATTGTCAAATCTTCTATTCTTGAAAATATGGCAGGCAGTGAGGGAACTATATGAGATTGTTCCAGCTCGCAAGTGGGAAAAGGAAGAAAACCGGATGAATAAGATAGTCTTTATAGGTACCTTGATGAGCTTTTTTGTTCTAAGCACTACTGTGAATAGTGAAAAGGCCTTCTTCAGATTGGTAACATACTTATTTGTTTTCTGATTGACAGGTCATAATCTGAAAGAAGATGTTCTAATTAATTCCTTCAGAGCTTGTGCTACATGTTAAGCTGTATTTGTTCCCATTTTGTGGATAATAGCTGGATAATCAATGATTTGCTGATGATTATGAGATTCAACCAAATCACAATGTGTTTAAATCTTAGGTGTTTTCAAATCCTAGGTCAAGTTCTTGGATGCCATCTTGCTCAAGTCATAAGAATTTAAAGTTTTCCAATATCTCTCTCTCTCTCTCTCTCCTCAAGTAGTAGTTTACATGCATCTCTTACCCATTCTTCTTTCTTCACTGCCACTCTGCCACATTTTGATCTTTAACTGTTACAATGCAAACTCCAAGAAGAGTGAAGTTATTTTATGAAATGAAATTTTATATACTAATTAAACTCAATGTAAAAAGGGGAATGCTTAAACCATCTCAGTAAATGAAATCTCAAAACTCTTCTGTTGGTCTTTTAAATGAAATTAATTTACGGAATAGAAAGAAGTTCGTTTTATAAAAATTGATTATTGCATAACCAAATAAAACATTTAACATAATATGAAACTTTTATTTAGTCAATTATCTAAATAATTATATACAAGATAGAATTATGTTTGTGAGGAGGGTGAATAGACTCAAATTAGAAATCAAATTAATCGGAGCAGTTAGAATACTAGTTGATATCTATAAAGTATATATTATATACAACTACCATTGCTTTCTAATAAAAAAAATAGAGTAAATATCTTTTTTGGTCCTCAGCAAATTTTACAATATTCGCTTTAGTCCTTGGCTAATTATTTGTGATCCTTAAGAAATTTAAAATGGATTCATTTAGTTGAAATCGTGATCCCTCACAAATTCAAAAAAGATCTATATTAGTTCCTCAAAAGGACTAAAATAGGTCCATTTTGAATTTCTTAATAATCACGAATAACCTTTTTATTTGTTAGGGACTAAAGTGGGCATTGTAAAATTTGACGATGAACGAAAATGATATTTATTCAAAAAAATATGCACCTGCCGATATAATGTTTAAGTTCCATGCATGAACTTGTCCAACATACATAAAAAATTAAAAAGAAAAGAAGAAAAGGAAACTGCTTTTGCAGGTGCTGATCTAGCAAGAAATCATTGGTAGAACATGATGATTAGTGTCAATCTGGAGATTCTTCTACAAGATAGAATTATGCGGCAAAGTAGTTGCCTTCTTCATTCCCAATGAGATCAGAAGGATTATCATGTAAAAGCTTTGTCAGAAGGCAATAAGTGTATAGGAATAAAAAATTAGAAAGCATTAATAATGGTCAATTCTCCTAAAAAGAGGTGATAAGTTTTGAGGGCTAAGATTATGACTTATATGGGTTTTATTAGTGATAAGTTATCTCTTATAGAGATAAATTTTTATGACTTCATCACCTGGAAAAAAAAAGATGGCATAATTATCAAAAGGTATGTAGGAAGGAAAATTTATCTCATGTAATATGAAAATCGTTTTTCCTTATGTATATATTATGTTTATGAGTTTAGTATGTGTCCTTTTAAAGGATGTAAGTTGTGTCCTTTAAATGATTTACACAAAATTTGACCGATTATACTTTGTGTAAATCTAAAAAGTTACTTTTTTCACTTTACACGTCAACAATGTGACTGGAGAGAAAAAAAAATAACTTTTCATATTTACACAAAGTATGACTAATCATACTTTGTGTAAATCACCTAAAAGGACACAAACTTGTGTCCTTTAAAATTATACTTCTTTTTCTCTATGTTTATTTAGTATAAGAGTCTGATTGTTTAAAAATATTTATTTCCATAGATCATAATAATATGAATGTTAGTTACTCAAACTATAAGTTAACTATTAATCTTAAATATCATAAATCAACGTTTGATTCCTTAACTATAATCTCCCTTTTTATTTGGAAAGCTTAGTTCTCCCTCTTTTATTTCTCATATTGGTGCTAATTTACACCTGTCATACCTCTATTCTAAGAACTATGAAGCACGAAAAAGAGATTAGGGGAAAAGAGTAGAGGTTAGTGCAAAGCAATTAAATTGCTTACTTTCTAAATTTAGAAGCAAATGATTTGCTTCTAGATTCTACAATGAACCGTTGCCTACATTATGAATATGAAGTGAGAAACAAGCAATGCTACTACAAATTAATTTAAGATATCTTATGTAATTATATTTATTACAATAAATTGGCAATAATAATAAATGTTTAAATATTACGTTTGTTTATGATGTGATTACATATAAATAAATAGTATTTTTTTATAGATGAAAATTTAAGAAAAAAAATATAGATCTATATTTATTAATATTTTACAAATTTTAAGAAAAAATATTATTAATATTAGTCTAGACTACCTCTTTTTAATCAAAGCCATACGTAACAAATTTAATAAATATTTTATAAATCACTCATATAGCAATTCAAATATACTTTTCCAGTGAGTAAACAATTGAATAAATAATAAATATTTGAGTAAATTATATTTTATCCCCTATAGTTTGACTCAAAAACAGTTTACCTTCCTGTGTTATAAATTTTGACACTGTAGTGGTTTACTCTTATATTATATACTCATTTGTTGATATATTCCATATATTTTTTTAACAGAATACACATATTAAAATTATCAAATATATTGAAATAATTTCTCTCTAATACTGTATTCACATTTTATTTTTGTGTCACATAGGACAAAATGAGTAGTCACTCTAGTAAATAAAAGTAGCATCAGTCGAGCAATATTTTTTAATGCTTGTGCAAACAACTGTCGTTTTAAGAAATAACCAAAAAGAAGAGTTGGAATGAGAAAGAAACAGAATGTGAATAGAGTGTTGGATATAAATTTTTTAAATATTTTATGCAATTATAATATGCATATTTCATTAATAAAATAAATAAACAATACCCTATATGAAACAAAATATCACCTAAAAATTTAAGTGGTTAAGTAATAAATTTTCAATAATTTTATGGAAAATAGTTATATCATGTTGTAGGAAATTGGTAGTGTCATGTTATAGACACAACCAACGTGGACTCCATTGTTTTTTCTTTTCTTTTTATTTTAAACGTGATGAAATTCACATTGATTGTGTCTACAGCATGACACACTCAATTTTCTACAACATAATACAACTATTTTCTTAATTTTATATTATATTTCTCTATAACGTGACAAACTGCATCACAAGAAAATTATAAGTATTAAATTTTATAACTCAACAAGTCCAAGTGTTTTTTACTTAAACTGCGTGGAGTAAAGTACACGACGAATCCAAAAATAAAATAATTTAAAAATAAAAAAATTAAAATTAGAACGGACAATTTACATTTCAAAAATGAACTTGAACTTGTCATTTTAGGTGAAGGTGACCATTCCAAATAAAGATAAAGAGTGATGTTTTAGATGGGACTTTGACCAAAGTAACACCTTTTGACTAATATTTTACCAGTATGTCACCTTACATTTCGAAATTTTCAAAATGCCACGTTTCAATCCTGCTACACCAACCAGCGATATTGTCAGATGACACGTGGCGGTCAGCCATGGTGATCCATTCCCGCTGGTATGACAAGCTAGAATGGCTTGTCAATCAACCAGTCTGCACACTTTGAAAAGCAAGACACGTGTCACCCTCCCACCATTCGCGCTGGTCAGCCCAGCTATATTCGCTGTACTTTCTGAAAAGCAGGACACGTGTCACCCTCTCACTATTCGCGCTGGTCAACCAAGCTAGATTTGTTGTACTTTCAGACACGTGTCAGCACCCCCTTAATCGCGCTGGGTTGCCTAGCTGGTTTGGTACGTACTTTCACGTCACGTGTCAGCACCCCCTATAATAAAAAATTTACATTTTATCCTATAATTTTTTATTAACGCTACTAAGAAAAAAATATTAAATATAAATACAAAACCTAATTACAAATTACGATAATTAACAATCCTTAAATAATATTAAACTAATTATTGTAATTAACATTAACAATGTCTCTTATCCTATAATTTGTTTATTAATAAATGCTAATAATCACAACAATATTAAAAAAATACTACCCAAATTACTAATTACAAAGATTTTAAACCGTAAAATTAACTTATTCTTTTTTTTTTGGTGTGGAAATTTACTTATTCTACTAATTTATATAATAAAAAATAATTAAATTTTTATCCTATAATTTTTTATTAACAAATGGTACTAATTAATAAAACTAACTAATTATATTTAACATTAACAATGTCTAGGGACCTATTTTGTTAATTATAATAGTTAGTTTAATATTATTTAGGGATTGTTAATTATCGTAATCAGTAATTAGGTTTTGTATTTATATTTATTATTATATTAATTAGTACCATTTGTTAATAAAAAATTATAGGATAAAAATTTAATTATTTTTTATTATATAAATTAGTAGAATAAGTAAATTTCCACACCAAAAAAAAAGAATAAGTAAATTTTACGGTTTAAAATTTTTGTAATTAGTAATTTGAGTAGTATTTTTTTAATATTGTTGTGATTATTAGCATTTATTAATAAACAAATTATAGGATAAGAGACATTGTTAATGTTAATTACAATAATTAGTTTAATATTATTTAAGGATTGTTAATTATCGTAATTTGTAATTAGGTTTTGTATTTATGTTTAATATTTTTTTATTAGTAGCGTTAATAAAAAATTATAGGATAAAAATGTAATTTTTTTATTATAGGGGGGTGCTGACACGTGTCGTGAAAGTACGCACCAAACCAGCTAGGCAGCCCAGCGCGATTAAGGGGGTGCTGACACGTGTCCGAAAGTACAACAAATCTAGCTTGGTTGACTAACGCGAATAGTGAGAGGGTGACACGTGTCTTGCTTTTCAGAAAGTACAACGAATATAGCTGGACTGACCAGCGCGAATGGTGGGAGGGTGACACGTGTCTTGCTTTTCAAAGTGTGCAGACTGGTTGATTGACAAGCCATTCTAGCTTGTCATACCAGCGGGAATGGATCACCATGGCTGACCGCCACGTGTCATCTGACAATATTGCTGGTTGGTGCAGCGGAATTAAAACGTGGCATTTTGAAAAATTCGAAATGTAAGATGACATACCAATAAAATATTAGTTAAAAGGTGTTACTTTGGTCAAATTCCCGTTTTTAGATTTGGTGAAAAAGAGACAAAATGGGTGAAATGTGACCTTTGCAAACTCGCCTGTGTGATTGGTTGGCACAGAAAATATGGCCCCCATTTTGGCCAACATGTGCACGTATTTATTGATTTATTTGCCGTTCATTCCGCTGACACCAAGATCTCTAAATGCGCTAAGATCAAGACGCCCAGCATCGCTACTTTAATTTAAGTTAACTACGATGATTTTAATCTATTTAACCACAGTTTAACTTTTTTAGACATTAAAGTTAATTGAATGTAATGTTTTACACTTTTGTTTAGTTTCAAAGAAGTGTTCGTTTTTTTAAGTTATTTTAGATAATTTATTTAATATTTACCGAAACAATGTTATTAGGGGAGGAATCATAATATATTTATAATTTTAATTTATTTTAGAGTTATAATAATTTTATTATTATAATTTTTTAGTTTTTTAACCCAAAAAATGACGTCATTTCGATGAATATTATATAAAACTGTCTAAAGTAATATTATATTTTTTTTCCCTTCAAAGAATTATGGATCATAGCCGACTTTGTCATGTAGGAGTAGTTTAAATATCTTCATTCCCGACTCGTCCCGCACTTTGGATTAGTCTCATAGTCAACTCAAAAAGTCGAAACTTATGAGAATATCGAGAATAGCCAACTCACCTCAAATAAATAATTAAGATTAGGTTAATTAAAAAAAAAGTTATGTATCATAACATTTATTATTTTTAATTATTTGTTTTAAAGAAAAAATATTTAGCTAGCCCTAAGGGTTTATTATCATCATAACAAAAAAAAGGTTATTAAATTACTTAAGTAAATTATTAAAAAATATGTAATTGAACATATATAAATGATTTTGATAATTAACAAAAAATATGTCACCCTTGACCGTAACCTAGGCTGTACGTAGGGCAAACAAAAGAACATCATTAATAGCAATATTCCTGGTTCATTTTCGTTTACCCAAAATATTTAAGAATATTTATTGTTTTTCTCTTTTGGATCTGATTTTATAAATGATTGTTGGCATGCATATATATATATAAATGCCAAATGCAACATTACAAGAAAACTGAACTCAACTTCCCTCAATTGCTCTCTGAATCTCACTCTCTTCTTAACCAACTCAACTTGCTTGGTACCAACCAAAACCCTAATTATCCATTTCCCTTTCTGTTTCTTTTCTTCTTTTGCATTGAATTTACACCTTTGATCTGATCTGTGTTAGTTTCCCTTTTTTGTTTTTTATGGAAAGTTTTCTGTTTCATTGCTGTGAATCTCTTTTGAATTTGTGTTGCAGGCGATCTGATCGGTTCTGTCAGTATTGCGTTTGATTCAGAATTGGGTCTTTGAATTAATTTTCTTTTTTCTTTGGGGTTTTGATGAATCCATTCCTTCGTTATTGGGGAAGGAGTGTGAGCTATTGTTTCAATGCTAGCAAGGATAGTGAGGGTCCATGGTAACATATGCATAGAATCCTCTATTATGTTAATGATAGGTTGTGGTTTTTTTTCTTTGTTGGTCTTGGAATTTTGTGTTGGGGGAACCTAGAATTTAGTGTTGGTTTTCAATCTGTCTGTCAAAGGAAGTTCCGGGATTTGGGGACATGAGAAGATCCTGTTTCAAGAAATTGTCGATCATATTTGGCCCTAGACCGCCAGTGAGCTGGTTAATCCTGTGCCTTATCAGTCTGCTCGCGCTGATCGTTGTCTTAGGTTCATCTTCTTCGAGTATTATTGATCCGGCGCCTCACATTCCGGTATCTCTCATCTACACAAACTATAGGAGGATAAAAGAGCAAGCAGCAGTTGATTATTTAGAGTTGAGTTCTGTTGTATGGGGTGGACAGAGAGAACTTGACTTTTGTGGCAAGGAAAGAGAGAATTTTGTGCCTTGCTATAATGTTTCAGCCAATTTGTTAGCAGAGTTTAAAGAAGGTGAGGAGTTTGATCGGCATTGTGAACTGTCAGTTGCAACAGAGAGGTGTTTGATTCGCCCTCCTAAGGAATATAAAATTCCCTTGCGATGGCCAACTGGCAGGGATATTATATGGAGTGGAAATGTCAAGATAACCAAAGACCAATTTCTTTCGTCTGGAAGTATGACCAAAAGGTACATCTTTCTCTTAAGTTAATTTCTAGAGTGTGAAGTGGGACCTCCTTTGGCTAGAACTGTGTTTAGGCTATAAGGCTATAACAATTGACTGTTTCAACGAATGTATTGCTGCTTTTACAAGGTTATTTATTGACTGATTATTAATGAATAAGGTTTTTCTATTTCTTAAATTTTGCAATAAATTATCTAGGTTAATGCTACTAGAAGAGAATCAAATTGCATTTCAATCGGAGGATGGACTGATGTATGACAGTGTGAAAGATTACTCTAGCCAACTTGCAGAGATGATAGGGTTGGGAAGTGACACTGAGCTTCCTCAAGCTGGTGTAAGTCTTCCATATATCATCACTCACAAGCTCTTCTCCTTTGGGGACCATAATATTTGGCATGGCTAGTTTTATGCAAAATGGTTTAATGTAGTATATAAAGTCTCTTTTGAATTCTCATTAAGGACTACGTTGTTTTTGTTGCATAATATATCTGTCTGATCTATATTGATCACATTATGGCAGGTTCGTACTATACTAGACATTAATTGTGGATTTGGTAGTTTTGGAGCTCATTTGGCATCGCTGAAAACAATGGCAGTTTGCATTGCGGCATATGAGGCAACAGGCAGCCAGGTTCAGTTGGCCCTTGAGAGGGGCCTTCCTGCTATGATTGGCAACTTTATTGCAAGACAGCTTCCATACCCTTCATTATCATATGACATGGTTCACTGTGCTCAGTGTGACATCAATTGGGATGGAAAAGGTAATTATATTATGTTATTGTTAATGGGCATTAATATATCGTCTTTTCTTCCTTGGCTGTAGACTTCCCTGTGGCTTTTTTAAAAAAATTCACATCCTCTTCTTTCTTAGTTGCCCTGCTGGCCCTATAGCATGGCAAATAACGTTTAGCTTCTTTATGAACTGCTGTCTTTCTTTTCACTCTCTAACATGGAATCATCGAACAGATGGTATGTTCCTTATAGAAGTTGACCGTGTTCTTAAACCTGGAGGATACTTTGTTTTAGCCTCGCCCACAAGCAGGCTACAGAGAAGTTCATCACAAGCTAAAGAGAGAAACATGTTGATGCCAATGGAAGAGCTGACCCAGCAACTTTGTTGGACTCTTCTAGCTCAGCAAGATGAGACATTCATCTGGCAGAAGACTGCTGATGTCGATTGCTATGCATCTCGGTAAGGATAACTGTATTAATGCAAATGCTTGCTTTGTTTAATGATATTATTTTCTAGACTGTTTGATTGATGTTACTAATATCAACTACTATTAGTTCTTCTATTGGCTTGCTCCATTGGTCTCTTGGAGTAGTTTGCTACTATAATTTTTTAATGACATGTTTCGTTACTCTGTAGCAAGAAGTATGCTATACCACTATGTAAAGAACGTGATGATGCTCAGTCATATCATCAGCCTCTTGTACCATGTATAAGTGGGACCGCTAGCAAGCGCTGGATTGCAATACAGAACAGATCCTCTGGATCTGAACTGAGCTTGGCTGAGCTTAAAATTAATGGAAAGTACTTTTTTAAATGCTTTCTGGTTTTTTGCTTCACCTCTTTCTATCCTTCATTCCCATTTTCTACTACTTTGCCTTTTCATTGACCTCTCTCTATTATAGCAGAAATTGAGCCTGAAGATTTTTTTGAAGACTTACAATTCTGGAGATCAGCTCTCAAGAATTATTGGTCTTTGCTTACACCGCTAATTTTCTCTGACCATCCAAAGAGACCGGGAGATGAAGATCCACTGCCTCCATTTAACATGATACGCAATGTGATGGACATGAGTGCCAAATATGGGGGTTTGAACACTGCCCTTCTGGAAGAGGAAAAATCAGTTTGGGTCATGAACGTTGTTCCTGCTAAGGCTTCTAATTCACTTCCTCTTATACTAGATAGAGGTTTTGCTGGTGTTATGCATGATTGGTAAGTTACTTTTTGTTCTTGGTCTAGGCAAGCTAACGAGAGTCCTAGAAAAAGTTTTTATAATTGATTGGAGGTGATAATACCATTAAAGCCTGATTAAACACATACCAAAATGAATTTGAGTGAAGTGTTGAAAATATTTAGCATATGGAAGTTCACTAAATGCTTTTTGGAGTAACTCTCATTTAATAAAATTATTAAATGGCTTTGGTTAATATAGCCTCATTTTATTTTATTTTATATAAAACGGCAACATTTAGTATTAATATGGCCTCACAGCCCTTTATACACATTCAGCTCTTAAAATGAAGATCTTTTCAAATAATCAAAAATTTCATTGCTGAAAATTTTCGTCACTTAACATTCAGTGCTTAAATTTAAGTGCTAAAATATTTAGGTTTATTGAACACACCCTTAGCTTTCTTAATTTCGTTTTCCTTTTGAGACTGCATCTGGGGATAGAATGTAGCAAGCATGCATGTACTTGATCTGTTGGCTTCAAACTACTTGGATTATTGCAAAATAAAATTCGAAAGAACATCTGTTTTTTAATTCCATCTTTAAACTTTCTTTTCGTTGGAGTCATCGATGATATACTTGCAAAGTAAATGGTTCATCTTTGTTATCTGTTGATTGATCTTCAGGTGTGAACCTTTCCCCACTTACCCCCGGACTTATGATATGCTTCACGCAAATGGACTTCTCTCTCATATCACGTCAGAGAAGTGCAGCTTGATAGACTTATTCTTGGAGATGGACAGAATACTGCGTCCAGAGGTACAATGTGCCCCTTATATGATTATTTGTGCTGTTATGATCAATGTGATAACTTGATTTTTTCTTATGCTTATGTCAAAAATATATCATTTATTAGCAGAACAGTAATCTGGTACCTTCATTCTTCCTTTCAAACATTTTTTTATTTGACATATCCTCCAGCATGATGATACTTTCGATTTGACTCTAATCATGCATGCTCATTTATTCGAGTGATGCACAACCAAAACAATTAATTGGATTTTATTTATTTATTTTTCCTAATACAAGTAATTGTTAGTATCAGTATATTGGCAGTGGTCTGTGAAGTCTAATATGTTAACATAGCATTACATGGCTTGGTAGGGATGGGTCATTCTCTCTGATAACATGGGAGCTTTAGAGATGGCTCGTACACTTGCAACACAAGTACGCTGGGAAGCAAGGTTAATTGACCTTCAGAATGGTAGTGACCAGAAGCTACTTGTTTGCCAGAAACCATTTCTCATAAAATAATTGATTGGCAGCACTATGTCTCACCATGGCCAATGAACACTATTTTTTTATCTGGTAATTCTTCTTATCCTTTTACTATATCGGTTAGCATTTAATTTAGTATAAAATTAAACGTTATTGGATGCTTTAAAACACAAATGTTTGTCATCTGGGACATGGAATCTGCATTGGTTTTGATGTGGATTTGTTTAGATACTACAATATTACTGCTATCTTATATATTTGTCAAATTAAGCTCGATAATGTTGCGAAGACTTCAATTGAACAAAATTGGAGGGCATGGGGGGGAGGGGTGGGGAAGGGAAATCCATGATAACTTAACTATGCAAGAAGCACAGCTATTTGGATTTTGGGTAATTTTTTTTAATATTGGAACCTGCCAATAATCAATTCCCACAAATTTGTGAATTGAATTCTCTTGGTGCATATCAGAATGTTTTGCAGCTTATCTGTAGTCTGAACTGCAATATTGTGTTATTGTTTGTTCAATTTCAGAGAATGGATTGTTTAGTTGGCAAAGGTTGTATATATTGCTCAGAGCCCTGACATTTTTCCATCGTTTTGCGCAATTGGGTCGAGGAATCGTGGAAGCTGTAGATTTTGAAGGTTCGCGTTGAAGTGAACTCCAATTCATTTTTTGTCAAAGGTGTTTGTAGTAATTCATTCATTTATTATATTGTTAGCATTTTTTTTCCTTCATGGTTTCTTTTATTGATCATTGGATTTGAAGGCTTTCTGTGTGACCAATCACACTAATTTTTGAGAAAGAATGTGAATGGCCACAAATTCAAGAATGAATTTGGCATTGTAACACAGTTCGAGCCTGTCAGTATTCACCATATAGAATAAATCTTTGTTGGGCACGATTTATCACAGGTTCTCAAATCACTATTTGACGTATGCATAGAAATGCACATATCATTAAAAGTATTTTTACGCACCAATTAATAATTTGAATGCCTAAGAAATGACGCCATAGCCATATTTAACTAATTTCTCCACCAAATGACACATCAGACTAACATGGACAGATCTTGCACTTTGGACTTTTGGAACGTTCAAAATCAAATTCCTGACCATTTTCATTTAGCCAAAAGACTAAGGTAGTCACAGACTTTCAATATGAAATAAGAGTTGGATGAAATTGTTAACCAAATTTGAACCCCACCAAGATGAAAAGAAGCATCCTGAACTTTGAATATTCAAATGCAAGATGATGACGGTTATTAATCAGAAATTAAAAAAGTGTTTACCAAATAATTTCCTGACTTATTGAAAAAAACGTAAAAATCGACCATAAACTAATTCTTCCCTTTTTCTCAGGAGTATTCAATACACCCATAATTCTGAGCTTCATGTTACTTATCCCAAGAGACAATGTCAAATCCAGGACATCCCAATTCAATTGAATGGGATGATAGTTTCTCATTCAAAATCTGTACAAAGAGGCCAAGGCTTGCATCTATGAAAGATTATTATTATTATTATTTTTTGTTATACAAAAGTTTAGATGAGATTAGACACTAGTATTCCATCATGCTCGGGGCAAACCACCCAATCTCTTTGAGAAAAGATTATTTTTTTTGTAATAACACACATAACCAATGCCACATATATCAGCTATGCTGGCCAGCACATTTTAAAGATTCAATCCAACTCTATTGTAATTCTCGGAGTATGTATGAATGTGAGAGAGTAGCTGGTTTGATAGTTAGTTGTCCAGGGAGATAAAGCACAAAAAGGGGTCATACTTCACATTTCTAGTTTTATTGACATATGATTGAAGTAAAAGGAGCAACCTAATATTCTCTTATTCAATATCCTGGAGATATTTGCCTGGTAACATTTATGACAAACGAAAAGTCAAAGAAGTTTACATGCAGCTTTTCCATTTGTCTCTTTTATAAGGACGCGGTTCGGATTAGTGACATTTGATTGCTAGATGAACTTAGCTCAGCAAATGTCACCTACCAGTCCTTAGGAAACTTCTGCAAGCACAGATATCTTGGGGCTCCTGATATACCTCTCCCTTTTAATTTTAAATATGGTTCATTCCAAACAATTTTCAAAACCCGAACACTGGGAAGCGAAAAAAGACATGATTACTTTTAGAACCTACAAGCAATAGAGATATCCTCAATACAGATTCTAGGAAAGCTGAGTATTTTAAAATCCATATAGGGTGTGAAAAAGGGCTAGGTTCTTACATTTGTCAATTCTTAATCCATATACAAGATCAGAATAATTTAGACTCCAAAATCTCATGTCAAGAATAGCACAGGAGTAGACTGGAGTAAAAAAAAGGGATAGTAACTCATCAACCTCTGTTGCTCGAGTCTTTCTTCAAGAAAAACCACAATTTCAATGAGGACCCTGAAAAGAATAAAAGTTGTTAATGGGGGAGTTATTTAAAGTTGTAAACTAGAAAGATTGCGAACTCCTCCCAAAATTTAATACAGATGCCAAACTATCGTCCAGCCAAAGAGAAGGAAACATGAAAACGATCTCAAGGTATCACGTTCCTATTTAATTTGTCACGGCCTCGCTCACAGGCACACAGGGCCAGTGGTGGTATTTGGTATGGAAATTTTGGTTGTTCAGTTCATCTGTGAAATGGGAAATGAGATGAACTCCCAGGGACTTGCATGAGTGTAGTGATCATTGGATTGGTATCCTATCCATTCCCCTCTAAACCTTACTCTGGAATCTGGATAACTTGGTAGTTGGTGCCACAAAGAGGTAGTCTCTGGAAGAAAACCCCCATAGGCATAGCCACTTAGCCACCAAAGCAATATTTTTTTTATACCATGTTTCCAAGATCCAATTCCCTTCATTTTTTTTGGTCTGCATCATAACTCCTAGCAGAAGATAATCTTAGACCAAAGAAAGTCTCTCATGATTTTCTCTATCCTCGTAGCCACTCCATTCAAAATACAAAAGAGCAAGACATAATAGAGTAGAAAACTGAACAAAGGTGTTTTTTGAACTGAGGTAATCCAAACTACTGAAAAACAAATGATAATACAGATATATAATATTTAAGAGCTATATACCTGAATCGTGTACTTCTTGCAAGCCAACCTTCTTCACTGTCATTAAGCTTACAAACGTCATGTTTCATCAATCTGCTGCTTCATTTCCAATAAACTTGGGTTTTTGACATCAATTTGTACAGCCTTTAGATTTACGCATCCTGCTTATCAATCATTAGTATCTTCAGTTATTGGACATCTGTTCCTTCTCCTATCTCTAGTTGCCATTTTCTGCCCATATCTCTCAAGTATCTCTGCCAAATCAACCAACCCTACCTCTCTCAACTTTTTCCCAACCTCCTCAAATATAAACACGCCTTCCTCATTTGAAAAGTAGTGCAAAAATTTATTATAATCAAACCTTGGCACCTCCAGTCCTCTGTTCATCACCCTCTCCACATACTTGGTGGCTTCTCGCGACTTTCCTGCTTTCACCAAACCGCCAACAAAAATAGTGTCAAAATTGATAAGTGGATCAGACCCCTTCCTTCCTCTCTTCCCCAAATGGCCTTGCAGCAGCATTATGTAGGTATGCATAGTTGGTTCACAACCTCTCCTTATCATCTCCCTAAACACCTGAGTTGCCTCACTTGCCCTTCTCAACCTCAAAAGCCCTTTTATCAAACCATGATAGACACTTATATCCGGCACATCAATCCCCTCTACAATTTGATAAGCCTCTCTAACTCTACGTTTTGTTAGAAGCCCAAATACAACAGATCCCAATGTTAAGTTATCAATTTGAATCCCTCTCTGGCGCATTTCTTCAAAAACTACCTGAGCCTGGGACACCATCCCCTTCTTACACATCCATTTAATCACCAGCCTATAAGTTGAAACACCAAGTTCATCCATCCTCTTAAGCCTCATCATCTGAAAGAGCTTCAAAGTCTCACCATAATGATTACCCTTGAAAAGGGTCTCCATCATTTTCTCAACAGCATCAACATCAGGCTTAAACCCTTCATCCTCCATTAAATTCCAAATCTTGGAAGCCTCAATGAAATCACCCTTATCACAATAACCCTTAATCAAATGCTTATAAGTAACCCCATCAGGCCTAATCCACTCCCTCAACTTGAAAACAACAACCTTAGCCTCCTCAACAAGCTTGCACAAACACATTACCTCAACAACCTTATTCAAAGTTTCCAGGTTATACTCATACCCATTGGAATTCATCAAGTGGAAAAACTCCACACACTTCTTCAGCTCTCTGGCACCACCAAAAGTCCTCAACGCAATCACGAAGGTCTTGTCATTGGCAAAACGACGACGTGCCATGTCCTCAAGAAGGTTCCAGAAGAGGTCAATGTTTCGAGACTTGCCAATAACATCAAGCATCTTGTTGAAGGAGACAGGGGTGTGGTCGAAATGAGGGTGTGCTTGCGTGTACATGAAGAAACGGTAAACGGGTCGCCATGAATAAGGGAAGTTGTTGCATACCTGGAGGAAGAACTCGTGGGTGAGTCGGAACTCGCAAGAGGCGAGTTTTGAGTGGAGCCTTGACTCGGGCGAGTTCTGCTGCTGGTAGAGCACGGTGCAGACTCGGAGGAGGTGATCCTGGTTCACCGGCGAAATGGGGTTGCTCAGGTGGCGCGTGAGGATGTTTGAGCATAAGAGCGTGGCTGTTCGCCGGAGATGCATCTTGATAACTAGTCATTCAGAGAAAGGTTTAAACTTTGATTTATGCATAATTATACTCTTATTATATAACCTATTTCTGATGTAAAGTAATGTGCGTAAAAAAATGGATTTGGACATTATATTTAATCACAATCAGATAAAATAAAAGAGAGCAAAGCCTGTAATTTTTAAATAAATGGCACATGATGATTTTTAAACATTAGAACATTCAAATCCGTAAAAAAAAAAATACATATATCGAATGTTATTCAGAAATGAAAGAAATATTGATGAAGAATTTGACGTATAATAATGAGCAATATTTGTGTGTTTGGGGCCAAAAAAAAATTTGGTAGAACGGAGGTGTGAGAGAAGGAGAGAAAAGATTGGGAAGAGAAGAAAGAAAAAAAAAAAATTGATCCAGATATCAATTTTTTAGTGGAAGGATCAGATAAAATAAAAGAGAGAAAAACGTGTAAGTTTTAAATAAATGGTTATGCGATATGATCAGTTTTAAACGTGAGAACATTCAAATCCGGAAAAGAAAAAAAAAAACATATATCGAATGTTATTCAGAAATGAAAGAAATATTAATGAAGAATTGGACTTATAATATTATAGGGTTTAAAGTTTTAAAGATTCTTTAAATAACTTTATTTAAAATTTATCAAAATATATATAAAAAATGTGAGAGACTCATATTTTTTTTTCTCTTTCTTCTTTTCATATGGTTCACATAGATCCTATATATTTTTATATGTATTTTGATAAATATTAAATAAAATTATCTAAATAACTTTAGAAACTTTCAATCCAATATTATAATCACATTTGGGAGCTGGTGTAAATTTTAGAGGTTCCGACTTCAAAATATATATATTTTTATATTTTTTTTCCCTTTAACTTCGACTAAAAAATCATAATGGTTTTCTTATAAAACTAAATATTAATAAATAGGGTCAAAATTTAAATAAATTTTTTTAAAATTTCTTACTATTGGCATGTGTGGAGATTTTTATTTTAATGTTTTATGTAACATCCTTTAAAATTTACTCTTATCAACAAATATTACATGATTTCTTTAAATTTATGTTTTCTTTTTATGTATAAACAGTAAGAAATTAAATGGAGAGGTGTTAATGTAATTAATTGATATAGATTGATTTATTAAATTTTACTATTGATGATAAGAAAAATTAAAAAGGAACTATATAAACATCTACCTACGATACTTTATAGATAACATTAAGTCAGTACATACGAAAATTATTTTACATTGGTCTTACATTTTACTATATATTACATCACTTTAACTTATATTCCTTGCATCATATAATTATACAATACAAAAGTCCTATCCTAATCTAGTCTATAGGTGTAAGTCTCAACACTTTCAGCATGGAATATTGCAACGACTTCTTGATTTCCTACTATAATATAATATTCCATGTGATCGTCGTAAGAGTAAACATTGATAGTCCATCCTTCACCTGACAAGCTTAAACTAAGCATTATGATTCTTTGGAAGGTTAGTATAAAAATAAACAAATGTGAGAAAATTCTCAGTAATATTGAGGTTTTTTTAACTATAATCATTTTCAGCCGTAATAATGGAAAATACCATTCTCTCGTATAATTTAATAAAATGAAATAATATAATAAATAATGCATTGTGTAATGTTTAACTGAAGCTAAATAATTTCCCAACTTTGTGATTCTCTGCATATGAAAGATTTATTGTGGAAGAACTCAAGCCACGATAAGGCGTCCCTCACGCCCTATAATCGTCTGAACCCAAACTTAGTGGGTCAGTTCATAGCAGTCTTCATAAGTTAAATTTACACATTCTCTTCGTAATTATTTGGTACCAAACAATTCATCAACTTGATAATCAGTTTGTGAAAGGAAATCAAATTTAAAAGAAAATAAAGATACTGTAAGAAATAAAATCACTGAATGAAATCAAACTACTGTAACGAAGTAAACTTGAAAAAAAGAATAACAAGAGTTTGGCAGTGGCAAGTAAAATTAATTTTCGTTCGAAGAATAAAAAAAAATGAGAGAACGTTTTTTATCACCCAATATTACCTTATGCTTCGTCGCTTTCTTTTTTCTTTTCCTTTTTGATCTCTCTCTTTCATTTTTCTTTCAGGTTCCTCTCTTTCTCTTCTCATATTTTTCTTCTTTTTTTCTCTTTTTTGGAGTTACCTAACCCTAATTATCTCTTTGAGACGAGTTGGCTCCCTCCGGTATCCCCACGAGCTTCGACTCTTTGAGCCGGCTGTGGGACTAATCCGGAGTGCGGGGGAACAGTGATGGCTAAAGGTTCAGCCCCCTCCCCAAGAATGCATTCCGCAGGAATCGAACACATATCCAATCTTCTTTTTCTCTCTCAGGCAACATATATATATATATATTATATATATATATATATATATATATATATAGAGAGAGAGAGAGAGAAAGGGACTTACTTACGTTCGAATCGTATTTCGTTAGCTTTTAACAAAACTCGTTAAATTGTAACTAAGTAATCATTTTTCAGATGATAACTAACCACGTAATCATCAAAGTGAATGTTTCTAGAAAAATTTTCGTAAGCGTTTGTGTGGTGCTTCCACATTTTCCGTCATGTGTTTATATGTATAAGGTTTTATTTACTTTATGTAGTTCATTTATATATACATATATTCATTTATTTATCAATTATATTATTATTATTTATTTTATTATATTGTTTTTATATTTAGTATTTATTTATATTTTATTATTTAATAATTATATTACAATTATTATTATTATTATTATATATATATATATATATTAAAGCCAACTGCGCTATTTAAGCGCTTAACGCCTTCAACCTCTATGCTAGAAGCGCAGCCTCAGCGCTGAAGGCTTCAATTTTTGTTTTCTGTAGTTTTATACACACACACACATATATATATATATATATATATATATATATATATATATATACAAATATCTATATTCCTTCATTTATCGATTTATTTATAATATTTATTATTATTTATTTTATTATGAACATATTATATATATATATTTATTTCTTTTAATATTTAATTACTTTTTTCTTTATGATTATTATTATTATATATATATATATATATGCAATTAGCGTTCATTGAGCGCTCAATTCCTCGAAAGTTGGCGCAAAAGTAGCTTAAATTTTATTTTATTTATTTACTTTTTTTTAATTTTTGAAAATTATATTTTACACATATTTTAATTATCTCTTTGAGCGAATCATTTCATGAATATCTATACAACCTTCAATTCTTTAAGCCGAATATAAGCAATAATGAGTCTCGGCTTTATTATAGTTAAAATTGGTAGTCTCTTTCAAAAAATATATTTGATGAAAATTGAATTCATATTCTCTTTCACCTACTCAACGTGTATCGCAAACTCGTGCAAACTATTACGTAGAGATTTGTAAGATACTTAAAAAAGTAAAGGGACAAAAAAAAAAAAAAAACAGGCATGAATAAAGTGCATGCATAATAATAAAATTGCCCATTATAATAATAACCAAAAGAATGTCGAACTGTTAAGGGTCTGTTTGGAGCAACTGATAAAGAAGATATGATAAGATAATTTATCGTATTTTATTTTTATCTCTTGTTTGGTGGATCAATAAGATATGATTAGCTTATCCTATTGTCTCATTTTATCCTATCCAATACATGATTTTTTATCGTATGGGGGGAGATGTGTTAGGATTCAACAAGATAGGATATCAATATTGGATATCTAATATATCCTCACGCTATCCAATATATTTGTATTTATTGCATTATATTTTGTTTTTTCTTTCTCCTTCTACATAATCTTATTAGATTACTAATCAGAAATTCATCAAACACATGACATGATATAGACTTATCAGCCCCATATCATATCCTATCATTATCCTATCTACTCCACCAAACGAGCCCTAAAAGTTAAAAGAGCTCTAATATTAAATCTGTGGGGCACATAACGACACTGTGAATATTTAAATTTTAAAATGAAATTTTCTATTTTTTTCAATATAGTTTCAGTCAATTTTTATTTTATTTTTACATGTGTAATTATTTTTAATATTACTTCCGTTATTTATTATTGTATAATATTATGAGGTTGATAAAGAATTATTGTGAAATATAAATATTGATTAAAAATATTATCACTTATAGAAACTAAAAATATAATATTTTTAATACTTATACATATTATTTATTTTTAATTTTAGTTCGTATATTTTACTGTATTATAATCTTATAATATAATCTTATGACAATCAAATATAATAATATTAACTTAAAAAATTATACGTATAAACATTAAAATAAATTTCCTATAAAATTAAATGTAAAATCAAAATTATATGTGTACACAGACATATAGAATAAATTTTTAGTGCATCATATATACCGAATACACAGTACATTTGTTCAATTATTTTATAATATGTGAATAAAAAACATCTTATTATTTATTTATTTTAAATGTTATAATATTTTTTTATTCACATATCATACAATAAATGGACAGATGTACAATATTAAGGGCTCGTTTGTATTGACTTGTAAAAAAAGTTATTTTTATGACTTTCTTATTTTAAAAGCACTTTCTATAAAAGTTATAGCTATTTTGATTTTTAAAACATTTTATTTTTGAAAAAAAAAATATTTGGCTTTTGACTTCTATTTTTTTAAGAAGCTAAGATTTTTAGCTTCTGAAAAAAGTAAATTTTTGACTTTTTTTACAAACTTTTGCTTTTTTTTAAAGTAGGTATCCAAATAGACTTTTTTCAAGAAATTTTTTTTTCCCTAAAAAAAAATAACTTTAAAAAAAAAAAGGTCCATCCAAAGAGATCGTAAATGCTGTACTAAATTTTTTTTTTTTTACATATATAAAGAATGTAAGCTACCTCAGTTTTTTCTCAGTTAATTACTTAATTGGATTGGGGACAATACTGGAAAAAAAAAACACGTTTTGAAAAGAAAAACAAAAAACACAGAGCGTCGTGTGCTCGTACGTTAAATTTGCGAAGTTACAGATAAAGATTAGACTTGTCTCACCCGATTTGCGCGCTTCCTCTTTCAAACTAGCCGATCCAACGGTCCAGATCTCGGTCTTCCCTTGACCCCCACAACATGCTCGATCTTTAACCACTATATAACCACTCCACCACTCTTTTCCTTCTTCCTCGCACCATCCCCATTTCTTCTTCTTCTTCCTCTTCTTCTCCCCTTTGTTTTTTTGTTTTCTGATCTCTCTCTGCAACAATGTCCGCTGAGAAAGAGAGAGAGACCCAGGTTTACTTGGCCAAGCTTGCTGAGCAGGCCGAGAGATATGAAGGTGCTTCCTTCTTCTTCTTCGTTTTTTTGTTGACTCTGTTTTTTTTTTTTTTTTAAATTTAATCGTTTTTCTTGATGTTTACTGGATGGGGTTTGTGTTTTTATGCTGACATTGTTCTGGATCTGTTTATTGAATCGTTTTGCGGTTATGTTGGATTGTCACTTTTGTTTGGATGGGTTGGAAATGTGGATTGAGATGCAAAAGTTTTGATTTTGAGATTTGGGTTTTAAATGTTGTTTATGGATCAGTTTGTGGATTAGATCATTTTGGAAGGGAGGTGTTTCAAGCTGATGGATTCAGATTTTGACTTGTAATTGTTTTTTTATTGTTTCATTGCATTTTATTTTTTTTGAACACATTGTTTCATTGCATTGAGTATTGGCAATTTGGCATGTTACTTGTTTGATTTGATGTTTAAATGGGAAAAAAAATGACGTGGGGGAAATGATGCTTGGAAACTGAAACAGCTTACCTAAGTGTTGTCATGGAGCCAAAATGGCCCTTCTGGTCTTCTCCACTCATGATTCCTTCTGTCATCAAAGTGAATCATAGAGAAAGAAGTGCTCTTTTGTCCCCCATTTTTTCTTTTTGCTCTTGAACCTTTCTTCCTCAATTTAATAAACTCTATTTGCATTATTTCTTTTACCTTTTGAGTGTAGTCTTTTTGCCTGATTAAGTGAAGATTAATTTTGTTCAAGTTTTATTTAGTTAATTTTGTCCGATTTGAGACCACAGTAAAAAAGTATTGACTATGCGCAGAATCTACATCATGTGAGCTTAATTATTGTTGCATGATGCATAGTGCCTGTCAGTAATCCCATGTTGGAAACTGCTTACTAATTACTAGCAATATTATCGATATGATGATATCTCTCTGAAACTTCATATTTATTTTGCAGAAATGGTTGAATGTATGAAGAAAGTAGCAAAACTTGATCTTGAGCTCACTGTGGAAGAGAGGAACCTCCTCTCGGTGGGATATAAAAATGTTATTGGTGCACGGAGAGCCTCTTGGCGCATTATGTCCTCAATTGAGCAGAAGGAAGAGGCTAAGGGAAATGAACATAATGTTAAACTGATCAAGAGTTACTGCCAAAAGGTTGAGGAGGAACTGTCCAAAATTTGCGGTGACATTCTGACAATTATAGACCAGCATCTCGTTCCTTCTTCCACCTCAGCAGAAGCTAATGTTTTCTACTGTAAGATGTGAGTTATGTTGCTTACATTGCTTCCATGCTACTTGCTTGATTAATTCAATTCCTTTCCCTGTCCTTTTAGACCATTACTTTTATCTCCTTTATTGAATATTTTCTTCCTTTGAGTAGATATAATTGTCTTTTTGAATTACGATTATATCTCCTTTATTGCTTCCATGCTACTTGCTTGAATTACCATTACTGTAAAATATATCATGACAGGTCTGATTACAGGGACTCCAATGCTATGAATGAGTCATTGGACTTACGTGTTATATTATGCTCATCCTTATGCGATATGACATCTCTTGATGATAGCCGCATACTTAGATTTTCTATACCTGATTTCCTTATGCTTCTTTTGATCCAGGAAAGGTGATTATTTCCGGTATCTTGCAGAGTTCAAGACCGACCAAGAAAGGAAAGAGGCAGCTGAGCAGTCACTGAAAGGATATGAGGTATGCATTTGATCTCATGCATTTCTGCGCTGAACTTATTCATAAATTATTTCTTAAGTTTATCTATATGTTGTACTGTCCCTTGATTTTCACAAGTATTTTATTTATTAGGCTGCTTCAGCCACTGCAAACACAGATCTTCCATCAACACATCCAATCCGTCTTGGACTTGCACTCAACTTCTCTGTCTTTTATTATGAGATCATGAACTCTCCTGAAAGGTAAGTTACTGGTTCTCATATTCTGCATGGGTCCATTGAATTGTTTTCGTTATAGCTCTTGTCTCAATGTCATCGATGAAACTTACAGGGCCTGCCATTTGGCTAAACAAGCTTTCGATGAGGCAATTGCAGAGTTGGACACCTTGAGTGAAGAGTCATACAAGGACAGCACTTTGATCATGCAGTTGTTGAGAGACAACCTGACTCTCTGGACCTCCGATTTGCCAGAGGATGGAGGTAAGGGAATGATTGATAAACTTGATATAAGATGCATTTGAGTTTTTCCTAGGTAAATGAGTAAATATCACACGATATGTTGCTGAATAATGATGCGCACGACGCAGAAGTGGTTGGTGTACAATTTGTACAATGTCACCACAACAATTGTCTTCCACTCACCTAGTCCCCTTCTTAACCTTTTTAGAAAATCAAATTAGGATGAATAGAAGGGAAAAAAAATTTCTTGCCCCTGGATCAATTATCCTGAAGGTCAAAGTCATTGTTTCCATAGTGGTGTCTACATCTGAATCACTCCTAGTTAATTGCATAATTAAGCTTATTATTATTTGTTTTGTAATACTCTTGGAACTACTCCAAATAGCGAGGCTCTAAAAGTTAATGCTCTCATGCAGGTGAGGATAACATAAAAACTGAAGAAGCCAAACCTGCTGAGCCTGAGGTATGTGTATGACAAGTTTTAGCTATATTTACATGATTTTCTCGAGAAACGATGTGTGCAAAGCCATTAGATTATAGTAGCAAATTTAATGGTGTAGAATATAAATGAATTATTGTAACTGAAAACGGGTATATATGTGAGAGAGGCTAATTTTCTATAGTCACTGTTTCAAAACATAATTACTTTTTACTCCCAGAATTTGACGTTCTTCTTTGTTTGCAGCAGTGAGAAGGTTCCTTCCTGACTCGGTAGTCAGATATCAAAGTTACTCTATAAAGAGGGCAATTTTCAGCTTGTCTTGCAATGGGTTTGGACCGGACAAAATGGACTGCGGCCACATCATAATTCTTGTGCTCTCTTAATATCCAACCAAAGCCAAAAGAACTGAGCCTGTCTTTTTCTTTTTCTTTTTCGTTTTTTTTTTCAATCTTTTTCTTTCTATTGCCTTGTCTATTTTAAGTACAGTGGTCAGTTGAAGCAATTGACAATTTATATTTACCTTATAAGCATCTCTTTTCTGTGTTCATTACGTCTGAATTGATTATACATTTGTTTCCAGTATAGTCCTAGATAAGCAGGGATCTTCACTATAAAAATTTAGCAATGACCTGATAAGAGTTTGGTTCAGTGTCATGTCTAAACTCAAAACATTTTAGTTTAAACTTTAGGTCGTGATTTTAACTCTTGGGGATGATTATGCATACTGACAATAGAAAGGGCATCGTTGCCTTATTCCACAATCCTCCCACTGGATATAAAGAGCGGATAATGTACAGGTCCATTTACCCGTGCTTTGAAATTCCACAAGAGAAAGACACTGAGATTTTGATTCAATATAAAGAATTAGTTCAACTCAAAATCTTAAGGTGTTGGATGAAGACATTTTTAATGGTTTATATTGTTCTTTAACAGTCATGTTACTTACACATCAAACATTTCTCACCATCGTTCATTTCTTGCCATGAACAGATGAATTCGCAATACTAGAAATATTTATCAATACTATGGATGTATCGACTGCTTGATACATTCTTTATCAAAGATAAAGAATGTATCAATATAAAGAATTACTTCAACTCAAAATCTTAAGGTGTTGGATGAAGACATTTTTAATGGTTTATATTGTTCTTTAACAGTCATGTTACTTACACATCAAACATTTCTCACCATCGTTCATTTCTTGCCATGAACAGATGAATTCGCAATACTAGAAATAAAAATATTTTCAATACTATGGATGTATCGACCGCTTGATACAACATTCTTTATCAAATATGGAAAAATAATAATAATACATTTATTTTATTTCCTTCCATATCCATTTTTTTCCTTTTTTTTTAGGGAATACCTACTCCACTTGTTAAAAACATAGACAGTTTCCTTTGTTTAGCCAATTGGCATACATCACATGATGACAAATTGTCAGTAATTCCAAGATTTTATAACCTTTTGATGCATTGCATGAGCCCAAAGAATCAGTTCCTTAACTCAGCCTCGAATAGTCCAGGAGCTAGCACTTTTAGTAAATGGATCAGCTAATTGCGCAGGTGAAGCAATTGGCAGAAAGTGAATAAGATCATTTTGAATTTTCCCAATGAGATGACAATAAATCTTGTGCTGGATTCTTTGCTGAAAACTTGGATCATGAGCCAAGTAAATTGCCAACTTATTATATCATAATACACTGGCATAGGCTGAGCCAAATCAACTTGGAAATCCGTCAGTAAATACCATATGTATAGACATGCATACAACGTGTATCGTAACAAGAATTGAAATAATTACTTTTTTTTTTACACTGTCCGTTATTATTTGTTTGATATTTTTCTCCATTTGTTTTATGTTCTTCATGATTATTATTTTTAAACGGATAATTAACTTGAATAATATTTTTATAATGAAATATATTTGTACCACTCCAGTAATTTTATTTTCGAATTTGACCCCCCGCTGCTCAATCAGCCAATATGCATGTGCCACACACAATGAGCCAGGATTACATAAATTTTACCCTTCCCACAACCACGAATTTCAACGTGAAAATGTTACAATGAGCCCAACAAATTGTGACAGTTTTGTAAATAATTCATTTGTGCAAGTATAATTTTACCACCCAACAAATTGAATAGTGAATTTCGAGATGGCTACTGGCATCTTGCTGAGACGTCCAAGATGACCATGCATTTTATATTTCTATGGTCAAATGCCGCTTAAGTAAAAATCCTATCCTTATAAATTGGAATGATTAAGTGGTAGGATGAAAAATAAAAAATAAAATAATAGATTACGGTGCATGATGGTTTATCACATCGCATATCTACATACTATAAAGTCCAAATGCATTATATCCAAATCAGTGTAGTTAAAAGATATACGTGATAAGAACCAGGCTTTTTGACCCTTATGCCCCTTAATTAATAATTAATTACCAAATTGCCCCTCATTCAAAACTATTTCGAAAATTTACCCTCCCCAACAAACATAACACCAATCTGCCCCTGTTTGACCGTTGACCACGAAGCCTACCCGGGTACACCATTACCTACCCGGGTAAATTTTGAAACTTTTTATCTACCCGAGTATGTAGGGGTGTACCCGGGTAGAGTTCTTGAATCTGGGAAAATGTTTGAATTATTTACCCGGGTACGGAGCAGTGTACCCGGGTAAATCGCGTCCAGAAACCCCAATATGTATGGGTTTCGGCCATTGTTGCGAGGTATAGGGTTTTTGAAACCCCAAATCTTTCTCTCTTACCCTCTCTAATCCGAAACATCACACATATTTCATCTCATCATTTCAGAAAGCTGAATCTTGGTGGGACATTGAGATTACATCTCCACACTCCCATTTTGTGCTAAAAAATCCGAACCAACCTCCAAACCCAAAACCTAGATCTAATTTTTGTGTGAAAGATGAGTTCAAGTCCAAACATGGTTCCTATAGTTGTTTACTACAATGGGAGGCATTTTGAAGGTCCGAACGGTGTCCGATTTGAAGGAAAAACAAAAACGATGAAAATCAAAGTGGGCACTACATGCAATGAACTGAAGGAGAGAATTCTTCAAAAAATGGGGTCAGAAAACATACATTCCATCCACCGCATGATAGCCAGGTTAGAGACTGTAGTGGATATGGATACAATATACTACATTGGAAACGATATAAATGATGATGAAGATGTGGAGTTCGTAACAGATGCGTTTGTTGAATGGAAAGTATTAAAATATATTGAGATATATGTTGAAGTTGATGTTGGACAATCTTCATCTTTACCGGTGCATACAACCACTACTGCACACTGTACCGGTCAAGAAGATACAGTTGTACGATCTTCTGCACCTCCTCAGGTAGCATGGGATGAGGATGAAGACGAGGACTATGTGGACAGCGAAGATGAGGGAGAACCTGAAAGTGCTATTCCAGAAGGTGATTCGTCAGACACTGACGTGGACGGTAATTTTGAGGCTGACATGAGCGCCGTAAGTCTCGGTACCCCAGCCTTGTCACCACTTCATGTCGACCCAGTCAGTAGTGGTAAGTTATTAAATTTGAATATTTGCTTTAGACAATTTATTATTTGTGGTAAGTTATTAAATTTGACATGATCTTTAGATGCAGGGTCTGAGGAGCCATTCTGGAATGAAAGCCAACATTATTCATTCATTAACTGGGCGCACCCTAATGACGAGTTGGAGATCCTATATGGCGATGATGACTTGCACGGAGGTTGGAAGTTAGGAGATCCGTTATTTGTGCAACAAGAATTTGGGTCCAAACCAGAATTGCAACATGCTGTGAAGATACATTGTATGAAGGGGCGCAGGACAGCCATAGTTGAAAAAAGCGACGAGTCAAGATTTGTTATGAAGTGTAAAAACCATGCTGACGGTTGTCCCTGGTATATGAGGGCAATTAAGCCGAAGAAGGGAGCTAACTGGGTGGTCCGTAAATGGGGTCAAGGTCACACATGCCTAAATCAAGGCCTAGCACAGGATCATAGACAGTTGGATTCAAATGTCATTTGTGCGGCTATAATGAGTATGTATTCTACTGTTTATTTAATGATTCAGATTAATTGAGAATATGGTAAAGTTAATTTTTTTTTCCAGATATGTTAAAGGAAGATCCATCCACAAGACCAGCTCTGATACAGGAGAGGATACAGGGAACATATGGATACAACATAACGTACAGGAAGGCCTGGAAGGCAAAAATGAAGGCCATCGTTAAGTTGTTTGGTGACTGGGAGAAATCGTACGCATTCTTGCCAAATTGGCTGAAGTATATGACGGAGGTGAATGTGGGTTCTGTGTTCAAACTTGATACAAATCAATGTTTTGATGAACGTCGGGTTTATACAGACATGGCCATTTGAAGAAAACGTTGATGAAATTCACTAACCAATGCATATGTCATGGTTTTTTGCAGGGTACACATGTTCAAAGATAAATTTCGACATTAGGTACAAGGAATTTATCGAGAACAATCCTGAAGTTGCTTCATGGTTGGATGCGATTCCGAAAGAGCAATGGTGCAGGTCGTATGATGAGACAGGACGTGTTTGGTCATATGACAACTAACCTATCTGAGTGTGTGAATAAGGTGCTTCGTGGAGCACGAAATCTGCCTATATCTGCATTGGTCAAGATGACATTCAGTAGACTCGTTGAGTATTTCGTCAAGAGACGTGAAGGGATTGAAAAAGATATCTCACAAGGTTGGATAATTTCAAAGAAGGTTGAGGCAGCGTTGCAAAAAAATGATGAATTGGCTGGCACTTATCGTGTGAGGATATATGATAGTGAGCTGTTATTGTTTGAGGTTGAGGATGCCTACAATCAATCTACACACGAGGTCGGTGACATCATGAGAGTGGACTTAATCAATCGTACATGTCAGTGTGGTAGGTTTACAGCAAGGAGGTATCCCTGCAGTCATGTATTAGCAGTTTGCAAGGTAGCCAAGCTAAACCATTATGATTATGTGGATCATGTTTTCAAAATTCCAACCATTGCTAAAGTATATGCTGCACACTGGTTTCCTATTGGCAATGAATTGTTGATTCCATCCGTTGTTGGGCCTACTGTAATTCCGGATGCTCAGTTGGTACGTGCAAAAGGAAGACCAAAGTCTTCAAGGATTCAGAATGAGATGGATTGGGTTGAGTCTCAACCCTCTAGCAGTCAGAGCAGATGTAAGCATTGCAAGCAAGTTGGACATAACATTCGTACATGTCCATTGAGACTAAGACAAGCATGATTACGTATTGTTTTTGTGTAGTACTTTGTTTTGTAATGACAATCACTTTACGTATTGTTTTGTTTCCTTGTACCCTAAACTTTATCTTGTATTAGTTATGTATTGTGTTGTTGAAATGTATTGTTGAACTGTATTCTTGTGTTGTTGAAATGTATCCGTTAAGTTTAGCGAGTCACTAGTTCCGTATTGTGCAATCCGAATGTCTACCATACCCATTTACCCCTTCCCCGAGTCAGTTAAGGTTATTGTATTACACATCAATTACCAAGATGCTAACAAAATGGATTGAACAGCACCTGCTGCTGCATCTGCAACTGGTCTACCCGGGTAACTCGTAATGATATACCCGAGTACATCCTACCCGGGTAGACTAGTTCGTGGTACCCGGGTAGACCAGTTGCAGATGCTGTTTTGGCAATTTTTGTTGCATTTTGGTAATTGTTGTGCAATACCTACATACGGTATGACTTGGGGGTGGATTGATTTCGTAGAAATAGGATGCAGTAATCAAGATGTGCGCCAATCAAAGTTGAACATGAATATTAAAGTACTTTGGGTTGAATTGATTTCCAAATTAATTATGACAATATTAATGCAAGGTCCCATACTAATGCATATAACCAACAAGTCTGAACGTGCGCAAAACGAAAATTTCATTCATTCAAATTTTGAACATCCAGTACAAAAATATCCATGCAATGTAGGTAAAGTTCCTAAATGTACCAAAATGACTACATTACATCAAACTAAATCAATGATATGAAACCCTATGGACACACTAATCCGATGCCGTGTCCTCCCCATTCTCTTCATCCGATTGTGTGTCATCCCCATTGTCATCATCCTCCTCCTCCTCCTCCTGAGTATGGGCACCCTCGCCAATTAAACCCTCCAAGCGTGAAACCCTTGTGTCCAACCGTGCAACCCTTGTGTCCATCTGGTTTCGCCACTTGCTCGTGCTCTGTCTATATCCTCTAAAGTCAGTAGTCAGATCATATAAGGATGCCATGACATGATCAAGTGTCCATCCACCCTCAGGAGGAGCTGGTGGTCGCCGACTGCGGGTGGGACGTGTCGGTCTGACATCAACCTCAGCAACGCCATCATCATCGTCATCATCATCAAGGCCTACATCATAAACCATGAAAAACAAACTTCAATACCACATTAAAAATTAAACAACACAAAATTGCATAAACTCATAAAGACCAACACATCACCTGCAGGTGCATCCTCCATCTCAGCATCGTGGTGGAATGGGATCTCAGGTGGTTCTGGTGCCTTCTTCCACGTCCAGATACCCGCTCTGTTCGGTAGGATCCCACACTGCTTCAGGAGCCTCTCACCAAATATAGCATTCCAGCCTCTGGCGGTCTTCAAGGTCTCTGTTGCCATAGGCACTCCAAATCTATGCAGAATCTTCTGCACCAGAAATGCAAAAGGCAATTCAGCCTTCTTTGACTTGGCTGCCTTCCACATCAGTATGCATATGTAATGCCTCCAGTTCACCTGCTGACTGTGAAGGAGGGCCCACAGGATGACAAAGTCCCCTTCCAGCACCTTTGAGTGATTATGCGGGCGCTGGAAAATAATATGTGTCACCACATAATGAAGAATGCGAGCAGAAACTGACAAGTTGCTAACAGGATAATGAGCAAAATGACCGGGCTCAGCGTCTGCCCTCCTAGTCTCTGTAACAATGGTCTCCCGGTTATAATCACCAAATATATGATGGCTGTCTCCATCATATAGTGCTGCTCCTGTAACACCATCAAAATCGAACCCCAGTAGCTCTGTCCAGATAGGAGCAGTCATGATGATATCAATCCCGCAGACACGGGAAGTCAGCTCGCCTTGCGAGTAGCCAAGGTTCTGGTAGAAGGCTCTTACCATAACCTCCGAGTATGGGCACCGCATCTCCGCCAGGTGAAGTAAATGTGTCTGCTCAAGAAGCGGCACAATGTCAAAACGCTCTAGGTTGAAGAATGCCGAATCCAGTGATTTCGGTTCGCAGATCTTCCGGGTCATGAAAAACTTCACGAACTTCTCGTGTGAAGGAATGTCATCCTCAAACAAATATCCGAACGTCAAGTCCGGAGCCTGACTCGAAGCAGCCTGGGGCTGAGAGGATGACGACCCATCGTGACGACTCTTGGTTCTTCTCTCGGAATGGGTCACTGGCAGCTTTGAAACGCGTCGAGAGGTCATTGTGTCACACTATTAAACTGAAAAAATAACCAAAATCAGAAATTAGATACATGTTAGGGTTAGGGTGGGTTAGATTCAGGGTTAGGGTTAGGGTTAGGGTAAGCGTATGACATACAAATTGATAAAATAATTCGGACAGAATCAAATGATATAAACGAAAATACAATGAATCAGAACAGAAATCATAACATAATTGAAAAAACTGAAAAAAAAAATGCACCTTTGATCGATTTCAATCGGTAGAAGGCAGAGAGGTTGCAAGGTCCGCGAATGATGATCACAAACAAGACGAATTAGTGCAAGATTATGCCTGAAATCGTTCAAGATGACACTCCTCCAGCAGCTCTACTCGGGTACCCCTTTTGTGGGTTTTCGAAATGGGGCTGCTGAGGTATTTTAAAACCCTACCGTCGATGTTTACCCGGGTACACTGCTCCGTACCCGGGTAAATAATTCAAACATTTTCCCAGATTCAAGAACTCTACCCGGGTACACCCCTACATACTCGGGTAGATAAAAAGTTTCAAAATTTACCCGAGTAGGTAATGGTGTACCCGGGTAGGCTTCGTGGTCAACGGTCAAACAGGGGCAGATTGGTGTTATGTTTGTTGGGGAGGGTAAATTTTCGAAATAGTTTTGAATGAGGGGCAATTTGGTAATTAATTATTAATTAAGGGGCATAAGGGTCAAAAAGCCTAAGAACCATAGTAGTTAATTGCATTACAATAGCGCTGCAAGCCACACTGTATGGGCGTTGCGGTGCCTCGCCACAAGAAACCGCACCACGCCACACCGAAACGCAATACCGGCCATTGCTATCGCATTTACGACCAAATCACGGCTATATTGTTGTCATAAGAAAAAATGTCAATTTTGTCTTAAATTTAAATGTGTAACAGAACAATTTTAAGGGTTTTTTAGTCCATCTGTGTCTCTCTGTCACTTCTGCTATCTTTACCTTTAAAAAATGTTTCTTTTTGTCATTATTTCTGTCATATATCTATTCTAATATTTTCACAACCGCAACCCACTATAGAGTTTTTCGAGATTGGCCGCGACATGCCACAATCCGTATTTGATGACTTTGATAAGAACTACCACAACTTAAAAAATATCCGTGATAATAACCACTACCAAAGCATGATCTAGCCCAAAATGTGGGGAGAGGGGAATGGAAGAATGGAATAACCAGCTTTACAAATCAAAAGGTGAAACATGGTTCAAATGAAAATATATGTACTCTAAAAATTGTTGCTCAGGATTCCTCCTTGATAAAGTAATTCGGAGGCAAGCAGAAATCTTCTTCATGATTAAGCAATTCGATCTCTTCATCATCTGTTTTCTGAGGGAGAAAGATAAACCACTACACTTTATCAGCTCTTAAAATCCAATGCAATATGTTAAAACCTAAAACACAACCTAACATGTTATTTGAGGGGTATATGATACATACCAGCATTTCTAAGTTGTAGAATCGATCCAGCAATTGAAGGACCTCCTCAGATGAGAAGTGTCTGTCAAAACTGAATGAAACATATACAGTTCTATAATTATATATCAGAAAATAGATATCTAGCACATTATGCTTGATAATCAAACAAGCAAGACAGACTTAGAAGTGGAAAGAAGAACAAACCTCCTCCTCATAAATTCCATCAGACCATAAAGTACAAAGTGACGATGTATTCCTTCATGAAAACAATATAAATTGTAAGCATAAAATTTGAGAATCTTGATCCTTGACAACTAGTGTTAACTTTCTAACATCGGAATGCTTTACAAGGATAAAGTGATCATCCATCTTATTAGCATAACTACCCTTGATAAAATAAGATATACAAAGTAATAAAAACTAAACAAGCAGCATTTGCATGTGACAGATTCATATATTAAACATTTAAACTAGAGAAAAAAAGCAGTTCAATCAATAATGATCAATTTCGTCATTCTTCTTGTACTCACTAAAAATGCTTACTGTTCACTTAAAAGGTTCATACATAATAGAGAAGTATTTAGGCTAATAGTGTAGTTGCTCTCTGTATTACTGTATAGCTGGCCGTACTAACAGCTTCAGCTAGGGTGTTAGTATAACTAACTGAAGTTAGTTAGATTTAGAAACTTCTACATATTAGCCTATATACTTTTCTATTAATACACGAAACTTGGAAAAAGCTTTTCAATCAACAAGGGTAAATAATGAATCCTTCTACTATAAGTGACCAAAATCTAGCCAAATATTACTCATTGCAGAAATGGAGAAAACTTTATTTCTGCATTTTCTCAATCAAGAAATCTCAAAGCAAAGAGTTTTGCCATGCAACATAATGCAGTACGCCTTGGGCTCACATCCATTAACACACAGGCATCTTTTATCTGGGACCCCCTTCTCCCCCTTACTAGATAACAAATATCATAGTCAGCAAAACATGCTTAAGTTAAAGCAAACACCCTCAGTATCTAATTTGAAATCCACTACTACTATTATAAAATAGAATTTCATCCATTCAAATATCTTCCATGTCAAGCATTCCAAGTGCATGCATTCTATGCAAATAAGTGAGTCCAATCAATAATAGAAAAAAAATAAAAAAACAAGCATTAATATATTGTCCAGGAACAAAATAGATAGTTTTTGTTGGGAATGGCTCATACTTCGCATGTTGATGAAGGCCCTAGTTGTCGGAGTCAGCAGAAAGGTAACTGGGGTCCCGCTCCCAGGTGAGCGGGCGGGGTCCGGGGGCAACGCCCCCGGGCCCGTAGAGGCTAGGTACTGTTGCGGGCCTCTGTTTTATTGTAATTTTCTTAGCAGTTTGGGCTTGGGCCCATGAATAGCTGCTGTTAGGGTCTTGTAAACCGAGAGAGACTTATAACGAGTGGCAGTGAGGTGAATATAGTACAGACAAGCTGGACGTAACCTATATTGGGTGAACCAGGGTAAATCGCTGTGTCTAATCTCTCTACTCTTATCTCTTTTTCTGTTTGATTGTCAATTTCCAACAGTTTTAAGTCATCATATCACTTATGGCGGAGAAAATGCCTACAACCCAATACCATATAACCGTCTATGATCACGCCCAGTACAAAATATTTACACACATAAAGAGATTAAATTCAAAACAGAAAAAGAAAAATCACCTTGTAGTTTTATTGGAGGATAAATTTCAAGAGCTTCCAACAATTTCAGCTCCAATTCAACCTGGGTTTGCTCCTATCATCATAATTCAAATTCAAATTCAAATTCAAACTTCAAATATATATATATATATATAGAGAGAGAGAGAGAGAGAGAGAGAGAGAGACCTTGGAGAGAGAGGAAGCGGAGGAAGGAGGAGGCTTGCAGGGAGAGTGTACAGACATGCCATCTTGTTCCTCTTCTTTGGGTTTGGCAGCTCCTCCACCACTACTCATCTATTTCTTCAATTTATGATCCTCAAACTGATTTCCACAATAATTTTCACAATGGGGTAGTGATTTTTCTGATCAATTCACCTGCGCGAACGGTAAAGAACATAACACGCTCTGTTTTTTGTTCGGTTAGGGTTTTGGTGTTTAATCCGAAAAGGTTTTGAAACAGAAACTGTTTGTCTTCTGTCCTTTTGTTGGGCCAGCCCAGTGAGGGCACCCTTGGCCCAAACCCTAATGTGCGTCAGTTGAGCCCATTCAAGAAAGAAAGAAAAGAAAAATATGAGTTGCAAATAAACGTTATGATTTATAAGTAGTGAACCAGAGTGTTGTTTTTGCTACATCTGAGTTCGTCTCTAAAATAAATAAATAATAGTATATTTGATTTAATTTAAAGGACATTAATAACCATGATATACTAAAGTCTAAACTCTAAAATAAAATAAAAAACTTTAATTTGCACATTCTAAAAATAAACCCATGTTGGCGAAACTTTTTCCACTCGAATAATATAACTAGCATATTCCTAGAATTTGACATATGGTTTTTGGCTGGCTAGGCAAAGGATAATTAAGTTTTGGTAATGACTATGTCTCAAGTGTTGGTGTTTGACTGTTATATTATATGGGGTTTCATAGTTTGTTAGGTGGGAGAAGAGTTTCAGTGGTCTTGCACCACCATTTATTCAATGGTCCAGAATCAAAATCATACAACTAATGAGGAGAGCGCAGAAACAGAAAAAAATAAAAAATAACTTTTTATTCAAGTGTCATCTCTTAAATGAAAGGACCACATAAGGTCTGGAGCATAAAAAAAAAAATTCTCGTTAGATGAAGACCAAGAATTTTGTTGAGATCGCAACCCACGTTAACACGTTGAACATCTGGTTTTGTTATTACGCAACATGCTTTATCTAATGTTTTTCAAAAAGTACTCAGTTAGAATCTATTTGGATTATACACACAATTCACAATTTTTAAATAATAAAAAGATAATTGAACATCTTCAAATCATATAAGGACTTGTACAATAATTTAAAAGAATAAAAAAAGTTCATGAACTATTTTTTATTTGATAAAATAATGCATATAAACTCCAAGCTTATTTTATTTTTTTGGTTTCCTTCTTGACTTTTTGTTCCTTTTTTAATCATTTTTGGATGTTGAATTTAATATAGGATCATGGTAGTCAAACAAAAGAAATTCACTAGATATAAAAGAACTTAATAATTATTTGATTTTTTGGTAAATGGATCTATAGCTATATTAATTCCAAATCCCAGTGATTGGTTTGTTGAAAATAAACTAATAAAATTTGGCTTCATTACCAACTCCAAAGTTCATTAAGTTAATATTTCATTTTCCATTCATCTAAAAACCAATAAAGCACATTAATTACTCATTACAGCAATAATAATGCATATGCTGACGAGTGACCAAAAAAATCACATTAATTAATGGGAACTATGTTTCTCGTATTATAAAAGATAAATTATCTTATGCAATATATAAAAATAAATAAATGAAATCCATTAAAAAGAGAGAGAAAAAAAAGATACATATATTTTTTATATATTGTATCAAACAAAATTATGTAACATCACAAACATATCTCCCTTCGTTAATAGGGTTTTATTAGTCTCATTCAACATAAGATAGATATCTTATGTTGTAGAGAGAAAATAGATGGATCCCACCATTACAAGAAAAAGTAAAAAAAAGTAAAAAGTAGGGCACAAAAATCGAAGTGAGAGAAAATGAGAGATGATATCTCATGTGGAAGGAGAGTAATATTTCCCTCGTTAATATTGATAGTTGATGTCAAACCTCATTTTGTGCTTTCGGAAGCAATTATTGAAAACGTCACAAGGGACCTTCACTTTATGAGTTTTTTAATTGTATTTAGTATTAAGAAACTAGGGCGGCACTGGTACTAAAAAAGAAAAAAAAATTGTCTTGATTTTATTTTACTTTTAAAACATGTCTTTATTTTATTTTTAAAACATGTCTTTATTTTATATTATTCATATGAAAGATTTCAGTCATTTATTTATATTAATTATTGAAATTTTAAAGAAAAAATTTATAAAACAAGAAAATAAAAATCATCACTTTAAATATGAATATATAGCTAAGATATTTCATCTAATATTATTAGATTAAACCAAAAGATGAGAATATCCATTCTCCAATAAACGTCACTAGAACTAAATTGTAATTTGACAATTTTATCCAGATATTTAATTATTATTTTTTTGAGTAATCTCAAGGATATCCTCCACCGTAATTGAAGATTAATTCTCATTCAGCACTCTCGCATCGGACCTTTTCGGAGGTGACTCTCTCAAAAAAAAAAAAAATTCATTCCTAGGACTCGAACACAAGATCTCTAGTTAAGGAGCTCAGGCTCCTTATCACCTATGCCAAAGGAGTTTGATATAAAGTTGTAATTTTGAGAGAATTTTAACCTATCACCAAAACTGTAAAAATACAACTAGGTTTTTTTTGATAACATGTTACATAAGAAAAATATTATGTTTTGCACAAACAATAAATAGGAAAAAAATAGAATTGGAGGTAAGAAAAAAATATTCTTATCTGACTCATTTAAAAAAGGGGTTTGCATTTAGGGTTTTATAAGAGTTATTTTATAGGAAAAATAATTGTGTAATGTTATAGAGATTCGTTTTGTGTGCTGTAATTTTTCTTTTTTCTTCAAAAAGTGTGGGCCCCACAAAATGTTGTGTGTGTAGGAAAGTTTGTTGTGTCATGTTAAATGATAAATGCAAGGGGTTTGCATTTGTCATTTAACATGACACAAAAATGTTTATTACACACACAACATTTTTCGGGGTCCACACTTTTTGAAGGAAAAAAAAAAACTACCGCATGCGAAACGAATCTCTATAACATTACACAATCATTTTTTCTTAGAACATAACTCTTATAAAACCTTTTAAAAATATGAATATAAGAGATAATATAAGAAAATTATTATTTTTTCTTATTCTGCTTTGTTTTATGAAAGGGAAACTTGTAAACCATATTGATATTGAAATGCATTGTACTTTGTAGCTGTGTCTGTTGCTTTGTTTTTCAGCAACACCATTTCATTTCAAGTTCCTGAAACTGAAACTGAAAGGCATCTATGTGTTGGTGTCTCTCTCTCTCTCTCTCTCTTCCTTCAATCCTTGAACTGTTCCATAAGATATTCACATTTCACATAGTCCATGCTCTCTCTCTCTCTCTCTCTCTAAGTTCCACACTTTAGCATTTATTTTTTGTTACCATAATCATAATTTCCATATTGGGTCAGTGAATCTAATCCAAAATATCCTCCTTTTCCGCTATTGAATTTCAGATTCCGTAAAATCTACATCTTTAACCATTTTTCAGAAGAAAAAAAAAAAGCTTCACTCTGTGTTCTCTCCTCTTCATAGTATCCTAACAACTTGGTTTAATCGTTTCCGTTTGTTTCATTGCGTTGTTATATGCAACTTGTTTCCAAAACCCTGAAAAACTAGCAGAACCCGTATCGTGTTTGCATTGTGGTTTTGAAAGAATGGCTTCTGCTACCAACCCAGTTCAAATATCAGTTCAGAGACCTCTAATTTCTTCAGTTCATTTGCTACCCAAAAGAGTTTCAACCAGTTATGGATTGCTCAAGGCTCGGGCACCTCAACTTGAGGCTAAAGATTCAAGCTTGGGGTCCTTTTCATTGGTGGGGAGTGGGAAGCATGTGGTGCCAATGCAGATTTTGCACTCTGAGAAGGCCTCGTGCTTAAGCATGTTTGGTTGGGGTCAGCAACTAAGACATCGAAGGTTTCCTGTTGTGGCAGCCTTTGCAGCAGATGCTGCTGATGACAGTGAAATCGGAATCCAAAATGGGTTAGAGTTACACACTTTTAAGTTTGATTCGATTATGACCAAACAAAATAAGTCATTGTCTTACTTTTTGCTTGCATGGGATCAGAATGAGTAAATAGCTAAAAGTCATTGAAATTTGTTAGAGAAAGGGAAATAGTGAAATGTTGTTTATGAAACTTGTGTTAACAGAAATTGGATTGAATTTCTGATACTGTGCAAGTGTGCAGTGTTTAGTACTTTACATCCCAGCAAACTAGCAATTTTCTTGAACTGTTGAATTTTTTCTGATAATTCCTTTTTTTTCCCTTTGATATTTGATGCTCAATTACAGGTCTGTTAAACCCTCACAGAGTTTTGGTGAGAAATTTCCTGCATTGGTTACTGGTTTCTTTTTCTTTATGTGGTAAGAATTCCTCCCTTTATTTTAGGTGGTAAGAGATGTATATGAGACAAGGATTAGTAGTGGCTGGATGCTGCTAAATTGCAGCTACTATCTACTATCAATACTTCCATCTCTTATAAACACTAATAAGAGAGAAAAAATAATTAAAATGCCAAATGAGGAACATTAAAATAATGAGATCATGCATTCATATTATACAGGCTAGATTGTTGCATACTTACAATTTATTTTTGACATTCTCTTTCTTCCATGCAGGTACTTCTTAAATGTGATTTTCAACATACTCAACAAGAAAGTTTACAATTATTTTCCATATCCATTGTATGTTTTCTTCCAGAGTTGACTTTAAATCTTCTGCATATACCAATTTTTATCACTGTACTACATAATCAGGCCTAGATAACTGTTCTTTCTAGTTTAACTCAACATGATTTTCTAGCTTTTCAAAGATTCCTTCCCCTGTAACATATACAAATCTTTTCAAATCCTTTGCAGTTTTGTTTCTGTTGTACATCTCCTTGTTGGGGTTGGATATTGCCTTCTTTGCTGGGCTTTAGGTCTACCAAAACGTGCAGTAAGTTATAGTTCCTACGTGTTATATTTTATCGTCAAGGCTTATTATAAATTTCAATAACATGTTATTTTCCTCTTACCAGCCAATGAATAAGGAGCTCTTGGTTTTGTTGACTCCAGTTGCAATTTGTCATGCCCTTGGTCATGTCATGTCCAATGTATCATTTGCTGCTGTTGCTGTGTCTTTTACACATACTGTAAAAGGTAAGATATTTGGACGGAAAAAAAAGACAACTAGAGATTTCTTTGGCTGTTTTTATTTGCACACTATATGCATCTGTTGTCAACGATTGAAGTCAGCAGACATGCCTTTGCAACAAGAAGATGATTATGAAGTTTAGGTCAACCCATATTTATGAATTTCATACAGGGAATTTTTATCCTGATTGAAGTCTTATCACCTATGAGCGTCCCAGAGTTAGTTTCATTATATACTATGCAATCCAGACTACAATTACACACATGGGGCAAATGACAATGTTGGTCCAGGATAAGTTTGTTTGACATTTTTGGCTCCTGATTTACTATTTCTACTTGAAAATGAGCAAATGACTCAAGCATTGTGATTTAGATTATTTATCAAAAGAAGTTCAAAACATGAATATTCATGAAAATGTACTACTCACAATTCTCATAGATTTGAATATTTGGTTTTCTAGATTAATTGTCATTCTGTTTATTAATAAACTTATTTCTAAGTACTCATATTCATTGATCAATACTCTGGCTAAGAATTCATAACTTGTTTCTGTGTTTTTCCCCCTTTGTAGCTCTGGAGCCATTTTTCAATGCTGCAGCTTCCCAGTTTGTCTTGGGCCATCAGATTCCATTATCTCTCTGGCTATCATTAGCCCCAGTTGTTATAGGTAAGCTGTTGTCCCTTCTTATTTCCTTCTCTTTGATTCAAAGAAGAGCTAATATGCTACATATTTAAATTTTGGCGCATTCTCAGTGTCCTCTGCTTTATTATATCTTTATAGTCCATGTATGACCAATTCTTAAAGTTGACAGTTGCCTCTTGTAATGCTTATTTACTGATATGAGTTTTACTTTAGGTGTATCAATGGCATCACTGACTGAACTGTCTTTCAATTGGACCGGTTTCGTTAGTGCAATGATTTCAAGTATAGCATTTACATACAGAAGTATATATTCTAAGAAAGCAATGGTAAGATCTTTTAGCACATTACTTTTGCTCATAGGGTCTTCATCCTAGTGAGCAAGTAGGCCTGTTCATATTTTTGTCTGATCTTTTCTGGATTGGGATGCTTCACCATCATTACACATTCTAAATACTTTTAACTTTAACAGACTGGAATGGACAGTACAAATGTATACGCATATATTTCAGTAATCGCCCTCTTCTTTTGCATCCCCCCAGCAATACTTGTAAGTTTATTTGCTACAAAAACTGATGGAATATTTAATTTTGCTAGTGCTTTTCTATAAGTTCATGATTGATTGGATTTTGGCTGCTTCCAGATTGAGGGTCCTCAACTTATGGAATTTGGATTTAGAAATGCTATTGCCCAAGTAGGCCTGTTCAAGTTTTTGTCTGACCTTTTCTGGATTGGAATGTTTTACCATCTTTATAATCAGGTATCCTTATGTTTCAGTTAAAAATAAAGTTGATCATATTTGGAACCTTTTCTTTTCTGCAGACACAAATGGATGTGCAAAAGATGAACTTTAGCAATTTTTTGACAAATAATTGTAGCTTGCTACTAATACTTTGGAACGGGTTGCACCTCTGACACACGCAGTCGGGAATGTGTTGAAGCGCGTTTTTGTCATTGGATTTTCTATAGTGGTGTTCGGTAATTACTCTAATTTGCTTATAAATTGAAAATGGCAACTCACCATTATTGTTAAAATACAAGCAGTCTAGTAAATTTGAGTGCAGTTCTGCATTTAATTTAGCTTAAAATACAAACTATCCCTTCAACTTTGATCTTTTGGAAAATAGTTCTCTGTTGATTTAATACTATTGGTTCAATTCAGCAATTGAACACAAGGGATTATTTCATTTGAAACCACAGTAGCATATGTTAAAAGTTCAAGTAAGTTGAATTGCTAAATTTGAGACCTCGGGGGAGTTATTTGTCAAAGGGTCAAAGTTGAAGGGGTAATTTTAATTTTAATACATTTCCCTATTCGATTCTAACATTTGCTAACTTCTGCAGGCAATAAGATATCAACACAAACTGGCATTGGCACTGCTATAGCAATTGCTGGTGTTGCCATCTATTCTCTGATAAAGGCAAACATGGAGGAGAATAAATGGGTAAAATTTGATTGAAAATATTGCAATTTTGTTTATCCCATGTCTCTTGGCATCTTGATGAAATGCTAAATTTGTATATGTTGTCCATCATTACGTGACTAATTTGCATCATATTCACACTCTCACTAGTTTAACCGCCCTGCCCGTAGGGCAACCGCAGAAGAAATTTATCACTCCTGAGAGAGTATAGTAGTAACATTTCCTGTTTAAATCACATTGTATCGTAAAAGGAATACACATACTTACGAATAACTTTATTCCATTTCAGAAAGCTGCTGCAGCCATTGCATCATGATGGATGCTCTTTTTCCTATTAACAATGTTAGATCATGCTACATTGGCATAGGTTAAGTGACATGAAGCATTCAGATAATCCAATACTTGGAAACATATTTCATGGCTCATACCTTGAAAATTAAAAGCTGAGAAAAAGCGGATTGTGGAAGATGTACATCAGGTAGACAAGGTTGATTTTGCTTCATTTTATGTATGTTTAGTATTTATCTGCTGCTGTATAATTCCAATGCTGGTGGATCTTAGTTTATGAGTACCTGCACAACTTGGTTGCAGTGTTTAATTAAGCATAAGTTGCAAAGCCACCTTTCACTTTTATCTCTTTTTCTCTCTTCTCTCCCTCTTTTTTTTTTCCTTGCATCAAATGGTTGAAACAGCTCCTGTGTAGTTTCTGTGCTTGCACTTGTCTGAGGAAGCAACATTTCCCTTCTCTTATACAAAATATATCATGACTTTATTAAATAGGAGTATAAAGTTACAGCCTAGCATAGAAGTACAATTGCTACTAAACTGTTATTATATATGACAATGTGTGATCTAATCACTATATGTGTATTATTTTAGTTGGATTTGCTTCGGTGTTAAAGCTTTGTTTTTGTTATTGTGCTAGCACAATGAGCCATTACTCTATACAAAAATTAAAAAAAGAAAAAAGAAATAAAAAAAATCTACGTTTATCAAAGCATCTACATTCTATAAGGTTCATATTTCAAACTCATCTTCCTTCTTCACTCTCTTAAGCTGAAATAATGATGACATAAATGACTAGATGCTTGATGGAACTGAAATAGAAGCAAAGATTATCAGCAGTTGCATTGAATGATAGTAATACCGTAGATTGAAGATACGTAACACGCATTAGGTGTTGTAAAAAATGGACAGTTTATTCGAACAAAATGTGTGGATTTAGTTGAAAATTTTCAAGGATATAATATAACTTGGCCCCATTTGACTTGTTATGTTGCAAGTTGATCCACAGTAGGCCAAATTAGCAGCTAATTTGATTTTTTTAATTATTTTTTTATTGATTCATAAAGATTTTATCCTTATTTTTTCTCATATAAATTATTGTTTTAATTACAAAAACTTTTATTTTGTATTTTTTGAGATTAAACTATGTAAAAGACAACATAAGAATAAATTGATGTGTAAAAAACTATTTTTTTACAAGATATAATTCAAGACAGTGGACCAAGCTGCCCAACTTGTGGTCCACATAACGTTGGGCCTACAGTAATTGACTTGGTCTACATGGACCGGTTTAAATGAACATCTCTACTCCCACTTACATACTAATCACATCATATCATAAATAATTAACCTACTAGCAACAACCCACAAGGGATTAGACCCAACGGTAAGCAAACTGCACTTCTAAGGAACTTATTTGAAGAGCTTAACTCTGTTGTTTTAAGAAGAATTTCGCATTCAAAGGTTATAGACATACCTGGAAAAAGTAAAAAGCCTATTTAATCAAAATTTACGTATACTCAACTACCAGTTTAAAGGAATTATAGTAATAGAATACAATATAACTTACAAATAAGAGTAAATACCCTTTTCCGTCCCTGGAAATATTTGCGAAGCACAATTTAGTCCCTCGGTTTAAAAAAGTCACATTTTAGTGTCTAATTTTTGAAAAAAAGGGACACGTTTGTCCTTCTGTTACATGGATTGTGACGGCCCTGTTGACGGAGGCCAGGTGGAACGTTAAGTGGCTGAGTCACTAACGTCCTGGCCACGTGGATAGAAAGCGACATCGTTTAGGTAGATGTCTTGTGTCTATCCCAATGTTTGGACAGGTGACCCTTGCATGAAAGGGTCAGTGACCCAAATTCGTCCCTGTCAAATTAGGAACCCTAAATCAGCCTAAGCCATGAACAAAAAAAACTCCAAAAGCTCCCCACGATGAAGATTGAATAGAGTGTCAAGTAGAAGGTGTTTACTGGCTATTTTCTGGTGCGTAGAAGAAGATGAGTATGTCATCTGGCTTGGGGGGATCAAGTGGGAGTACGTCTTTTGGTTGTAGAACAAAGGGACTACCTGGCGGTCGAAGGTGCAAATGTGGGAGGCAAACAATCGTCTATACCTCCAAAACAGAGAGAAACCCAAATAGGGCATTCTTTGGGTGCCCTAATTTCAAGGTATACATTTGTAAATTGAGTTTTGATAACTTGGAATATTTGCTTACGGTGGACTGAAATTTTGGCAGGATAAGAAGCCCTTTTGTAATTTTCTTAGATGGGTAGATGATGTATGTAATGAAAGCTTGGAGCTTGAAGATGGAAGAATCAACAAGGTGGAGTTGGATGTTGCTGAAATGGATTTCAAGTTGAAGCATATGGACATGATAATCAGTGACCAATTGCAAGCTAAGTTGAATGACCATGGTGTGAAGATTAGTGAGCAAGAACTGAATATCAAGGTGCAGAAAAGAAAGCTGAATGAGCTATACCTGAAGATGGCGGAGGAGTTAGATAGGATGGACAAGGAAATTAGGCATGTTGGTAGGGCAGCTAGGGTCTTAGTTGCTACTTGTGTAGGGTTTTTGATGATTTATTTTTTGATTGCAATTGTTGTAACAATTAAATGTAGTGATCGAAATGTTTTTTTTCTTCAATGAAATGTAATGACAATGTAGTTCTGTTTGGTGATGATTAAAATTCACAAGATGCCATGATTATATGGCTTTGTATTTCTGTTTTATGTGCTATAAAATGTGAAATTGTGTATACTCGACCCTTTCATGATATACTAAGAATATGTCAATAGCAATTGTTATTGAGTTTTGGAGTAATACAACCCACATGGCAATGAACATATGAAGTTTAATACTGTTATGATTACACTGTCATGATGGGGCATAAGCTTTTTGTATAGGGGTTCACTTTTTTGTTGTATTGGCAACAAAGTTCATGACTGTATTTTTTGGTACCCCCATAGGTTCTGGTGCCCATCATAGGTTCTGTTTTTTGTGTATGAAATGGATGTTTTAGAATGGTTTTGGTGCCCATCATAGGTTCTGTTTTTTGACAAGCCTTTAATTATGATGGAAGGGTATGCAATTGTAACTGACTACAACTTCTTTTTTTATATCAGTTGTTTCCCATTGCTGCAAGTTGTATCTGTATGCTGATTTGTTAATTTGTGTATGAATCTTTTTTATTCTGGCTACAATGCAGGTGGTCCAATTTTGGGTACTGTTTGGTCGTTGCTGTTTGGACAAATTTGAATGCAATGTGTTCATGTCCAATTTTTGGATCGCAGCTTGTATGAATTGCAGCTTTTGAATTGCTGTAGCTTGCTGATTTTTGAATTGCTGCATTATGTCTTTGTGATGAATAGCTTTTGAATTGCAGCTTATGTCCAATTTAGTCTAAACAGGACATGTCCAAATTTTAACTGTCAGGGACCAAAAAGTGCCCCGATATATTTTTTCAAGGACCTAATTGGCCCTCGATAAAAAATCCAGGGACTAAATTGGGTTCTAGTTTATATCATTAGGGTCCAATATCCAGGGACTACATTGGGTTCTAGTTTATATCATTAGGTTCCAATATCCAGGGACCAAAAGTGCATCTTCTTAACATTATTCATCACAGTGGTCAACAAGTCATTCAATTTCATTCAAGAAAAACTACATTTCGTACGATGCATTTCATTGTTACAACCATTGCAATCATCACAGCTTTCTTTCCTGCACCTTCATACTCAGATCTTGCTGAACAACATCTTGCACCTTCGTCCAAAATTCCGTCAGGTTGTTCTACTCCCAAATGCACCAGAAAACTTGATCCCCCAAGCCAGATAACATAGTCATCTTCTTCTACGCACCAGAAAATAGCCAGTAAACACCTTCTACTTGACACTCTATTCAATCTTCAACAAAATGTGTTTTGGGGTTTTTTTTTTATTCTTAGGCTGATTTAGGGTTCTAAATTTGACAGGGACTATATTGGGTCACTCACCCTTTCATGCAACGGTCACATGTCTAAACATCCAACTAGACACAAGGCAGCTATCAATACGACGTCGTTTTCTCTCCACGTGGGCATGACGTTAGTGACTCAGCCACTTAACGTTCCAGGTGGCGTCCGTCAACAGGGCCGTCACTTTCCACTTAACAGAAGGATAAACGTGTCCCTTTTTTTAAAAAATGAAACACTGAAATGTGACTTTTTTAAACCGAGGGAGTAAATTGTGCTTCGCAAATATTTCCAGGGACTAAAAAGGGTATTCACTCTACAAATAATTGTCATTTTACGACAGAGGACCTTTTCCGCTAATCTTTAGGTAGTGTTTGGTAGAAGATTTATTTTGGGATTGATGAGAAAGTGTAAGTGGATATTGAAAAATATCACGTTTAGTTCAGGTTTTTGAAAAAAATACTAGGCAAATAGGATAGATGGGAAATGACTTTTGTGTTGATTTTTGGATGAAATTCTCTGTTACAGAATACCACTTGAGATATGGTATTTTGAGATAACTGAGGAAGTGAAAAAACAGGTGTGAAGTTTTTCCCGAACATAAATTTTGCAAATTTAAATAAATTTTCCTGGTAATATTTCGGTCAACCAAACAACTTTTTTTACATTTTCCTACCAAACTCACTTTCTAACCATTTCCCTAGTAATTACATTTTCATAGTATTCGAAAATTTTCTCTTCAACCAAACGCCCCCTTAAGGCTTTTACAAAGTAAAAGGAAAAACGAAACTACTGATTAAGCACACAAAGATTTTTTGGTCGAATAGGTTTCCCAGTTGATTAACTAGATGTGATAAATAGTTCAAGTGTACCTAATATAATATATTTAGGGTCTGTTTGGTGTGATGTATAAGACTTGATAATATAAATTTATACTGTATGTTATGATATTTTTAATTGTTTAATATGACAATCATATAATATAAGTTTATACAACAGAGTCTCTTAATATATCAAAATGATGTATAACTTAATCAAGCTTATGAGAGTTGGATTAGACATGATAAGATATTAATGTATTAACATCGCTAATTAGTATAATTCTCAAGAATTAATATAATATTTTAATATTAATAAATTAAAATAAAAAATAATTTTTCAATATATTAATTTTTAAAATATTGTAGATTTTTATTTTTATAAATCCTTAAACCCTATCTAGTATCCTATCCAGTAACGTAAATGAAGCTTTGGAAAAATACTGAGAAAAGAAGTAAAATTTAAAATTCGTTAAAGATTAATTTAATTATGATATATTTCAGACATTACCAAGAAATATTTTTTTTAACTTTCACAAAGCTTATCTTATGCATGTTAAGTTAACTAGTGTTGAAGATGCATTATAAAGGCCCTTTTGGTGATAAAAATAAAGCAAATTGACTCATTTTATAATATCCACAACACGATAAGCGAATTTTTACAGAAACTCGGATTAGAAATAGACAAGATAACATAATAAATGTCGCACTTCTCTCTTCCCAAAAATAACACTATGTTTTTCTCCAGCAAACTTTGTTGGGCACATAACGGTCAGCCCTTATCACTGGCCAACCACCGTTGGCCATCAACCACTTCTACAATCCACTATCGCCATCACTAGTCATTTATCAACCATCATCATTGGCCACTACTACCACCTCAGGACATCGTCAGCCACAACCATCAACGCTTCCATTAGCCCCATCACCAACAAAATATGAACTTATCAAACCCAAATCATTTTCTACATCCGCTATTCATTTCAATCATATCATGTTCACCAAATAAACCCTAAATTAGCTCGAGTTAAACCCATATTTGGCAAGAGAACCTTGGCATACATTTTGGGCAAGAATAACATTAATACAATTTGCTTTAACTAATTGACGTCATTAACATAATATATATTCATATACAATACAGTACAATTTATCAAAAAGAAAAGTTTAGGGAGAAGAAAACTTATCCATGTTAAAGTTAGCACATGTCACAAGATAAAACATAAAACTTAACAACCATTTATTTTGATAAATTTAAGAGATTAATATTTCTCATATTATAAAAGATAATTTTATCTCTTATACACATAAAAATATGAAAAATCTATATTTTCTTTTTTTCTCTCTTCTCTTCACATAAACCCCACACACTTTTATGTCCCTAAATTTAAACCTAAAATAAGTTTTATCAAGACAATTGAAGCAACTCAAAATTCACAAAGTATATTTAGGTTAACATTTCCAAACACAACCCGTTCCTTCAATATATTTTTTTAAATCCAGTAATTTTAGACATTATCAAAACTTGAAAATGTGACCATTATTTGCAGTAGAATTTAATACAACCACAGCTCCATACATGCAGCAGACCTGTAGTTCTTTAACTAAGGTTTCCAAATCCTTGCAACTTCTAGTCGTTGGCAGCACTAAGTTATTAAAAATAGAAGAGCCAAAAAAAAAAAAAATGAATCAAGAACAATGAGAGAAGTAAATGTCTGCCCTGATATCTATCCTACGGAAATTGGATCTGTCCTACAATTATTTCAAATAACTTTGCTGGAAAAGTCACTGCCCCCAGTTTTCCCCAAGAAAGCCAATTGCATCTTCAACCCCCTCCCCGCCTCATAAACACAAATACAAAAATGAAGATTGCAGGAAGCTATCCTTACATCATCCTGCTACGGCAAACCTAAGTAACATCCACTAATATACATACAGGGATTCCCCACGGAAATGGATGCAATATAAGATTTGCCGATTAGCTTAAATAATTCATTTCAACATCAATGACAAGTGCCCCTGCCAAAAAGAAAAACTATATATCAATATGAAAAGTAGATTTAGTACTAACACTATTCAACTGCAAGGATATCCATGTTGCAACAAGAACTCTCCACATGAAAGGAACAAGGGGAAAAGAAACCGAAACAAAATAATACAAGGCAGCCCTATAAAACAGTAACACACGTATATACCAGTGTGTCTGAAAGAAACAAAACCCTAAACCAAAATGTATACACAACAACATTCCCAAAGTAAATATCATCACTCATAAGAAAAATAACTCAATTCAAAAAAAATTGTTCAAAAAAGTCAAAACTTACCATTCAAGCATAATCCATACTGTAATCAAGATTGAACAGCATGTCCCGCCGGCCATCTGAACCCATTCGGTAATTCAGAGATTTAGCAACTGATTGCACTCGGTCATCACTTTCATAGTCCATCTCTCGCATGCATCGCCTTCTGACCTTTTTTAGTGTCTCTTTTGATGGTTCAAATCCAGCAGCTATCTGCCAATAAATTTATAAGTCAATAACCATTGCTTGCAAAATATACTCAAATTAAAACACACACACACACAAGAATGTAGTTACCATATCATCGATCACTGCCAGAGCAGATTTGACATCCCGGTTAATCAGGTGGGCATTAACAAGGAGTGAATATGATTTTGCATTAGGCTTAAGACCCAAACTCACTAGGTGCTCAAACACCCTTGAAGCTTCATGTGTCTGCCACAAGATCATTGAAGTTATAAGTAGGTTTTCAAGGTTTGACACTTCAGACCCTGCTGTAGCACATAAAAAATAATCAAGCAGGAAAAGAACATCCAAAAGGAAATGTGTTTGCCATTCCTCCATCAGCTTCAAATCAGGCCTCCATGACATAAGCTTCCCTTGATGCCTCTGAGGACCTTATGTCATCTCCTAAAGGCCCCCGAAGAAACAGTTGAAATGACAAAAAGGAGCTAATTTGAGTGGCAATTGACACCTATATATGTCAAATGTCATGCATGCAAAGCACATGCAAAACTGAATTTAAGTCCAAGGGCTCGTTTGTATTGCCTTTTCAAGAAAGTCCTTTTTATCACTTCCTTATTTTAAAAGTACTTTCTATAAAAGTTACAGCTATTTAGATTTTTTTAAAAATATTTGGCTTTTGACTTCTGTTTTTTTTAAAAGCTAAAATTTTTAGCTTTCGAAAAAAGTAAGTTTTTGGCTTTTTTTATGACTTCTGTTTTTTTTAAAAGCAGACATCCAAACAGACTTTTTTCGAGAAGTGCTTTTTTTCCTTAAAAAAAACAGCTTTTGAAGAAAAAAAAGTCCATCCAAACAGGCTCCAAAGCATGCTTTCAAAAGGAGGAGGTAGTGGAAGGAGCAGAGAGGATGAGCAGAAAGATACATAAAAAAAAGATGGTTGGGAGAATGAGTCATCACCTTCTTGAGCTTCCCAAAGGCATACATCAGCCCATTGTATGAATGAATATCAGGGGTCAACCCAAAAGTAGATCCAATTGATTCAAAAGTTTGGTAAGCACGATCAAGGTCCCATATGTTTGCACATCCTAAAATGATGCAGTTTAGTGCAGGAACAGATCTATAGTTCTCTTCACGGCTTAAATGCTCCAGTTGAAAATAAACCTAAATAGAAGATAACATGACTAGATTAAGCTGCAAATTAAAATACCATTATAATAAACCAAATATATCATATCCACAGTTTAATTTAAAATGCATGCATGCCAACAGTTGCAAAAAGGTAGTATAAATGGAAGGTATGTCAAAGAAACATGGAATTTTTTTATAAAATAAATTTATGTTTAATACAAGACATCTATATTTTGTAAAGAAAGAAAATTGGTATATTCTATTTCCAACAGAAAACTTGTAAATAAAATGTCAATAAAAGCTATAAATATCATGACAAGATTGGAGTAATAACAAATCCTAAAATTTAGGTGGTATGGATTATTTTCTTCAACAGATAGAAAGACATACAAGATCCAAAGTCTCAAAACCCTTCTTGGAGAATGCCACAACCAATGGATTTAAAGAAGTAAATGGACAGAACAAGTCTTCAGCTTCTTGACTGGAATCTCCATAAACAGCCCCATATTTATGCAGAGTTTCAAAAGCCTCTTTTAGACTTCCCAATGATGCAAGAGCATATATCTTTGCAAGATATGATTCTGGATTAGGAACTTTCTTTTTACGCAATGAGCGATTCAAAACAGACCATGCTTTCCCTACCAGCTCAGAATTATAGGTTCTACCTGCAGTCACAAGAGCTGACACAACTAAACCTTCATCCACAGATAGCAACACAGGGGGTCTCATACGTTCACCCTTTACAATCCATCTAGACAAAAACTCCAGCCCATGAAAAGCTAACTTGCTATTATCCTCACGAATTGCAATTTCGGCTAAATAATAGCACAAGTTCCAGGAGGGGCAAAGAGCTTTGTTTTGATCTGTTGTCTAGAAACACCAATGAGAACATCACAGAGAAGAAATGTAAAGTTATTAGTAAATCTGCTACCAAAAAATATCTTAGGTATCAACAAAATTAATCACTCACCATGCACCTTTCAATTATTGTCACCAATGTATCGAGCCTGCCCTTTTTGGCACAACTCTTCACACAGTCCATAAATACGTTCATCGACAACATGTAACCAGACTTCAAAGTTAAATCTATATATTTGAATGCAGCATCAATCCGGTCAGTCGAAAAGAGCATTGCAATGACCAAGTCATATGATTCAGCATCAGGGAGAGATTCATTTCCAGTCTGCAGCATCCTGAAAATAACAAAGCAAAGCTTGATACATAAAGAGGCAAATGAGCTCAATTTACACACATACAAGTAATACAAACAAATAGTGTATATTATCTATTAAGAGAGTAATTATGACATTGGTATGCTTATTGGCATTTCAATATTTTGTTCAATAATAAAGCGGGGATAGGATGCAAAAGCGAGTCCCAGTCAGCTGGGTGTGAGAAGTGAAACTCCATTTAAAGTAGAGGTACTCTCCTCTTAACAACCTAGCTTTTAGGAGTGGGCTCACCTCTAAATCAAATGGTATAGAGCCCACTTTGTTCACCCTCCAGCATGCATGGATTGTTCTTTCAAACCCGATGAGATTGACACAGAAGCCAGAGTCTCATACTGGCTGGGGAGTTAGACAAAAAAACTCCCATTTTTATATTAGTGGCTTTCAACTCCTAACAGCATGACTTTTAAGTGTGGACTTTCCTCTACATCAAGATCAACAAGAACATGCAACAGACACAGAAAAGAGTCAAAGGAACAATTAAAATTTAGAATTTCATGACAAAAATATTCAGTTTAATAACAATAAACTCAACATTTAGCTAGTTAAGTTAGCAAGTATATGGCTAACCCATTCAAAATTCTTTGACCATTCTTAAACCGGTAAACTGAAAATGTTTTCAACAGCAATTCCTAAATAGTAATTCTCCTACAACCAAATCCATAATGAGGTGGACGGCGTAAAAGTTATTCATATCATACAACTGGCTACTGGGGAAAGAAAAATGGAAAATATAGTACATATTGGTAAGCTTGAGCTTCTGCCAATCATTGACTAAAAAACTAATTGGAAAAAGAAAAAGTCAATTTTTTGTAACAACGCAAATAACTAAGTTAATATAACAATATAACATGCATAGCACTAAACACTTGCCCTAGCATTTCTGAAGGCAACTTTTCCTGGTTAATAAAACCAATGGATCCTAAAAAGGGTGGACGATCCCACCGTTGTAGGGTCTGGGAAAGGTTGTATGCAACCTTGCCCGCATGACCAGAGAGGAGACTGTTTCAGTGAAGGTTCATAGCTAAGTTAGCAGAAAATATCACCAGGCCATTATTTGTAAAATTTGCCTCTCAAAGAAACTGCTAGTTAAGTATTTCTTGCCGAAAGGTTCTATTTTTCATTTCCTGACAATGATGCGGATAAAGAACTACTAGCCAAAAGCTACTACTACTACTAGCAGCTCTAGCTCAGGTAATAACAATAGTAACCGACAAAGAAAAACATATTTTAAATCATTTCAGCTGTCTAAAACAATCATTAGTATCAGCACAACACTTGACAAATATGCTTGAGCCCAAGTAATTAGCAGATTTCAACAACGAGATTTACAGCTAACCATTTCAGCCATTTTTTTCATCAGTCTCAGTCACGAGACATCATTTCGAGAACAAATTAAACATGCAACGATGATCTAACCGTTCGAGCAATTTCTCAGCAGCAACGCCCTCATTTGCATGGTGCATAGCCTTGAGGACCAAATTAAACGAAGCCGTATTGGGGGAGATGTTGAAGTCGTCCATCTGAGCGACGAGGTCGAGTAACTCGCCGGCGGTGGCTCCGATCATCAAATTAGCCCTGAGATAATGGTTGAAGAGGTTGACATCGGGCTTGTTGGGCTTTCCATCTTTATCGAGTGAGCGAACCCAGGCCTCGAACATGTGCTTAACATCGTGCCAGCTCTGCGAGGTCATCCAATCGCCGAAGAGGTTCAAGAGAGAGTTGGAATCGTAGGTGTGAGGGGAATGGGCGCTATTGAAGAGCCCTAGTGGGATGAGAGTGTGGGAGACTGAGGGAGGATTGGGGCTACGCCAGTTCTCGTTGTAGAGGGGGCTACCGGAGGCTGGATTCGGAGGGAGTGACGTGGCGGCGGAGGGAGCGACGGGTTCGGAGGCTTCTACCATCTGAGGCTCCTGCGAGAGGAATGGGAACGTTGTGATGGTTTTGAAGGCGGTTGTTTTGGCGAGAAGAGAGCGAGTTCGACACAGGATCGCCATTTGCGACGCCATTGATGGATCAGTTGAGTGAGTGAGTGAGGGGGTTTAACACATTTAGGGTTTGTGTGATTCCGATTGGGTTTCGTCGTGGTGGCGGATGAGCGATTTGTTTGAAGAAATGATGGTAGATTCGAGTTTGGTTATTTTTTGTTTGAAGAAATGGAGATTTGAGATTGGGCCTTCGTTGTTTGAGATAGGCCCAATAATAAAAACCAGGCAAACACCCACTAAAAATGGAAACAAACAACAGTAATATTTTGGGTGTGTTTGAAGGGAGAAGTGTTTGTAATTTTAAATAATATAAAATTATGTCATTTTAAATTTAAGAGAGAGATAGACACAAAATAATAATTTTTTATTTAAAATTTAAATTAAAAAAACCCACCACTTTCTCCCTCGTGATTTTTATTTCTTGTGTATATCTCTCCTAAAATGACATAACTTATGTCTTTTAAAAGGACAAACATCAAACCCGTGTTTGAATGTGTTTTTATTTTTTTGTTTTTAAAATTATTTTATAAAACAACTTATAAAAGCTATTTTGTAGAAAAAAGACGAAAACAAATCTGTTTGATTATAATTATTAGAATGTCATTAATGAAATGTTGTTCTTCGTGTTTCTGTCAGTTTTAAACGTAAGAGTAGGAAAAGAGAACAAAAATAGGTAAGAGGTGTTCTCTATTTTTTGTTTTAAAAACTAAAGAATAGATGTTGTTTTTAGAACAACAAATACAGAAAACTCATGCCAAATAAGTTTTTTTAATTTTTTTGTTTTTAAAATTAAAAAATTGTTCAGCAGAACAGAAATCAAATAGAGCCTTTCATTCTCAGCCTAGCCAAATTCTCAGTAACAAGTATAGGAAGAATGATATGATTGACTCAAACTGACCCAATATTTTGATTTAGTCATTTCTTTGGACTTAGATCTTACTAGATCATGGTCTAATTAATGACCAGATGAAGACTGGGTAGTCCTATATTTAAATAAAATGCATTAAATTAGACATCATGCATAGTTAATTTGTAAGATTTTAGAAGTAACAAAGTAAACGAAGGAATGTTTTATAATATACATTTCAAAACAAAATACAATAGTATTATCACGGGGAAAAATGTTTCCGCAGTTAATGCAGAGAAGTTATTTATATTTATTCTCAAAACGACGTCATTTTGGTATTAAAATCTTAAAAAATTATAAATATAAATACTATTATAACCCTAAAATAAATTAAAATTATAAAAACATCATGATTTCTGTCTCAAAACGACGTCGTATTGACTTACTGCAGATAACTTATTTGCAGTAACTGCAGAAAAAATGAACCCATTATCATGACATGTAATATGAGTTTAAATTTAAATATAAAGAAATAGTATTATGCAACACCAAGTTAGATCGGATTAGGATTTAGGCCAACTTGATACAAACATAAATATAAAGTCAATGAGGTTTGGCACAATTAGTTGAACTTTCTGTTTGTTAGTTGTGGATTGGATTCGATTCTTAGCTTTTTCTATTGGATAGGTGATATACAATCTCATTTTAAATCCTCTTAACTTTTCCAATACGACGTTTTTTTCCCCTAATTTAAATTTTAAAATAATTCAAAATTTTAAACCTGGACTTGGCCCAATTAACTTTGGATTGGGATGGGTTATCAAGCCAAGCTGGTTTGAACACCCTTAATGCCTAGGTTACATCACAAAGCTTTATTGTCATGAGATCTAGGCTGATTATATATGTGTGACCTTGAAAAGCTTCAAATTAACAAAAGCTCATAAATAGCTAAAAAATGAGCCCATGATTAAGCAACTCAAGGACATAATTTAGATAATCACTTAAGTATGTGAATCACCTGATACACGATTGTTTTATCTTACTTAATGATCTTGAGTTTGAGTAAATTCAATAGGAAATTTTTTATTACTCTTGTGATTTTATCCGACCGGAGCAATCAATCAACCGGTAAAATAAAAAACACACGCAGCTTGGACGAGATGCTATATAGAGCTGATCAAATAACATGTCCCTTTTTTACCTTTATCAACTGAAGTTATGCATGAGAAAACAACTAATAGTTACAACTTTAAGCTCATTTTGAAAACTTGAACTTTTGTGAAATCATCGAGTCACCATTAGCCTATCATATAATAAAGATGAACTTGAACTTGTGTCCAAAAAAACAGTTGGTCAACACATTTTCTTTCTATCGTTATATATATTCCTATCATGCCAAGATCACGCCCAAAAACCAAAAGCTATGTACATAACAAAACATAAGCCCCAATCAAACCCCACTTTATTCTTTCAAATACTAGGCTGAGCTGCTTCTAGCTACTACTCCTCAAATGTAAGGGAAAGGTGCTCCGTTGATCGCTCCCCCAGTGCTTCATTATTCTCTCCTACGTTGCAATAGCCAAATTTCTATCTAGTTTACGTCTTTTTATGCTTGAGAAACTACACTTTTTTTTCCGGATATATTAAAGAATTGAACACACACTTTATTATATAACTACTTACACCCCTCATCGCTAGGCTAACCCAGTGACTTGAAATTACAATATCTTTATAACTTCATCAATATTACCTCGAAACAAAAGTTTACATATTATTGATAAACTGTTTAAATAATAAATAATTTGAAAGAAGATATAATTAAAATCAATTTTTTATACGATTATTGTTTAAAAAAAATGAAATCTATGAGTTTGATTGTAGCATTATATATTCATCTTTGGTTCCCTTTTCAAATATCGAATTAAACAAGTATGGATTTGGACGAGAATAAAGGGGGACAGATCATCGAAAGAAGCGTAGAAAAGTTGCAACTTTTGTTTCTTAGGCAATGGTCTTTTCAGTAGAAGGATTTACTTTTAAACAGTTGGACACTGGGACTTGGAGAGTGAACCCTCCATGATGAACCTTTTTATTAGCCTGATGAAATTTTCAAAACCCAATTAAGCACTTCAGAGACACATAAATAAAGTGATAAAAAAGCAACCACAAATTTTCAAGGTATGCTTCCATTACTCCCTTTAACGAAAAGGCGAAAGTTCCTTATTCCTTTGAAAGTCCTTGTCATGTTTTATAATAGTGTTCTCACTGATAACGAATCCATTCTCTCGTCATTGATAATAATCAACAACATGAAAGGTATATATAACACCGACTAAACAAGTTTTGCTGGTTTTGGATTGCATCTTTCTCCCTGTATTTTAGTTTGTTTTAAAAAGTTTTTATGTTAATCGAGATTAATTTCTTAAAAAAAACATTTTTAAGGTTATAGGTCATTATATTTAAGAAAATTAATTTTCTTAAATATTAACTTTAGGCAAACTCGAATGTGTCCCTTCGCGCTCCCTGTACATGTATAACCTTTTATCTGTCATGCGTCATGTAGTTTCACACCTAACGAGGTTCACGAGATTAAAAACAAGAGTAAATATTTTTTTTTTCCCTAACAAAAAATACGGTCCCTACTTTAGTCTCTTAGAAAAATAAATTAGTCAGTTAGTTCCTAACAAATTCAAAGTGGACCCATTTAATTAAAATCGTGGTCCTCACAAATTCAAAAAAGATCCATATTAATCCCTCAAAAGGACTAAAATGGGTCCACTTTGAATTTGTTAAGAACTAACTAACTAATTTATTTTTATAAGGGACTAAAGTGGAGGACCGTATTTTTTGTTAAGGACCAAAAATGATATTTATTCTAAGGGTTTTATAAGAGTTATGTTGTAGGAAAAGTGATTGTGTAATGTTATAGAGATTCGTTTTGCGTGCCTTAATTTTTTATTTTTTTTTTTATTTTAAAAAGTGTGGGCTTCACAAAATGGTGTGAGAGTAGGAAAGTTTGTTGTGTTATATTAAAGGATAAAAGGAAAACCCTTATTCTAAAAACAATTATGGTATCACATTTTATACATTTGAAGATAATCCCCAACCTCTTACATAAATGAACCTTGGCTCCCTTATTATTCATTTTCTCTATTTGTTCTTTATTATTGTTACTTTGCTGCATTCTCATCTCAGGTATAATCGTAACCCTAAACAACTCCCCTTTAGCACCCCCAGTTCATCTAAGATGACGACGTCTTAAAGCTGTGATCTATACCACTATCTCTTTCATTTATGTCAAATTGACATATTTCACCGTCTTGAGAAAAAGATTCATTTCATACTCTAATGTCAAAGATTTTTCATGAAATCGAACTTCTTTAAAAAGTTCAATTTCATCAAAAACTTTTGACATCAAAACCCATAACCTAACTTTTTAATATCTTGAAACCCTATAGTTATTAGTTGTAAAGTTGCGTTGCTTAAAGTTGATAGCATACAAACATAATAATTAGCTAAAAGTGAATATGCCCTTATTAACAATCATCATCGGCTGGACGGACACAATATTGAGTTGGATTTGACATAATTTGTTATCTTGATGGTTAGGAGTCCTTATGTTTGGGGCTAGTTTTGGATAAGGTTTATTTGAAGTCATTATACAATAAAGATAGATAGGAGTAGTAAGATACGGAAATTATATTGTACTCAGATGTTTGTTTTCAATAATTAATTTTTTTTTATTGTATTGCAGAACTAATAATGATATTTATAAAGGGTTAACTTTTTTACCGCTCGAGGTAGAAAAAGTTTCCTAGTCACTCTCACAAAAAAAAATAATGGGTCCCATCAAAAAAGAAGTGAGACCCTTTGCAATAGCTAATTTCAAAAATTACACTTTATATTTTCAAGAGTATATAATATAGGACAAACAAAAAAATTTGCAATAATTGCAGAAATAATTTTTTGTATTTATAAATAACTTATTTAAGTCAACTCATATTAATGCTTAAGAATTGAAGCGTGAATAGTAAAGTCTCATATTGGTTAAAAAAATCATATAAAAAAATTGAATACTTTGGGTTGTGAGATAATATTATATTCATTGGTAAATTGTCACTTAACCTTTGATGTTATAATAATTCTATATAATAATAAGAGTATTTTAACATATCCATAGGGGCAATCATATTCCTAATCTCACATAGGAAAGGAATAGATAAATATTTAACTACATCGTTTCGTATAAGTGATTAAATCAGTTAGTAAATAATTAAATTAGTTTATAATTAACTTTATGTTATTTGGTAGTTAAGCCAAATAAATAATTAAAGTTATATGCACTACAACATCCCAAATGGGGTAGTGTGACCCATGATATTGTACGTACACCTTCCAAATCCCCACTCTAAAAGAAACGATATTTACCCTGAAATTGTAAAATTTAAATCAGCCAATTATCTTGTGGTAGAAGTATCGATTATAGTATTAACCACTTCTCCTAACCAACAAAAATAAAAAAAACTATAGAAACCAAAAATGAGACAGATCTATATGTGGTAACCACCACTTGTCTACTTATGTCATGAAAGAATTCATTGTGCGAAGTGACATTTCATCAAACACTCTGAGTGGTAGAGAATCTTTATATGTTCTGGTCTTGTTCCTGTATTTGCAAATAACTGAGTCATTTATCTGATATAATGCTTTTATTTAGGAATGCTTGTGCTAATTGCCGGTTCCATAGAACTATTTGAATCATTGTATTTCACAAAACACTCAGCAGATTCAAACATATATTGCATCCAAGATGAGATTGGAACGTTTGTAAAGCATTAGATATTTTTATTACAATAAGGAATAGTTTAATATTGGAGCTGAAAATATTATATACTCCAATTGGCAACTTCAGTGCAATTATTCAGAAACATTGAGGGCCACTATCACCGAGACAATATATAGTAAAGCAATAACTTCATGTTCTTTAACAATAGGATCATATGGGGAAAATGATTATTTTTCTTCTTCTCTTAATAATTTTTTTAAACATATAAAAGGGAACGATTATTTTCAGGTTATTTTATTTAAGACAGGGAAGAACAGATATTAAAAATATTCTCATGGGCATATAACGGACCTTTCTCAAGTTTATAATCTGATTTTACAACGTAACTCATTCTGCGTGATTATATTATAAGATGATATAATTTACATACCTCAAATCATAAAAACTATATATTTGAACGAAGTGAGAGGGCTGAAGATCAATGACAAACGTTTAAAATATACAGAAGAATTAAGGATTGTGATTGCGAGATAACAGCATTATTTGATAATTCTCAAGTGACTTGTTTGACTTCTCAAAATAGTTTTATGTGTCAAGCAAGTCTCAAGTTTTTTTTTTTTTTTTAATATATACATTATTTTTGCAATTCGATCCGGTTTTCCCAAAAATGTTTTTCCAAGGATCAAACTATCGATATTGAGATTCAAATAACCACTTTTAACCATTGCGACCAGCAATCACGGCGTACATTTTCTTATTTACCATGTGTAGCTTAATAGATACTTGCTTGTTCGTCAACTCATTGTATAGTTTGTTTCTTGTAGAGTGATTCATCATTGTGACCCTGTGTTTAATTTTTTTTAATCATTTTACCCTTTTTTAAATTATTTATTAATTGGGGAAATATTTCTATTTTAATAGCAGAGAACATTGTCTCTGCCATACAGACAAAATCAAAGAGAGAGAAAACATGTTTGGTTGAGAGAGAAAAATATGATGGTGTCCACTTTAAATTATCTCTTTGTTGCAGATAATTTTCTCTATCTTTAAAGCACAAATGGTTTTCCCTTATTAATTTTAACATTTTATCAAAACTATATATCAATCCGCTCATATTTAACCACATTGACTGCCACGTACTTTAGTAGCTAGGCTAGTTACTTGAGTAACTTAGACAAGATGGTAACTCAAATTTGCATCCATAAATATTTTTAATTCAAACCAAGTTCTAATGTCCTGTAGGTATATAAATGGACTTGAGATGAGTGCTTGCAAATCCTTTACAATTGATGGCAGTCCTCATATGCAATTAAAGGTGTCAAAACATAATTTTCTCTTGATTTTCAATATGACTTGTTAAATTATGTTCATTTTTTATTAATCCATGCTTACTATTATATCATGCACACACATATTTGAGGCTATTTGACCATTTTTCTCTTCATCAATTAATTGATAACTATTTTGTCCCTGATTCGAAACTATCTATCATTCTGCCCCTCTTTAATCGACTACTTTGCATGTTTAATCGACTAAATGGTTGTTGAGAGATTTAATCGACTAAATCTCCTTACTTATTTTTTTTGGTCAAATATGGAGATTTAGTCGACTAAATAGGGAGATTTAGTCGACTAAATAGGGAGATTTAGTCGACTAAATATCCCTATTTAGTCGACTAAATCTCCCAACAGCCATTTTTTGTCTGTTTTAGCCATTTAGTCGATTAAAAATGCAAGGTAGTCGATTAAAGAGGGGCAGATTGATAGATAGTTTCAAATCAGGGGCAAAATAGTTATTAATTAATTAATAAGGGGCAAAAGGGTGAAAAAACCCATATTTGAACATCATATGTGGATTCGAGGGCTCAAAACAATTGAGAACTATCTCCATATACCCTAAACTAAATTTACTGAACTAAGCTTTAAGTACATCTTTATGTTCATTTGGCATTGTTTTTAAAGATATATGTCTATTTACTATGTCATTCCCAAAACCTATGAAGGAACCATTTTTTTAGAAAAAATTTTAGCCAAATTTCTTTTAGTATTTGCCTTCGAGTAGATTTTGAAGAGTCATATGAAATAAAAAAACATCTGATTCGGTCAATCGAGCCAAAAGTTATACTTTCCAAAGTTTACACAGTTTTAGGATATAAAGAGATTGCCCTTAAAATTGTTTAAATCCGCAAACACTCATCTCAAGTCCATTTATATACAAGACATTAGAACTTGGTTTGAATTAAAAATATTCATGGATCCAAATTTAAGTTGCTATTTTTCTTGAATTACTCGAGTAACTAGAAGTCAATATGATTAAAAAAAAACAAGGGTAAAAAGTTCATTAGCCCTTTTTGTAGCAGAGAATGTTTTTAACCGCTCCAAGTTATTGTGCCTTAAGAATCGAACCAGAGATCTTTCGTTCAATAGTTCAATTTTTTAGCACAATCCGCTTATTAATTATGTCATTAAAGTATATTAATTTAAACAAACATATTTATTGAAAAAGAAATATGTTTTTCATGTTACATTAGATAAATTATTTCTATAATATAAAAAAATTGGATGAAACTCACTAAAAAAAGAAAAAGGTAAAAAAAATTATAATATTATTTTTTACCATATAAGAAATATATTCCTCTTATTAAAAATGTATAAATTATAAATTCTCAATTTATGTACAAAAGTCAAAAACTGTACTACCAAAACGTATTCTTATAACAAAAAATTGGGTTCGCTTTTTCTCCAGCTACTACAAATAAGTTATTTGCAGTAAACTCAATACGACGTCATTTTGGGACGAAAATCATGGTGTTTTTATAATTTTAATTTATTTCAGGATTATAATAGTCTTTATATTTATAGTTCTTGGGGAATGATATTGTGACAACCCAATCAATCTTACCGTTAGATCGATTATATTGATCTAACGATTATATTTATTTCTATTTTTGTATGGTCATGATTCCCCAAATTTAATACTTTATATTTATTTTCACTTTGTATGGTTATGATTTTCCATATTTAATGCTTTCACTTTAAATATGGGGAATCATGACCATACAAAGATGGAAATAAATATAACCGTTGGATCAACATAATCGATCTAACGGTGAGATTGATTGGTAGTCACTTGGTTGTCACAATATCCTTCCTATAGTTTTTTAAGATTTCAATACAAAAACGATGTCGTTTTGAGAATAAATGCAGATAACTTATCTGCAGTAACTGCAGAAATATTTTTTCCAAAAAAATTATACCAATTCTAATTATAACTTTGAGACAAAAAGACTTCTAAATATTCCCATAAACAAAAACTTGTTTTTAAAACGGAGAAAATGTGTATCATTTTAAAGGATGTAAAGTTGTATCATTTTAAGTGAGAGAAAGAGATAGATAAAGGAAGAGAGAGAGAGTTGACAAAAAATTATAAAGATGTGGATCCAACCTTTTTATGAAAGTAAAAGAATATAAATTGTGTCATTTAAACTGACAAATATTTTTTGCTTTTAAAACTTGAAAGTCGAGACAAATAATAAGAAATGATGTTAGAATTAAAAATATATATATATGTGTGTGTGTGTGATAAGACTGAATTCAAGTGTGAAGTTTTACTGATTAACATTACCAACTCAAAACAGGGAGTTTTACTGATTAACATTACCAACTCAAAACAGGGACTGCTACAGTTCCATCCCCATAGAGACAGACTTGTATTGTAGCTACTGGACAGTACTAGTGCCAACACACAACCAAAGGAAAATATCAATAGGAACCTCCCTCGTACCAAAGCAAGCAGTACAGTGGACCATTTAGGACCTAAACCAAGTTGAGTTACCACATGAGTTTAGGACCGTTTGAAAATACAGACAAAATAGTCAGATACATATTACATATGTTGGGAAACGGTATTTTATATTGTATAGTATAACAAAAGCTTCACTTTAATACAATTCCCCATAACACTCTCCTGTCTAGCATATACATAAAGTTATTACTTAGTATTCTATATTAATTTATTAATGTTTATGGTACATATGTTACACACATATGAAGGCTTGAAAAGTGTACCAAACAGGTTCCTACCACCTCATTCACCTCTTGTCCAGAAATCTCCATTCTCTCCATTCTCATAGCTGCTTCTTCTCACTGTCTCTCTTTCTTTCTCTCTACCTCATACTGGAGTACCCTCCTCAAGTTCATCATATTCAGATCAAATAAATTTTTCTTTTACCATCTGAATACCCATCATCATCATCCTCATTAATCATGGCTATTTTGGTTTATTTTGTGCTTTTTCTTTCCCTGACTGGCCATTCAAGTAAGCACCTAGATTTGCTTGTGTTTGTTTCAAGTTTCAAGATTTAATCATGATAACTCATCTCTGAGATGGGTTCTCATGATTATTTGCTCTTCCTGCTTTTCTGTTTTAATTCTGTGACGTAGCTTTGGGATGGTGAAATGGATTTTGTTCAAGGAGTCTTTTTTACCTTGTTTTCTGTTATGATGAAAGATTTTAATGTTCTATTTTGTAGTGATAAAGAAAAATCTGGGACAAATCCATGCACCTCATTTTGTTTGAATAAAAGGTGGGATTTTGTGTGAACTAAATATTTTATTTTTATTTTCCCCTAAATTTTATCCTATAGGTGCTCTTTACTGTATATGTAAAGATGGTGTGGGTGATCAAGGTCTTCAGAAAGCAATAGATTATGCTTGTGGTGCTGGAGCTGACTGTACCCCTATTCTCCAAAATGGACCTTGTTACCAACCCAACACTGTGAAGGATCACTGCAACTATGCTGTTAATAGCTATTTCCAGAGAAAGGGTCAAGTTCAGGGAAGCTGTGATTTTAATGGTGCTGCCAGCCCCAGTCAAACTGCACCTGGTAAGTGTCATGTACTTGTTTTCAAGCCACCTTCAAATTTTTTGACATCCTTGTTGAATTTCACTTTTACTAATTCTCTCTTGTGCTTATCTCTCTGATCTACAGCTTCGACATCTACATGTGTTTTCCCCACAAGTCCTGGGTATGTTTCTTGATTATGCATCTTGCTGTTTTTGTTTTTTATTTTTCCAGTGATTTGGCTTAATATTCTTTTAAATCCAAGGAATTTTTTTGCTTGTGGTTAGTTGTTGGGTAATTTCCACAATGTATTAAATCTATTTTCCATTTACAGAATATAAAGGTCATCTTACCCAGTTATGAAATCAATTACCTGCTTTTTGGTTGTATTTTAGCATTTGCAAAAAAGTAGCTCTAAATTTGGTTTACTTTATACTAGTTAACATACATTCTTGTTTTGGTTTCTGGTATTTTTTTTTTCTTTATTTGGTACAACATACTTGTAGTTTACATTAGCCAAAAGGCCATTTTTAGGTTCATGTATCCACCGCCCCTGAATCAGATTTAAACACAACTATTTTGAAACATTAGCTGTCATGATTAGGATGTTTCACAATTATTTTTGTCCTCTTCATCCCTAGATGTTTGATTCTAGATCTGTGAACATATATAATATTTGGTGAAATGGTTTCTTTTGCTTAGTACATAATATTAGTAGTCTATGTGAAAGATCATATTAGTAACATAATATTAGTTGGCTTCTACTTGCAGCAATGCAGGTACACCAGGCACCACAACCCCAACAACAGGTACACCAGGCACCACTACCCCAACAACTGGTATACCAGGCACATCACCTTCCACTATAAACCCAACTACTCCTTCAAGTACAACACCAAGCACAATCCCTGGCACTGGGACAGGGACAGGCACAGGCACAGGAACAGGAACAACCACAGGAAGTCCTAATGTGTTTGGAATGAGTCCAACATCTTCAACTGGAACAGGCTTCAATGACTCTAGCAATGGAATGGTTCATTTGAAAGGCACTCATGTGTTACTATTATTATCCCTTGTTCTTACCTTCTGGTTAGTGTTGAGCGTCTAATGGTACAGTGCTAGTAAAAACTTGTGGCGGTTTGATGTGTGGATGAGATTTTGCCAACACATGATGGGTATTCACGTAATTTCATCACAGAGAATCATCCAGAAGCAAACCCCACTTTGTGGCCTTAAATGTTTTTTTTTTTTGTTTCTTTTGGTTTTGTTCCTCCTAAGTCCTATGCACACTTGGGAATATGGTTCCTTTTTCAGTGGCGAATATATTTGATATGACTAGTAATGGGGGTAGAATCTTATCGGTTTCCATTTGTATATTATTATCTATTATCTATGATTATGAGAGGCACTATTTTTTAATTTAATTGAGCCTTGCAACCTCTTATATATAATCTGTTTCTAATCCGTGACACTATAACTTTTTTTTTTTTGTTGAATTATTTTTCTTGCATGATTTGCATTCATCCATCGTTTTCAGCTGCTCACATTACGTAACTAGATTTTCCTATGTTTTCATCACACTAATGAGTGATGACTCGATACGATTATCACTTATTTTGGAAATATAAATAAATATAAGTATGTACTGGCAACGATTAGTGCATACTTGCATAAATTTACATTTATACACACTTTTTTTTTTGTATAGACATTTATTCACACTTTACATGTCCTTATCTTTTACTATTGAATGACGTTGACATTAGAGTATCTGCCTCATTTATTTTTTATTAATTTTTAAAAAAAAATTAATAAAAGATATGTTGGGTTTCATTCTCCCAATTTTGCTCCAGGTGTGCAAATTTTGCCACTTGGCTCAATTTACATGTACAAGTGTCTCCAACAGAGCCAAGTGCATTTGAATGAAAAGTGAAGGTGGCTCAACAAATGTCTCGGCATCACATGCTTGGAACACAATAATATGAGATAATTTGGAATTTCAATAATATTCTCTTTCCCTTGTGAGTTGTGATTATTCATGGTGGGGACCAATTTCTCTTTGGACATAATGTCAATACCAATTGTAAATAATTGAATTTAACATGCTTTCCCTAAACATATGAAATGAATGACGGTGCATGCTTTGGTCGACATGTTTGTATTCCTTTTCTTTTTTTCCCCTGATCTATATGTTAATCCAAAAACCTTAAAATAAAGTTGATGAGAATTTGAAAGAGTCAAAATAGAGAGACTAGTTTACTCGGTTTAAGTCACAAGATGATGACAGCTTACTATATCGGAACACTGGCCACAGTGTCACTGTTGAAAAAAAAAAAAACACTAAAATGTCACGTCAACAGTAAATTTTGCCAAAATATCACGTGGCATATTTCGCTACACGGTGTAGCGAAATATGCCGCGTCAGAATGCACAGAACCAAAAATGCCACATGTCAAACAGGAAGAATTTCGCTACAATGTGTAGCGAAATTCTTCCTATTTGACACGTGGTATTTTTGGTTCTGACGTAGCATATTTCGCTATACCGTGTAGCGAAATATTTGCACACATATTTCGCTACACAGTATAGCGAAATATGTCACGTGACATTTTGACAAAATTTACTGTTGGCATGACATTTTAGTGTTTTTGTTTGCCAACAATGGTACTTTGGCCACTGTCCCTACTATATCAGTGTTATTCCACTGCAAAAAACCGTCTCACGCATTTTCCTATTGGCATGTCTTAGCCACACACAACCATCCCGCCATATGATCCCTATCTTATAATACCTTGATTGTACCTAAGAATAGTTTATAGTATCTTACTATCTTATTTCATCCCTTAGAATAGTTTCCTTATTTCTTTGATTTATTTCTTTATTTGATTATGATTTAGATTCAAATATTAATATAAATAGAAATGAATACTTTGTAGTTTGTATCACATCATAACACATTAATCAATACCAATTTCACATTATCTAGTATTCCAAGCTTTTTTTTCTCTTTTCTTCACGGACAAAATGTTGCGACTTCAACAAATACATCAGTCGTATAAGTAATAAAGTGGTAAAGAGTGAGATTGTCATTCCCACACTTATTTATATAATTAAAGTTGGACTAATCTTGTAAGTTTTGGAGAATATAATTTTAAATTAATAAAAACATAATTTTAAAGAAAATATTTTTGGTTTTCAATATTAATAACTAAGACGCAAGAACACAAACAAGAGCGAGTTAAATTCAATTAAAGACGACGTAGCTAGGGATTCGACTTCCCCAATATTTTCCTAACGAGTCTAATCTTTCATGCAATTAACACTCAAGATCAATAATTGACAATCCTTTCTAATTTAACCGAATCTCCAATCCCTTGGTGGTTTCAATTTTTTACTTTATTCCAACTTTAAGGTCAAGAATTATACTATAGAATTTATAAGACTATTCATAGAACATACAAACTCTAGCAATTAATCAAACGGAATCAAGAAAACAATATTCCTATTGACATGCAAGATTCTAATGCCCATTCAAGATTGACCAGATCATAAACGAGACTAGAAATTTAAAACAAATTAATTACATAATTTAAACATGAAAAATAATTACAAGAAAGATTAAATAGCGTTCAGGAACTCATTGGTTCTGTCTTGCCCTAACTACATAAAAAGAACTAGCCTATCATGTTCAAGAAAACAAGAACAATAGATAAAAGAAAAAGATAATTTATGATAAAACCTAGTTAAAGATGATCCACGGTGAAGCTTTGAGTTGCTTTTCTTCCTTTTCCTTTCCAAAAGCTCTCCTTTGCTTCCTCTCCAGGCCTCTGGCTGCGTGAATCCCCTCAAAAGCCCTAATTGCGTCTCTTTTAAAGAAATAAATCAAGACTTTTAATTTGGATCAGGCTCGCTGCTCAGCGAGCAAATTTTAACTCCTCGCTTGGCTTGCTCGCTCTAGCGAGCTGTAGAGCAAGGGAACGCGAATTAGACAAACGTTCTCATTGGGCTTGCTCACTCCAACGAGCAAGAATTAATTTCGATTAATTTTTTATTTTTCTTAATCTTCATCCTTTTCAACTGCTTTTATTCTCTAGTATTTGTAATTATTATTTTATACCTAAAATAAGATGAAAAAAGATCAAAATCATATCAAGTATAAAAATTTATAATCTTTTGTATTTATTAATTTATATTATATTCTTTATCATATTTATCTTTATTTAATATAATTTTGCTCTTAAAAACATAATGTTTTTGACACTCATTACAAGACAAATACTTCTAAGAGCTTGAAAAATGTCTAGTTTTACTGTACTTTCTTTATTAATGAAAGAGGGGGGGGGGGGGGGGGGGGGGGGGGGGGAGAAGCTGTGCATGACTCCTCCAATAAGTTTAGTCTGATACTTATATTTATCCATTAAATGAAGAAGCTGTACATGACTCCTCCAATAAGTTTAGTCTGATACTTATATTTATCCATTAAATGATTTTCCAACCGAGACCTGATACTGAAATTTTGAAGTTGCTATTTATAGAGTTCTCATGTCCAAATATGCGTTATACATTTATCCATAATATTGGTGATTTATATATTAGAATTAATATTTCTCATGTGAAATAATTTTTTCTCCTATTTATATATAAAAATATGTGGGAGTCATATAAGGCCATATAAAAAGAAAGAACAAAATATAAACTCCACACACATATATATATATATATATATGCGTGTAAAAGATAAAATTATATCCTATAATAAAACAAACATTATTCCCTCATATTATATGATGACATCCAAGATTCTGATGGGTTTAAATGGTTTAGTATTAGGTGTAAGAGATTCCTATAATCGTATTATACTAAGAGCATGTTTGAATCTCTTTTTTAAGCTAGTTATAAGCTAAATCTAAAAATAAGAGCTTAAAAAGAAGAAGCTAAAAGCTGTTCGGTAATTACATAAAATTTTTAACTTAAAAATTACTTAAAAGCACATATTTCAAGAAAATTATCTCTCTCTCTATCTTTATAAATTATAACTCTTCATTTTTTTAACAAAAAGCACGCAATTCAAGAATAACAGATAAGAGCTTAAAAAAAGGCTCCTCCTAGGAGCTTTTAACTTTCAGTTTTTTTCTTCATTATAAAAAAAAGAGTTTTTCGTTATAAGAGCTTTTCTCAAAACCTGTTTGACCTAGCTTATACTAATAAATAGTTTTTAGGTTAAAAATAAAAAAATCCAAACAGGCACTAAGTATGAGATCGCCCTCCTATCAAACACCTTTTACTACCTATATTAATTAGAGGTAGGATATTCTTCCTATCAATTTTTTCTACTACCACCCCACTACCATTTTAAACACTATTAGATTCAAAAGCTAATTTTCTTTTCTCTCTCTTCATTCAACTATTCCTCTAATCTAATGGTGATTAGAGTGGTAAAAGAAAAAATTGTTAGTAAGAATATCCTATCCCAATTAATTATTATAAAATATTTCTAAGTCCTTAATTATATTTGATGAACTTCGTAAATCAGCAATCAATAAATACTTAACAACTCATTAATCCTATTAGTATTAAAAAAGAAATAAGAAAAAAGAAATGCATAAAAAAAAAAACAATTTTATTATCTATGGATACCAAACATGAACATCTTAATTATCTCAAGTGAGTACTTGTGCACCAAACACCACATATTTTCATGTCATCCCAACTAGAGACATCAACATCAACAACACCTTTATTCCAAATTAATTGAGATCGGTGGTAGATGAATCCAAATAAAAGATACGAAAAGGTTGAAAAAAGATAAAAATAAAAATAAAAAATAAATAAATAAGTAAAGTAGTAATAATAATATATATATATATATATATATATATATATATATATATATATATATATAAACATAAATATAAAAGTGATAAAAGAAGGGGAAAAGAAGAAAGGGAAGAGATGAAGAGAAAAAAGAACTAAAAAGGGACCATCTGGAACATAGGAATAACAATGGGCCTCCATGGAACTAAAAAGAACTAACCCTCCACCATACATATAGATTTTCTCCATTTCGTTCTAAGGCACATCGTCCGCCAATCTATATCCCAATCCATTAAGTCTTGTTTTACTACCTTTTTCCAAGTTTCGGTCTACCTCTACCTTTCTACCTTTCTTTGTGTTGAGCTCTTGGTTCTTACGGGAGCATCCAGGGGCCTTCTCATTACGTACCCAAACCACCTCAATCTATGTTCTCTCATCTTTTCAGCCACCGGTAGTGCTCCTACCTTTCGTCGAATATTTTCATTTCTCAACATCCTCATATCTGCTACTCCCATTTTATCCTCATCTCTGCTACTCCCAACTAGAGAATAATTGAAAAAGAGGGACACAAGCCCGACTTGCAGAAAATTTTATATTATTCAGGCAAGAGTCATGTTAGCACCGTCACAAACATATATGTGTATTTTGGCCAAGAGTTAAAACTCTCTTTAATATTCAAGTAAACAGTTCAGTACATAATATGAGAAAGGCTTCTGCATTGAAAACAGCATTAGGCTACTGCTGCAGCAACATTGATTCTATCTTACTCTACAACTATAGTTAGGGAAGGAGCATTCCGAAAACTTATTTAGCTCCATCACCGGCTGGTTTGCCAAAAGTCAAATTGCTAAGTTGCCTTCTTTGTTAGAGAAGGGCAAAAAAGATGTTCAACCTTCATACTTGTGAAACACATTGATTTAATTTCTTGGCCTCTCTCTGCAAAAATTCAGCAATTAATTTGATAGTAGTATCTGGTCTTTCCACATGAGGAAGGTGCCCACAATTGGGTATTTGGCGTACAATGGCATCAGGTAATTCACAGTGTAATTGCTGCAAGATAGAAGTTCAAAAGTAGTTAACTTCGGTTATAGTATTATTAGCATGGAATATTATTCCCTAGCAGTCAAATAAAGTGAAACAAAGTAAGAGAGCATTATGCTTCAAGATCATCACACGCTACAGAAATAGTACTACTTTGTAACTAACCACTGCAAACTTATTGCTGATGATGCGGTCATTTTCTCCCCATATTATCAGTGTTTTCTGCTTTACCTGTTAAACAAATTCAAAACATCTATTTCAGAAGGAAATCAAGCTTCTGGAAATAAAAATGGAGTCCAAGGTGCCCTTATATATCCATAGTTCATACAAATCTGACTCAAAATATGGACTAGAAACAATCTGGGGCAAATAAGGAAATCAAACTTCTTCTCCTGTTCAAATGCCATAAAAACAACATATATCACATACAACATTCTTCAGCAACTAGTAATGCTGCATATACCTTGTTTATCAGGGAAGCAACATTGTAACCACCGCTAGTCATAAAATCTACAGTAGCATCATCCCACCAAGGCAATAAACAATGCAAGCGGCCCACCTATAAAGACAATATGAAGACTTTATTAGCATTCTTCATTCTTGCAACATTCAAAATGACAAAGGATATGAGGCCCATTTTATAAGGGGTCTTCTGTACATAAAGGTACTTTTACAATTATCTTTCTTGGGTATCAAGGATATTTTTGCAGACAGTAATCACATAATATACATGAAATCTTCAGCTGACAGAGACAGTTGCTATAACAAATATAAGGTTGTTCGGATTATCAGCTATCCTATAACTGGCCTAGCACAAGGTGCTTGCCATGTGATGCTGAGTTATCCGTGAGTGCATGTCGCAAATGGCCCATTATCGAGCCAAGTATATAATATGTATACCATGTTATATAGATAAAATGGTAATTTTAGGAGCAGGCAACTCACATTAGTCCAATCAAGGCTGGTGCTGAACGATAGGTTAGTGAAGTTCAAATAGTTGGCAAGTAAGCGCAATGGAAAGCTCTTCAGTAAATATACCTGATTCAAGAAATTGTCAGTTGTGAGTTGCAACTAGTATAATTGATTCCTCAACATCTTCATCATCTCATTCTTATATCTCCCACAACAGAAGCATAAAATTCTAGTGAAAAGATTAAACTAGTCATGCACAAAATCCAGCAGCAAACAAACATTACTGGAGATAACAATGAATTATACAATCTTTAATGAATAAATACTATCATTAGAACCAGAAAATGTTAGGGAATAAAGTTATCCAAGATGAACTGTATCTCATGATTTAATTTTAAAATTCTGAAACATTGTAATTTGCTATCTTTTCGGCAAGCAAGGTTCTTTCTTACTGTACAAACTACAGAGGAGGTTCATCCAATAAAGACCCATTCTTTTTTCAGTACTTTCTTCTTGTTCAACCAGTTTCTATCAACTGGTATCGGAGCTCACATCCAGGGAGTTCTTTCATGGTTTTAACGAGAATGGAGGCATGATTGGATTCTTTTGGAAAAATCTCCAACCAGCTAATTGTTATGATTAATTTGGGTTTCCAACATAATAACACCAACAGATGTAAAAATAAATAAATAAAAAGATGCCATTTCCAAAGCTAAATATCATATTAAGAAATTGTGCACTTGCTTAAAAGTTTAATGAAATAGCCTCTTTATAAACATGTAAAGGTAAGGGTAAGGGTAAGGCCACGTACTAGGATTATCCTCACCCAACCCTTGCAAGTCGGGGTTTAATGGAGAATGGTTTTTTTAACCAAAAACATCAAATGAAGACCCAGAAATAACATGCAGAAAAATTCCATTGACTACTCTTTAGGGGGTAATGAATATTTCGAAATAATTTTCTAGATGATTGAATATACAAGTGAATTAATCCAGCAAGAGAACATTGCATAGATAGAGATGGGAAATGGTGTAATTTTATAGATAATTGCCAGGGATATGTACTTAAGGTTTAAGTAAGTTGGAGAATCCTCACCCCAGCATAAGCTACAGCTCTAGGTAAGGTGGCCAGATTTCCGGTTCCCTCTGCATATACACTAGCATCAATCAAAACAAGCTTTTCCACCTGAAAAGATGAACTGTAAATAAATGACCGAGTACACCAGAGTCATTTAATGAAAAAAAAATTATTAAAGAATTTTCTTGCCAATTGGATCGTGGTTGATTTTCAGAAGTTAAATTATTGGATGGCACATACAGCTTCAGGATAATTGACAGCAAAGTCAATAGCAACAGCAGAGCCAAGGCTTGGTCCAACCAACATCATTGGCCTTCTTATGTAGGACTTCCAAAACTGTTATGGATAAATCCAACTCAGCCTCAACATAGTGTGCAACAATTAGGAGGAAAACAAAAGAGATGTGGATAGAAATTAATTGACAATAGGTAAAAACATCCATTTCTTCAGAAGTTAGTTGATGAATAAATCAAAGCCTACATTTTAACTGATATGTTACTCCAAATCACACATGTTGATAACTAAGGCATACAATTTACTAAGTGAAGGTATAAGAGATACATTAACTACTACACAAGTACCTGATAGAAGTGATCACGCTTTGACACCACATCACAAGGTGGAAGTTTTTCTGATGGATAAAAGAAGAATAAGAGAAGAAAGCATGAAAAAAATCTCGCAAAATGGGAAAGGAATAACATTCAATAGGCAAAGTAGTAAAACAAACCTAAATCAGAGAAACCCCAACCAAGAATGTCAACAGCCCATGTCTCAAAACCAGATTCCTCAAGCAATGGATATGCATATCTCCATTCTAAACATGAGCTGAATAATAAGGCAGCATAAAATTCAGGGGCAACTTAGCATAAAATGCATAAACTAAATTTATCTCTTGCATATTTTGAGCACCTGTCAAAACCATGTAGAAGAACAACTGGAGTTTCCTTGGTCTGCATCAGTGGCTTCACACAGCTACTCATAATGGGATTTTCTGAGAACCTAACCTGATTGAGTCATATGGCATAGATAAGATATTTAGCTACAAAAAATGATTGTGAAGTTGACCTATGCTTAGCATGCTGGACTGTTGAGTGACCATAATGGATGGATGACAACAAGCACAACTCAAACAATTATTGCAAGTGAACAAGCTTAAATAACTTGGCAGACATTTTGCTAATCTAAGCAAATTTGGCAGATAAACAGTATTTCGGTGGAACAGACAATGAAAGTGTGTGTTCATAAATGCTAGGGAGTAAGAGGAAAATCAACAATCCACAGGCTTAGGAAGTCAGGGCTAGTTGCACAATTTTACTAAAATTATAAAATGGCAATGCACAAAGATGCAGTTTAGAGATCCTTAACAAGGGAAATGAAGACCCTTTTCTCTAATGAAAAATATTTGTCAATTGTGTATAATAATACCGCTAAGAAATTATGCAAGAAAAAAACATGTTCTAGAGGCAGAAAAACTTTTTTAAGTTTGGTAAAGAACTTGAGAGAACTGTGTCTAAGGGCCCACAATAAATATTAATGGAAAAAATAAAATAAAAAACTCTAAAGGACCACATCACCAAAGAATGTGTCCCAATAATAAATTCAACCAATCTCCAGCACTCCAAATCCAAAAGAACTTTTAGGAACAAAGAATATTTGAAACTACAGCAAATTTCAGATTCCAAAAAAAAAAGAAAAGAAAAAAACTTAGTCCCAGCAAAAGCGAGCCCAAGGATTTTGTACAAGTAAATTAGTTACATCAGGCTTGTAGTGATTTTCTGAGCAATGTCAGGGATAACACACACATAAATGTAAATAAAAGCATAAAACAAAGAGCAGTACTACTAAACAGTATACAATGCAGTAATTAACGAGTAACCAAAAATTTAGAAATGGAAGCAAATGAAATCCTGCAAAAACGGTGACTTTAAAAAAAAAAAAAAAGAAAGAAAGAAAGAAAGAATGTAATAGTTTACATGTACGGGTAGTCTCTCAATCCGCATGGCTAATTTTCGAGCAAAAGGGTCTTGAATTTTCTTAGCCTCCTTAGGAAGAAATGAAGGTAACCCAAACCCATCAGCAACAACCCTTAATCTCATGGGCAAAAGCCCTGAACCGAGGGACAGAGAAAAATACATCTTGTGTGTTCCTAGGAATAAAGTTTTGGAGGTTTTATAACAAAGACAACAAACAGCCTCCACGAGGATAAAAACTTCAAGCACGTTCAATACTGAACTCCATGTTTTGTTTTATGGCAACATAAGACTAATTTTATTTTCAATAGACTTTTCTTTTTCTTTTTCTTTTTAAATAATAAATCTCACCACATATGTCTCTAACATAGATGAACCCTTTATTTTATTAAACAGAATTTTTTTTAGTTAGTTTTTTTTTTTATATTTTAGGGTCGAGGTTTTCTCGACAAGTCTCAGCTTACAAACGAGAGAGGGCGGTTAGGTGTGTCAGTCTCATGCACATCACACAGTTCTTGGTGGTGTGCATAACGCGTTCTGAAACAGGAACGTGTTTCAAACTCGCGCTCATGTGATTAAGGATCTTGTCTCACGCGTTTACTTGCGTGTGGGTTAACAAGTAACAACAATAGTTTCCTTCTTCTTACTAATTGCAGAGTGATAAATGGTAACCGATAAATGAGTAAACCCGTAACTTTCTGCTGTTCTGACAAGTACAGTTTTAACTTTTAAGGCATTTTTTTTAATAATAATACTGTTTTTAATTTTATTTGTAGTTCCTATAAATTAAAGTAATATTCATTCATAATATTAATATGTAAAATACTTTAGAATAATATTATGCTTTGGTACAATAGTTACAATACTCAAGTGTTATTATGTGTAAGGGGATGTCTGTTACACGTATTTTGTTTTTTTAATTTTCGGCAAAGTGACATTCAGAATTTTAAAGGATTGTAATTTTTTTTTGCAGAATCTATTTTTTTTCAAGATTTTGATTTGTAAATACTTTTTAAAAGAAAATGTCATCAAAAATACTATAGAGGGATGATATTCTTGAATTTCTGACAAGTGAAAAAATATTTTAACACTAATGTGATGATTGCATCATTAGATATAAAATCAGAAAATTTGAATCAACACTCTTCATAATATTTTAACCTATCAAAATAGCTTTTTAGTCAGATTTTCAAACAATTCATTTTTTCAACATATTCTTAATAATCATGATTCCTAATCATAAAATAAATTTTCCTATACCAAACGATGTGTAAGAGTTAATTATTTTTATTTATATCACCTGGAAGTATGGTTACCATATATGGGCAGCGTCACCAGAAGCATTACTCTTCTGTTTTTGTTTTCCTACAAGACTATTAATGGTTCAAGAGGGAAACGTTGCTTTCTATTTAATGTGAAAATAACGTTAGTTTTGCTGCATTAAATATTAGAGTACAGTATCCACCAAAATAATAATAATCAGAGTACAGTATATTTATTTGACGATGTATTTTTGAAATGAGAAATGAATTCCTTGTAACTATTACAAAATTGCAGGATATATTAGTGGGAAATAAAAAATTATTGTCATACAAAATATTAATAAATAATGTAGTTTCATAAGTCTCAGTCTTTGAATTGATAGCTGTCCCGTCTACTCTTTTTTTTTAACTTACTGTTCAAATAGTTCTTTATGTGATTGATTTCCTAACCGTGAAAGGCAACAATTGGTGACGAGTGATCTATAATTATAATCAAAACAATATTATACTTACAACATTCTTTCATTTATAATAGGGAAATTCTTCTCTTATGTCGCATAAGATACTTGTTTTATGTTGCACGTTCATAAAATCTTGTGTTCATTTTTTTTTTTTCTAAATATTATGGGCCCCACAATTTTATTTCACCAACATAAGATTAATATCTTCCTTTATAATATTATAAAACCAAATTTTAATTGTTAATTTCTGTTAATTTAATAATTATAATTTATTGGATCATACTTATTAATTTTTAATAAATTATAACTTTTAAATTAATAAAAATTAATAATAAAAATTTAGTTATAAAATATTATAAATAATTTTTTTTTATAAATATAACCTCCTTTTATAATCGAGTTCAAGACAATCGCAAATGGTTGTTGGAGATTAAGCATCAATATTTTGTCTCATTGTTTAAAGACTCCGTCACTTAAAAGCTCTTGTACCTCAAATGCTCAAAGAAGAATGTTAAAGATTTAATCCAAAATGTTTACATATATTTTTTTTCATTGTACGATAATGATAAAATTCCTTTATTTTATTCCAAATTACTCATGACTAGTATAAGAAGGTCATTTTATAATATTGTTGCATATCAACATATCTACACCGCTTTAAATGTTTAACTTTTCTTTTTTTGGAACAACGTTATACTCTTTTGATTTCAATACAATAACGAGTTTATGTTTTGAAGAGATTTATTATTGCATGTGTTACTCTTCGTAGAAAAATAGTTACCTATAAAATAAAATTGTAACAAAAGTATAAAAAGTTATTTTCCATTGTGCTATGATTGAAATGTTGAATGCATTGTATCAACAAAAAAAAATGTTGAATGCCTGCCTTTTATTGCCGTGGTTGAATGCATGTCCCCTTTTTTTTATACCCGTAATTGATTGCACACATATCACCATTGATAGAACTCTTCCCACCAAAGGTAAGGGAGGTGAGTTTAATCCACCGAACTCATCTGAATAAACTGTTTTCAGATATCATGTCACCAAAAAATGAATGCATGTAAATGTAAGTAGAAAAGATTTTTCATAAATATTTATCATGAATATATATTTTTTTATGTTGCATAAAATAATTTTGATTCATGCACATATAAAAAATGGACGTTATCTCATTTTTTGTGTTTTTCTCTCTTCTTTTTCATAGGTTTCACTCGTTTTTTATATTATATAAAATTAAATTATCTTGAAAACATATTTCCCTCAAATGAAAAAGGTAGGTTGATTTATGAAGAGTATTTTCTAGCTACACTCAGAAATCCGGAAAGCGAAATTGCAGATTGCGGAGCACACAAATCAGAGACTAGTTGCCGTTAAAATTTTAAATATATAGTTTAAATTATTATTTATAAGTGAAATTTTATATTTTATTACAAAATTTATAAAGTTTTTTTTTTTAATTTCAATAATAAATATGAATAGCAATAGTAACCATTATAAAGTAAGGAGTATTCATAACAAAAGAAGCTTGAGCAATGATGACTTTCAATCGTACATATGAATCACCTATAAAGTGGAATTACTTACAATGATAATTAAACCAAGAACTTAGAAATAAAATCTTTTTAATCAGTACCAGCTAAGGCAATTCCAATTGCACAAACAGCAACTAAGGCATGTTTGGTGTATAGTATAGGATAAGGCTGGAAAGTATAAGGCCTGATAGTATAAGACCTGATTGTATAAGACCTGATTAAATTTTGATACTATCCAGCATTTGGTATGATATTGTATAAAGATAATATCTTCCAAGATTTTAAAAATTAATATATTAAAAAAAATTATTTTAATATATAAATATTAAAATGATATATTAGTTCTTGGGAATTGTACTTGTAAGCAATATTAATACATCAACCTCTTATCAGGCCTAATCCACCACTCTTAGGCCGGATTAAGTTATACATCATTTTGATGTATAAAGGGATCCTGCTGTATAAGCTTATACTATACGAAAGTTACACCAAACAACTAAAAATATCATAATGTATGATATAAACTTATACTATCAGACCTTATACATCACACCAAACAAGCACTAAAAGTAGTCGGTTAATGGGAACCTCGTAGGGACAAAGTCATTTGATGTCACGCCTAAGAAAGTTTCTTGGGCTCCCCTAAATTAAAGACACTAGTACCAAGGAAGGGTTACTTTCATAGGGTTTGTACTTGCACAAAACAGACACATGTATAAAAAAGCACAACAGAAGAAGTCATTATTACAGGTCACAACTGTGCAAATAAATGCGTGAAAGTCAATACACGGTGATTTATAAGTGAAAGGAGGAATTTAATTACGAAAAATCAATGGTTTTGAAGCATAATTAATAATTCACTACCATAGGGGTGGACCGCTTTCTTCTTTCATTTCTTTCTTCCTAATTTTTTTTTTATTAGAGAAGATCAATGCAACTTTTTTTTTCTTTTGGTATATATAAATGCTTAAATTAATGGAGTTACCTCCCATTCAAGGTTAGGGAACAATGTCAATCTTAATGAGAATTTAAAGTGAAATTCCATATCACCTATAGGAGGAAAGAGAGAGAATCAAATCCAAACTCAAGATTAATGCACCTTTCATTACACAAAAGATTTTCGTTTTATCCTTTAACATAACACAACAAATTTTTTTACACTCATAATATTTTGTGGGGTCCACACTTTTTAAAACAAAAAAATAAATAAAAAATTAAGACACGCAAAATGAATCTTTATAATATTATACAATCATTTTTCCTACAACATAACTCTTATAAAACCTTGACATAAATTACATAAAATAAACTGAGGTACTTCTTAATCTTTTTGCTTTCTTGGCCCTCCATTTGTTTTATTTATTTATTTTTAACATTTTACCTCCATCTATTTTTGTCATAATTCACAGGTCATCATAAATCAATGTTATTAAATCTTGACCAGTCATTGACTCGACTAAGGTACTGAGTTAATGAATTATTAGTTCAATCAATTAAATCAAATTTATATAAAAATATATAATAATAAGTATATTTTAACGTCAAATTTCTTGTAATATAGAAGCTCATTTTATGTGATCCAGACTTCATAATCCTTATCCTAAAATGGAAAGAAAAAAAGACCGAAGAAAATTTGAAAAGAAGAGAAGAATGTAAATAGATTTTTTTTTTCTTTTTTAAAAAAAGTGCACCCAAAAGATTATGTATAGGATGTATATTAAAAAAAATCCCTAACATAAAAAAAATCCCTAACATAGTGATAACCATTGCTGGCAAGCCCTAGCAGGTCATGGATTTGATTCTTAGAGAGTCTACAACTTCAAATATTTTATAAAAATTTCAAAAGCCAATCAATTAAAAAACCCGATACTAATTCCACGCCAGTTGGACTGTATTTAAAATATTAAAAGTGAATTTTTAGTATTTTATTAAATCCAAACCGGACTGTTTGGTCCGTCCGGTTCACTCAAGCAGTGGATCATGGATATCCAGATCAGTTAGTAGATTGGTTGTGCAATCAACCCGATGAACCAAATATAATCCGAAAATGGATACTCTCATAGTAAAAAAAAAAACATGATATGATCATGTGAGAAGATCATAATCATACAAAGGTAAATCAACGGTTATGATTTTATAACTATCTATTTTAACATTTTTTTTCTCTCCTTCTTTATTACCATTGATCCACCTTTGTATGGTTATGATTCCTCACATGACATGGTCATGTGAATTTTCACGAGAGGATCCAGATCCACTGAAGTCTTAGAAGAGTATAGGCCAACTCACACTCCGTAAATAAAAAGCTAGAACAAACACCGGATAAATATTTCTTATTACACATATTAAGTTTGAAGGGGAATGTTATACTTACAATCTATTCAACGGTTGTCATTTATTGCGAATTAATAATTAATTGATAAATTTGATTTGCAAAAATCTTAACCGTTGATTGACGAAAATTAACGGTTAAGATATGAATATAAGAAGTTGTAAACGAAAATATATTCTATGTATAACCTTCCCAAGTTTGAAAGTCCAAACATGCATAAAGTTGTGCAATGATCTAGGAAAGGACAACAGTAAACAACCTTGTATTATATTTGTAAGAGGCTGATTACTTGCACCAAACCTGAACTCCGAGTTCCATGGCGACAACACTAACCATTGTGGCTTTGTTCCTGCCTTAATTCTTGTTCAAAAAAAAAAAAAAAAATAGAGATAAAAAAAAAAAATCAATAACGATACTTCAACTCCGTTCCTGCTTTATTTCTTGTTCTACACCTACAACCTTAAACCCTTTTCTTGATAGTTTTGTTTTTGTCTCTGGTTGACACCAATGAACATTGCGAATACTTCTCCCTTCGCATTGGGCAATCTCTTATTTACGTGTGTGCACTTCAGTTAATCCTAGGCACATGCTTAATTGTCCTATTACAGTTCAATGAGTCATTTCAATGTCTTGCAATAACTATGAGCAGTTCCTCTTCAGCTGAATGATCACTGTTTCCTATGCCCTGATGAGGCCATGAGCACAGCAACAGCCACAATAAACATAAACAACATACTTCCTAGCAGTATATATGTTCTTCCTGATGATTTCCTATACTCCCCAAACAGAACGATGCCCCAAAAAGTGCTCACTAGTGGAAGTGCCTGTTTGAACAATTCAAGAATTCATTGAACACACAAAAGTCAGATATTGAGAAAATTGGTAACTCGTGTGTCCATGACAAAGTAAGTTTTACATTATTATCGTCTAAGTCTAGGCACACCAGTTGTTGCTGTGTAACTAGGAGGTTACAAGTTCGATTCATGTAATTAGTCTCTTGCAAATGCAAATTGTAAAGTACCATTTCTCTAGCATGTCCCCTCACATAAGAGTCCATTGGGCTTAAAGGGTGGACAATGCATCAAGACCCGCTTATTTGTGCTACGAAACTCCACAATATTTAATTATTTTTTTAATAGAATGAGGGGTGGTAAGGATCGAACTCATGACCAAATGACCACGAAAGCTCTTATACCATATAAAGAACTATTTCAACCCAAAAATTTAAGTTTTTAGATTAGACTACATTAATGGTTTTATATTATATTTTTCTAACACAAAGTAAAACCTTTCTTGGACCTTGAGCAAAGCGGGAACTTTATAGCACCATGTTGCCCTTTATGGTCATATTATGCCCATAAATTGTTGATATAATATGATCTAATGTTATAGATGTAATAAAACTCACTTGGACAGCATCTGCTGCTGCATATCCTGCAGCTTGACCTCCCATGAATTGGAGACCATTCCCAAACCCACAAAGGAGACCAGCCAACAAGGCCCAGCCTCTGCCATCCCAGTCCCCCAAATAAGCCTTCAATGATGAGTTGGGTAAGTTTAAGATAGGGTGGTAAAGGAAGGTGATGTTTAGAATTATGGCAATAACAAAACAAGAGATTGAAAAATAGAAGAAGGCAGTATAAACAGTCAAATGGGGAACCCCTTCTTTTAAAGTATGCCACTGGTCATTTGTTGCTAAATTGAATGCTGGTGAGAACAAAGAGAAGCAAAGTCCAGCAAAGAAAGTTATAGTCAATCCAATGAAAGTGCTCTTCCCAAAAACCTGCAGCAGAATTTCATTTTAGAGTAACATTTACGATTAGTGAGAAGGCTTTGGTTTCTGACAAGTGTATCTGCTTTTCAAGGTAGATTAATAGAATGCTTCTTCAAAGTCATCATCCCTTAACATACTAAATATATGAAATATTATAGTGACCTGCCTTAATAGCTCTTCTTTTCTCAAGCTCTATAAGAAAAACTGCAGTTCCTGCTTTGGATTTGTCTGCTGAATTACTTCCGCTCTCAAGATCCTTTGATTTAACTACATTAATATATATTGAAAAGGTAGAAAAATTTAGTATCTTAGAAAATATAACAATCCCACAATTTGAACCTTATCCGAGCTACTTACCTCTATTTCCTTCTTTCATAGTGTCCCTGGAAAAATAAAAAAAGTTGCTGATAAAATTAGCAAAATGCAACCAAATATAGATAGCGAAAGAAGACAGACCGCAGCAAAATCAAATACAATCAATGGCATGATAAGTGATACGCCAGGACTTAAACAGCTCTATGCAGACTATGCTAATACTCCAGTGAACAAGATACATATGGAAGACCTATAAACAACCAAATCAACACTCATCAAAATCAACACATATGGAAGACCTCTTTTATTGAGTTACTGTTCATAACATTAATTGAGCTGGTTGTTAACTTTTTGCTTATGCTAGTGTGACAATTGCCTTCATAAATTTAGCTGATTTACATAATAGCTGACAGTTCCCAAAGCACATGCACTTCCTGATTTGTTTCCAAACACAGCCTAAACAAGGGACCCCCCCCCCCCCCCCCCCCCCAAGGAAGAATACAGGGTCAAAAACAAGTTGAAAAGATACTAGGAAATGAGTAAGGGACATTAACCATAAACTTAACACCTGTACCCAATAAGTCATATCTCAATATAACTATAACCAAACAATACATACGAGGCTCCATCTTTATAATCACTTGGCAAATTGTTGAGCTTGGCTTTATTATCAGCATTATTAGATGAATGAACAGCAGAGCCTAGACAAACTGCAATCAAAAAGCAACCAACTCCTGGGAAAAGGATCTCAGCTTTATTGATTTTGTCATCCAAGAAGTAATTCAATGTTGTGCCTGTTACAATTGGAAACAAAGACAGTGCAGTAGAAATCAGTACTGGAGCAAGCCCAAAATCATTAAAGATGTCAAAAATTTTCAGTGCATAGCCTATGCACACTCTCATCCTTACATAAATCCCTACATGGCATGTTCATCCATGTCATTGAGTATGTATATATATATATATATATATATATATATATACTTGTTTGCTTTAGTTATTTAATTATTTTAGAGTGAGTATGTCAGTGAGATACCTATGACAACAGTTATGCTTGCTGTGATCACTTCAGTAACTGAGAGCCCAACAAAAGCAAATGCGTATTGTGAGGACAGATTCCCAAGGCTAAGGACCACACCACCCGCCATAGCAAACATAACAGAGGGCCAATTATCCTGCACGTAATAACTTAAGTAGATTGTTAAAGCAATTGCAGGCTATAATATGCAATTACAGATAAAGTTCAAAGCTAAGCATGCTTTTAACTGTATAGTTTCAAAGACAACTAAAATTAAACTCAGTACATAATTATTACTAAAGTTTGAATGATTAAAATATTAAGCTAAACATTACAACATTCCCTAGATTTTGCTGATTGCTCCACATGTGCCCTATATTTTAAAACCTACACATACCTGCCCTCTTGACATTTTGTAAGGGATGAGCGTGTACATGTTCAAATTAGCAGGATGGCTTGATGAAAATCAGGAACAAGCAGGGAAGGAGGGAGCCAATTCCCCTTTTGTTTGTAGATTTTCATAAAGCTTAATCATTAAGAGACTCAGCCATTTTGATTTGATTGAACCATTACAATATAATACCATTAAGAAATATTATTCATAACCCATTAAAATCGTTTTGCACCTATCACGAACATCGAAGACATTTTATCTACAAATTATATTCCACTTATAAATAATTCTTAGGTTTCTGGTATTCATGCACAAATCTCATAGCATATTAATGATAGTGACATAGCATGTAATTCTTCAACACGTCCAATTTTTCGTGCATGTTTTTGTTTCTAAAATCAAAATTTCCAAAATATCATCTACTTATAAGACTAGGGTGGTAAACAAACCAGGAGCCTTTGGTTTGGCTCGTGAAGGCCTGAGCTTACATGTCTAAAATTGGTTGTTGGAACCAGGCTTGAACTTGTATAAAAGCTCGTTTAATAAAAAGGCCGCAGGCTCCAATTCAAAAGTTCGACCTTAGAGCCTTCCAGGCTGGCCTAGTATATTAATTTTTTTATTTTAATTTTTTATACTACTTGTAATAGTCTTCTCTCTCCTCGATCCATTTCACCCCATTTTATTGGTTAAACAAACTTTTTGAATGATTTTGTTCTATATTATGTTGTTTGGATATATATTGAATTTACGAATATTTATGGAATTACTAGTACTGTTGATTGTATATTATGTTTGGATAAATTTTTGTTCTCTTATTTTTTCTAAACAGGCTAAAGCAAGCTTTTATTTTTTGTAAATAAGTCAGGTAACAGGCTGGGTCTTGCTGACACATTTAAACACAGACTTAACCTTTTAAGACCAAAGCTTGGCTCGGCTCGGCCCGTTAACACCCCTAGATAAGGCCTCTGTTTAGGATTAAGGTGACTCTCACATGCCTTGATAAAGTATCTTTTATTTTTCTATGATGATAACAACTTCAGAATACAATGAGTAACAGTACCTGAGCAAGTTGAGCTAAGAAATTTGGCTCACCAGGTGTGCTCTTGCCTATCTCACCAAATGTAAAAGCAATGATTAGAGCAGCCAAGAGATTGGTGATTGAGTAATCAAGGTAGGTATGCTGAGGAAGACGACCTCGCCTTTCTAACAGAGTTAAAAAAGCAGGCCATGTCCCCAAGAAGAAAAGAGACAAGAGCATGCACCCTATGGCTCCTCCCTTGCTCTCCACCATATACATTTTCAACTCAGTACATAAAATGCTTTCAGAAAGTGAAGTAATCAAGGAGGAAATACCAGAGAAATCCTGAAAGCAGCATCAATTAGTCGAACTTCAGAACAATACCAAAATGACAAGCCATTACTGGAATGTTACAAGCAATAAGGTCCCAAAAAAATTCACCCACAGAAAAGAGGACAGAAAATCATGCAACCTTATAAGCTGAAATAAAACTTAAAGGGGGGATGGATCTCCTGAAACATTAGAAATCACAATCAAAGTCAAAGGCAAAATTATGTATATAATAAACGGCATAAAAATTATTTTTAGAGTAAAAACTCTTTTTGGTCCTCAGCAAATTTTACGATCCCTGCTTTAGTCCCTAGCAAAAATAAAAAGGCCCATCGTGGTCCCTAAGAAATTCAAGATGGACCCATTTCAATCATTTTGAGGATTAATATGGGTCTTTTTTGAATTTGTGAGGGACTACGATTTCAACTAAATAGGTTCATTTTGAATTTCTTAGAGACCATGATGGGCCTCTTTATTTGCTAGAGACTAAAGTGGACATCGTGAATCTTGCTGACTACCAAAAAGAATATTTACTCTTATTTTTAATAGTGAAAAACTCAAATTGAATAAGATGGATGAAAAAGATAAGCATTATCTCCACCCGAGACAAAACTGCACATATACACAAGCACATAGAGAAGAACTGAAAATAGAAACTCATATTCTTGGTTTCCATCGATTAAAATTCACTGAAATCCGGTTATCTCTCCACTGATATGTTGAAAGGGGTTGCCAGCTAAAGGCAAGTATATAACAAAGTAAAAATTAAGTTTTTAATCTTGATGAGAAAAAAAGGAAGAAGCATAATCTTCACAAACTCAAGAATGCATATACACAGACACGCACTGACAGAGAACTGAAAAGAATCCTCTTACCTTGGAATCCATAGATCAGAAGCAACATAAACAAAAAGTCAGCAAAAAAAAGTCTTTATAGTAGCTTGCAAGTTAAAGGCTCAAACAGTGTATAAAAAGATTAAAAATCCACCCAGTTGATTGTAACGTTAGCAATAGTGGGCCAAACAAATTATTCATGGACCAAAATTTCCCGGGAAAAGGTTTCAGAATCTCACAAAACTGTTGATGGGGTCATGATTTTATCTCTGCAAGTTTGAAGAATTTGGAAGTACTTGACTTGATATCAGTAAGAAAAAAACTGTGAATGGAATTGGGTTCTCAGTTACCTACCTCTAAGAAAACGAGGAACCCTTTGAATTGTGAGTACGATCCATTGAGGCAATACAATCAACTGAACTGGAATCTGGACAAAGATTCCAACTTTTTGACTTGGAATATCAATTACTTGATTATTTTTGTTTTGATTAGACGAATATCTTCTCTCTCTCTCTCTATCTCTCTTTTTTTTTTTTGTAGTAGATGTTCTCTTTATTATCCTTAATTACTGTCTCTTAATATAATATATATTATGTATTAATACATACATATATATATATATATATATATATATATATATATATATATACGCTACTATCTCCTGTTACAGTGTATTTATTTTTCACTTTGTTTTGAATCTTCATTCACAGCTTTAGAATTGCAATTATTGTATTCTTGAAGAATGTGGGACAAAGTCATGCTGATGACTTTGATATCATGTCAAAGACTTACTTGACGTGTTACTTTAGCATTGGCAAGTTTTGTTTCTGCTTTTGCTCAAAATGCTAATGTTCTTCACAAATCTTTCAAGACTAGTGCAATTTAATCATGATTCAATTGCAAGTTTAACTAATTAATCTAAATAAATCATAACTTAAAAATATTGCCAGTTTAATTACTGATTGGGTTTTTAAAACATTAGTCTAAAGACTCAAAACTAAGTTGCTTTCCACCAAGATTACCATGAAGAATGATTATTAATCAAGTTATCTTTTCCTATCACATCACACAATTTTATTTCCTGCAATTCCAAAACAATTATTTTGAAATTTTGAAAAAAAAGAAAAGAAGAAGAAAGTCATAACCATTCTTTTGATTACCTTGTTCAAACTCAAGGCAAGCTATTGCTAAGGAATCCTGTTAGACTCACAAAATTCCGATGCAAGGGGCATTCTGTGTTGTACTATTAATACTAGCTATATTAGACTAGTTTAATAGTAATAGTGCCTTTTGATTCTTTGAATCACATTGGCGAACCCTTTCCGATTCTGAAAGGCAAACAGGCAACAGCCCCTGCACGTTTGAGTCGAGCCAGAAAGAGTATTGACCATTTGAGTCATAAAAGGGTCGCTTGCTTAATCTTTCTTTTATACACACACATATACACATGCCATTTTTTTTTTTAAGTGTCCTATTATATCTATATACTATATGGTTATCCCGTATGGTGTACTGTGAAACGATACCATAGCAAAAGGCCCTGCCTGAACATAGTCAAGTCTAATAGCTTTGATCTTTTTGGTGAGTTGATTTTCAACTTCAATTTTGAATGTTTTGAACACATCCAACGTCCAAGACTTTCATGAATTAGATAGAAGTAGCTATAACGGGAGTAGTCATCTATGAACAAAATGAAATATTGTTGTTGACTATTCAATGAAAGATATAGGAAATGACCCACAAATATTAATACGAATGAGTTCAAAGACATTTATATTGTTAGCACCTAATGTCTTAAGTAGTGTTTGGTAGAAGATTTATGTTGGGATTGATATGAAAGTGTAAGTGGATATTGGAAAATACCATGTTTGGTTCAGGTTTTTAAAAAAAATATTAGGCAAATAAAATAGATGGGAAAATGACTTTTGTGTTGATTTTTGGATGAAATTCACTGTTACAAAATGCCACTTGAGATGTGGTATTTTGAGATAACTGTGAAAGTGAAAAAAACAGGTGCGAAATTTCTCCCGAACATAGATTTTGCAAATTTAAATAAATTTCCCTGGTAATATTTCGGTCAACCAAACATCTTTTTTTTACATTTTCCTACCAAACTCACTTTCCAACCATTTCCCTAGTAATTACATTTCTTTAGTATTCAAAAAATTTCTCTTCAACCAAACGCCCCCTTAATATTTACTTCTCCTTTATGCACTCAATACAATTTTAAAAGTTTGAATCTTTTGACTCTAATACAACATTAAAAAATCTTACTTTCTATCTCATCCGTTGATTTTTGTCTATCTAATAGCAGTAATTTATTTGAAATTAATAATTAATTAATTGATATAACTCGATAAACTATAACATTTAAATGAACGGAAATCAATGGATGAGATGTAGAATAAGACTTCTTAGTCTTACACCAAAGTCAAAAAATCTCCCATCTTTTATTTATATAAGTATTTTAAATATTAGTAAATTAATAAAATTACTTATTTACAATTTACGAAGTTATTAATTTTCTTATTATGAAAATTATAATGTCAAAATTATTAATTTTTTTATTCCTAAATGACTTATTAGTGTCGAAAATTTAACGGAATTTTTTCCGTCGAAAATTTCAACGGAATTAAATTTTGTTTCAAATTTCAACGGAAAAAATTTTCGTTACAAATTTATAATAAAAATACAATCAACATAAAATTCGTTGAATAATTTAAAATTTGAAACGGAATTTTTTTCGTCAAAAAATTTGAATGAAAAACCACAATCCTCGTGAAACCTCATTAGCCAATGGGAACACTTGAATAATTTAAAATTTGCAACGGTATTTATCCATTGAAATTTTTGAATAAAAAAAACACACCATCCTCGTGAAACCTCATTAGCCAATTGGAACGCTTGAATAAATTAAAATTTGCAACGAAATTAAATTTCATTGCAAATTTCAACGGAAAAAATTCCGTTGCAAGTTTCGAATAAAAACACAATTCGTGTTCGCTTGATGAATAAAATAAAATTTGCAACAGAATTGTTTTTTGTTGAAATTTGCAATGGAATTTTTTCCGTTGAAAATTTTGAAATAAAACCTTTATATATCATTCCATTTCATTAATTCCCAATGTTTTTCATAGTTCCAAATAGCTAATGGGGAAGCAAAATGCAGCAGAGAAGCAAATGCAAAGGGGAAGAAATCCATGGTTGCAAAGAAACCAACACCGGTGGAGAAGAAGTCGGAGGTTGGCAAGAAGCTACCGAAGGAAGGTTGTGCTCCGCCAGCAAAAAGAAGAAAAGGAGAAACGAGAAGATGAAAGAGCAATGCTTTGATAAGAAAATCTCTGTAGTTTTTTTTTCATGTTTTTTTTTGTTATGGTGATAAAATCGTAGTTTGTTTTTTATGGAGAAAATGAGAAACAAGAATATAAGACCATAGTTTTTTTTCAAGTTGCAGTTGTAGAAATTGGGTCTGGTCAATCCTCTTGTTGGTATGAAAATGATTTGGATTGATGATGATGCACTTCTGTTGTTTTTGTTCTTTTGTTCTTTTTGATTTTGTCGGTCTGTTTTGTGAAGAAGAAGATGAACAAATTAGAAATGCTGGACCAATACGAAATTTCTCTTCTTTTGTGTGCGAGAATTTCCAACGAAAATATTTTCGTTGGTATTTTCGACAGAAGTCTAATTAAATTTCGTTGCAAATTGTGACGAAAGTCAAAATTTTCAACGAAATTTATGAAATAAATATTATATTATGGCTTTATTTGTTGACGGAAAAATACGGCTTGCGACGAAAAACATTTTGTGGAAATTTTAAACGGAAAAAAGAAATTCGTTGCCCTTTGACGAAGGATTTTCAGACAGAAAAATTCTGTCAAAAAATGCATTTCTGATGGAATTTGCATCATTTGTAACGAAAAAATTTCGCCAAAACTATAGATATTTCTAGCAGTGAAGAATAGGCAGAACCAAATATTTCAAGAAATCTAAGAAGTTTGAATCATACAAAAGAACAAGGTTCTTGGTCATCTTGCTACTACGTAATGTAGATATTTATATAGCAAACATTTGCATAAAGTTTTCGCAAACTTCACTCTCAATGCCCGTCAGCCATAGATTATAATGTCAAGTGCACATTTCACTAGATTACACACACAACAATAAATACAAAGTTATGAAAAAAAAAGAAAAAAAAAAGTGTTTATCTTTTTAAATGACACAATTTGTGTCTTTTCACTTTCACAAAAAGACGGGATCCACACCTTTATTATTTTTTTGTTCAATCTCTCTCTGTCATGATCTATCTCTTTCTCTCACTTGAAATGACACACATTTTTTTCTAAAAAATATATTAATCAATTATAATTAAATGATCATGAGTTTGATTTTCACAATCTTCCATTCTGTTCATAAATAATTAAATATTGAAGAGCTTCTTAACACAAATATGTGGACCTATACACTATCCACCCTTCAAGTTCAATAAGTTCTTGTATAAGAGATATGTTATAGAAATAAAATTAAAATCATTAACATGAATTTAACCTAACAACATAAACTTTTGAATTTATTAAATTGGTTCTTTACATTTACTCTTCTTAAAATCAATAACTTTTTATACTCTCTTTTTTGGTGAACTAACTTTTTATAATTTTTAATTTCTTTATCATATACATCTTTATATATTTAAATATTTTTCAATAATATATATCTTCTTTGGATAATCTGTTGTACAAGTAAAAAGTTTAAGACAAGAAATTTAATGTCTATTCTTCTTAAGTGTATGCATTCGAAAATTAAATATTTTTGTTTTCATCTTAACAGCGTTGGCTTCATTTATTGTCATATCTTAAAACTCGATGCGCTCTCATTGTTGCCCTGTGACGCTGTGACTCATACGTTTATAAGTTCAAATCATAGTTTATAAAAAAAAAATTAAATCAAATCATATAATCCAATGCAATATAGTCGATTCACACAATTTTACATTGACATCTATTAATATTTTGACACATCATTATTAGTGTTATGGACTGTATCCATATCCTAACAATCCTATTACTAGCAAGATTGGATAGGGATATTGCAACTATATAATCTAGAGAGAATTAGGGATAAGATCCATATCCCCGTCAATTAAGGCAGATTTCATATCGATTGGGAGATCTCAAAGGCCCAAACTTATTAAGGTAATTCTTATAAATAAGAGGCTAAAGACCCCAGGTACACACTTTGATCTATTTACTATTACTGCCAACACTGTGCACACACCCACGTCTTGGCTATAAGTTTATTGCTTATGCGCAGAGATTGGAGTATTGGCTATAAGCCAATCAAGATATCTATCTCAAAGATATCTCTGACCGCATACCCTTGAGGTATCCTTATACGGTTCAATAGAACCGAACATTGGCGCCGTCTGTGGGGATCGGAAAATTTCGACTCCCATCCATGGTGAACACGCGCGGCATAGCACGAAGCCACATATTGAAGGCTACCTCGCGCGCCCTGAAATTTCTAAAACCACATAT